CTTGTTTCCTACATTAATAGAAACAGATACATGCATAAATCTTGTAGGTCACTACCAAAGGTTACAGGAATTGATGCAATGACAACTTCACTCACTCAGTTCTTCATATAGTGCTTCTGTGTACTCATCCAGATTATCTAAGTCTTGACCGTAAATAAACGCTTCGTACGCTTTCTCAAGGTAATCAAAATACAACTGCGGTAACAAGACAAAGGTGTACATAGTGAGACATTAACAGTGGCAGAAACATCTGCTGAATACAGAGATGGATCTGGAATGATTTAGTAGTGGTTGCTTTGGTTTAGATTAGATTTTCTGAAGATACTTTGCAGGTTTTGCCCCATCATGTCAGACATTTACATTTCGCTTAATTGTTTGGTATATTAATACAATTCATTGGAAAATCAAGCATAAACATCCCATATATCTATGACTGTCACAGCCATATTAAACTAGGTACATTTGAAACACATGTTATCACATGTTATGGCATTCAGACTGCAAAGACATTTTGATAGAGATAAGAACTTACCTTGTCCTCATCATTCATGGGAAACAGACATTCGTCCATGGTGTCATTAACATTTTGAGCCAACTGAAAAAAAAAGAAGAAAAGGAAATTACGCTTTAAAATGTTTGGGCAAACTCATCAATCTTCAATTTCAATTTGTACAAAATTCAACCTTGACAAGTTCCATAAGCCAGTGAAGTGCACCAAGGAGCACTGGCCATGTGTGAGGTGAGCCAACATTTGATAACAATGTTTTGTGAATGGTAAAGGGGTACCCTAGAGTCTTTAAAATTCTTGGTACTTCCTCGTCAGGTTTTTGTTTCAGTTTTGTATAGTTTTCCTTTGGACTGATATGGCTATAAAGGAACTGTAAAATACAACTGCAAAGTAAATTGCAAAGTTCATAGAGATTTCAGGCTCGGTAGGTCACAAACATTGTGTGAATTATGTTATACATTGATTACTAGAATGCAAATTGGAATATTTGTCATATGATAGCAATATGATGTTTTATATCAATGCTGCATCATATTAATGCTGTATTTGTTTCGATTGGATGCCCAGAAGCTGCATATAAATACTAGTATCAATTTGATTGTGAGACAGGATGTATGTTTTTCCAGAAAAAATTTGAATATATTTTCTCAAATAATACACACACTGGTCACCAACGTGAAATGATTCAACAGAGATCAACATACTAACGGAAAATACTTTCAGGAACTCTTTGCTTGTTGGAATCGTCATTGTCTTCATGGAGATTGGATGCTGGTAATCGTTGACCGAAAGAAACTGAACAGACAAAAACAATTCAAAAAACTACTTTTACCATATTGCCGACATTTTAGCAAATACCTGCAATATGTCTTGTATTTCTTGATGCTGATAAGCTGAAAGATAAATGGCAATACAAGTAACTTAACTGATGAAAATTGCTGTTTGTCAAATTGAAGATAAAGCATAATCTCACATTTATCACTTAGCGGTCTTGTTTCTTTTATCTGCATGTACGATTCACGTCCATATTGACTTGATTTTCTGCTAAAATTCAAATGAAAAAAGCACACATAACTCCCACAGTATTCACAAGTAGAAGTTCCTGTAGCACCAAGAGATAGTAAGCCAACAAAACAAATAGTTATGTTAACAACGTACTATACTGCTAATATACGTTATGGTACAAACATTTTAAATCCCATAAAGCAAACCTGCTAGCTCCAAAAGATGTTTTCGGACGCGATATGCCTGACAACCTTGCACCAGTATTAGAAAGACGACCGCCCTGACTAATCGACGATCTAGATTGCTTTTCTTTGGTCGGAATTCGGCTTCTATTGCCCTGATTTGTCGAGCCAGAAGTTGAACTCCTCATTTTATAAATTTTTCGTATGATTTGCTGAAGTAAAAAGCCAGATAACCGTCTCTCATGTACCTCGATAAACAAAAATTTCAAATTCCAAAATGCCGCTCTTTTTATTTAAATAAGTTGTCGTCACCAGGCCACGACCAGGCCTTGGCTTGCTCGGAGTCTCGGACGTTGGAAGAAGTCAAGGTCAGAGCAAGGGTCGGCACTAGATCGGTTAGCACTATTTTCCACCCAGCAAACCGCCCTTTACTTTGAAATATAATATTTTACACAATATAATATTTTACGCAATCTAATATTTTACACAATATAATATTTTATATAATATTTTACACAATCGTCGAAAAACGACATATTTTCCAGTCTGGATTATAAGTTTATAACTTAAGGTGGTTGCATGAAAATTTATACTGCAACATTTATCTGTAAATATTTCCATATATTGATATTAAAAAACTGTATTATGAAAATATAAAATTACTCGCCATCTCAAAACGACCTAGCACCAGTGCATGCATGGTTTCCTTTTAGCTTTTGGTTCTTTCCCATTAGCCGCCATCTTTAATTTATTTCCGATTGTGTAAAGTAAAGGGCGGTTTGCTGGGTGGAAAATAGTGCTAACCACGAGGGTCTGTCTGTATTGTTAGTTATTCATATTGAAATTACTATTTTGCTATGTGCAATATCTGGTGCTCTTTATGAAATGCCGAAATATGTGACACGTTGGCAAACGGCGAAACGGAATTCGAATTAAAGCAAATGACTCTGAAGATGACAACCGCTAAGGTTGTCGAAACGTCAGTCAACAACAACAAAACAGTCCTTCTCAGGACTATACCAACCTGGACAATCTACATTTACAAGCATGGAATTCATATTGTTTTGCAAAATGTCACTACTCGTAACATTTAGATCAATGAATGTTCCAGATCAAGACTGCTCGCTGCATTCTTTCAAGTCAATGTGCGCTGAAATTTTGGACGCTCTTCATCAGTGATGAATGGAAGCAAAGCTAAGTTTGAGATCAAATCAAAAGTACGCAAGTATTGAATGATTTCGATTCGTGCTTCTTTATCGTTAACTGGTCTCTTTAGTGACCGCAGTTCGACATTTTAATAGCTAATGTATGGGCATTAAGAATAAAAGTTCCTGCTCGTCTAAACGCTTTCTTTATCACTTTGTTAGTTGAAGTTAAATGCTCATCTGCATCATATATGGTTAAGGACGCATTTGAGTTGATCTTTACTGGGTTTTAACAGGTTATTTTCATCAATTTGACAGTAAGTATCAAAAAGTCAAACAATGGCATTTAATAAATAAATTGTTTACTTCCCAAATTTAAATAACATTAACGAAACTGTTTACTTTCCAAATTTAAATAACATTTCACGATTCACTGAATCTCGACGAGCCGCACTCACATTCACAACTTTAAAATCATCCAGGCTTAATTTTGGACGCTTTTAACAGGCGGATTTGGACTCGATTGCTTATGTTTTCTGGACGCTGGTAGATTTTGAAATTAATCCTCAATACATCTTTCCACATATGTCGTGTCAAAGCTTTTAAATTAGGCAGTCGCTGTTAACAATACATATGAGAAGGAATTCTTACAAAGTTAACTATATTTGCTTACCCGTCTTAACTTGAATTATTCAACTAACGACCCAATAATTTTTGTTTGTCTTAAATTAACATACAAAACTGTTCTAGAGTTATCAGTTTATGAAACAGACACCTAGAAAGAAAGAATTTTGTTTTCCTCCTGTCGGAGTTTGCTTAATTTTTGTAGCACGAAATATTTCATCGCACGAGTTGTAGGGGGTCACCATACATAAAGTCTACCAGTGGATTTTTACGTGTTTTTAAAAAAGATCAAGCATTTCGTTGAAGAGAAATTTATTGATATTTAATTCATTGATTTAATTTATTGAGTAAAGCTATTGCAACTAGGTTGGAATGAAATATTTGCACGACATTTCTTGACGATTACATTCGAAGCTGTCCCATTTCCTGGTCAAATGTAAAGTACAGAAGCTATAACTATAACATTATCCGTTGCCATCCTTGAATATATATTTGTACTAATTGATCAATTCTACATCATAAAACGTCGGTCATAAAGTAAACGGTTTGGACTCGGGAGTATCGTTACATGTTTGTAAATGTAGATCGTCCAGGTTGGTATAGTCCTTAGAAGGACTGATTTTGTTGTTGTAGACTGGCGTTTCGACAACCTTAGCGGTTGTCATCTTCAGAGTCATTTTGACCTGGACAATCTACATTTACAAACATAAAACGTCAGTCTTTGAACTATTAACTGATTAACTGGAGTACTTATCGTGATAGAGCTCCTGCCTTGGTGAAACGCTTTCATGTTCCTGGGCTATACCAAACAAACCTCAATCACAGCATTATAACACACATTATATATACAGGTGAACCAACATTGTATGAACGGGAAATTTACATCACTTTGAATTATTGGCAATTGAAGTGTCATTTTGCGTACACTTGTCTATCGATACTTATGGATAAAGTGAATAATATATGTAGACTATAAAGTAAATGGTTTGAACCCGGGAGTATCGTAACATGTTTGTAGATGTAGATCATCCAGGTTAGTAAAGTCCTGAGAAGGACTGTTGGTATTGATGACTACACGAGGCCCATTTGATTTTTCCAATGATCAAATACCAAACAAAATATTGAGAAAGCGTCAAAACCAGAACGAGTGAAAATTGTTTCAAACCTAACCTATATATCTTTTATTTAACAGCTTCAATTATAAGATGGTTAAAAACCTTCGAGCAATTTGAAATTCCATACGGAAGCCCGAATGCCAGCTTTTGAAGCAAATGACATCTCGGCAAAACAGTTATAGCGAGTTCTAGAACATCGTTGTTTTGACACCGTTTAAGCAACCCTCTTACGAATCATCTAATGTAATGTCACGTGGGATTCTCACATTATCAAGAGGTATCTTAAAAATTTGGTCTCGGAGATCATTTTGTATAAACTCCTGTGAAGTTTAATCAATTTTGAGTTCCACGCTACCTGATTGGCTCATGTGCAAACAGTAAGCAAAGTTACTGATTGGTCCGCAATAGAAAGGCTGTTATGTCGCAACCGAAAAAATGTGTCATTTTTGATACGTGCCACACTTTGAAGAGTCTTTCGAGGTGTAAATGTTACATTTGGAGAGCTGATTGTCACATCGGAGTTTTGTGAAGACAATGGATCGTTGCGTCGCGTTAAAGTTTTATTTTTGCGGTAAGTTCCAGTTTCAGGTACAAAGTCAACCCGTACAGTTAATTAAGCTGCTTTAAAGTTCCTTGATACCTTGCTACATCGTGAGTTAACCATCTACGTGAACAAAGTTTAACATTTTAATAGCTATTCTATGTGCACAAAGAGTTGTAGTTGTACTCGTCAAGACGGTCTCTTTAAATTGGTTGATGTTGCTGTTGCGTACCTGCACCGACTGTTAAACAATTTTGGAAATGCTTATAATGTTTCCCCATAAATTCTAAGCAGTTCAAACTACAATATTTTTATGCGAAATTTTTCTGCTATGACGTTTATAAGATAAATGTGATATGAGATGTATGATTTAAAATCTGACAAATTTACATAAACGTTTTACGAAAGTATCGCTTCTAAGTGTGAATAAATGATGGTTTATCTTTATCAATTTGAAAGGCATCATTGTGCTTGATAAGGTATATCTTTTCATTATTCAGCATAATTTCGTGTCTAATTAGTGTATTTAACAACCATGAAAATTATTTAAATAGTTTTGCACGCTCTAAAGCCTAGTGGGTTTGGACCCCCTGCCAAAACCCTCTAGCAATTTTTTTAGATAATGAACTCTCCCTGTCTCAAATACATTTCATTGCATATATCGTGTCAACAAGATTTAAATCAGTGATGCTCTCTGCTATATTATATGAAAAAATTTCTGCAAATTTAAACGAGATTTTCAATTCATAGTCTTAACTTAAATTATTCGACAATAATGCTAGAAATAACTTGATTTTGTCATGAAGTAATTAGTAATTTCTGCAGAGACTGCTATATAATTATTTTGTACAATTTTTAAGGACAGACTTAACAAAATGAACTTTTGTTTTGTCTGTTTTGATGTTTACAGAATTATTCAAACTCACACTTGAGAAATTAAAACGTTGCCTGAACGTAAAAGTATGGTGTATTCATTCAGTATTTGTTGTCATCAGAATACGAGGATCTAGCGATTAACTGACTACAGGCAGCATTTCATTCTCTATGGATGAACTAGTCAATGAGAATATTTACTAAAGTCAAAACTCCGTCTGCAATACACAGTCCCATTGGTCTAAATGAAAACGGACCTCTAACTTGTCGAGAATAAAATTCTACCTTAAAAAGACACTCTGTAAATTCTACTTTCGTAACTCGTTACTTAGTATGTCTTAAAACACAGAACGACTATGCATCAGTTACTCTTACACAAATCAATAATGTGTTATTGTTACAGTAACTTTATATGCATCAATACTTAAAGGATTCTTGATATTTTATATTTTTCTTTGTGTTAGGTCTTTCCACAGTTTTTCCTGGAAGCACCAATGCTGCTGCAGTACAGTCACCCTATAACGTGTTTTATGTATTTGGCGGTGATTTTATTTATATCATTGAACCGGAAAGCAGAAGGTTGATTGATACAATAAGCAATGTTTCGTCACCAGGAATTTGTACAAAGGGTTCAAACCGAGTCTCGATGTAAGTCTTCTTTCAAACTTCTTCTTCGTTGATAAACTTAAAATCATTTACTAGCTGCGATATAAAATACGGTGTTCGATAGTATCCTAATGATACAAACACAATAGAGACAGTGTTTTATACAGTTTGATAGTTTACAGATAAAATATCATGTATCTTACTTTAGACAGTAAATCACAGTGATTTTATAGCTGCAAGACGCCACTTAAAAACATATATCTGCGTTTCATTTCTTTCTTTCTATGTTTTTTTATGTGTTTTCAGCAACGAGTGCTGGTTTAGTGGTGCGCAGGTCATCGACGGACATGTTTACGCCTTGGATTATTTTGGAGGTGCAGTTAAAGTAATTGAGGCGAAGACACGACAGTTAAAGAACACCATTAAAACAGATGCATTGCCGGTTGGTGTGTATGATCTGCGTTGGCTGCGGGAAGCCTGGGTCCACTCGTGGAGTAAATCTACACTTGACGTCATCAAGACGGATGTGGGCATTCGTACCCATAAAGCTATAAAAGCCCACGTCGACCCGGGTAAGAAAAAGTTGTCGTTTTGGAAAGTACATATGGGAAGTGCAAGATGTCTTCAATTTGGTCCATTCTGATTTATGTGATCTAAAATGCCTCTTCATTTTCGAAATCTTTTGCCCATTTCACCTTATGATAAGCATGATTATGAAACGCTTCTAGAACATACATTGATCTTCATAAAGTTGATGAATGATGTAATACAATTCATAGTTAACTTTCCTATGTTTTGACTCTCTCGTTTACCAAGTTATCGCCTGCTTCTTGATTGGACAAACATGAAAGTCAGCTACACGACACTAAAATTTCTTACATCGAAACTACAACAGCAGCACTCCTTAAGACCTGCGTAACACTTGCATGTGATGCGTATGTTTTCGTTTGTAGAACAAAACAACGCAAGTGCAACAATGTTACAATGGAGAAATTTTCGTGAGATGGAAATGATACCTAAATATAACATCACTTATAACAAAGCATTATGTGATTAATAATGTCTTTTTAGGATGGACCCACGGTGATATGATGGCCCATGAAAAATTGTTGGAAGGTCACTATGGTTACGTCACTCACATAACCAACACGGGAATGCACAAGGTGAATTTGGTTGACAAAACATACGTCAAATTCCTCAATTTCACAGGACATGGCTGCACAGGTACATGGAGAATGGCCTTCTCGCCAGTTAATCATCGTATTTACGTCGAATGCAGATTCGGTCGCTATCAGAAGTCAATACTGGAACTCGACCCTTCCACTGACAAAGTAACATCAATCTTTCCATTTCCTGGTCAACCATACGCCTCCCCAAATGGTCATTATATTGTCACACTTTATCGCAGTGGAGACATCAGTCGAGTCAACATAATCGATCTGTCTGGACAACATAGCAAGATATACCATCAACGTGATGTCCCAGGAGGTGTAACAGACGCAGTTTTTTATCCCAAAAGTACAAATCCCGATTCTTATTATGTATTCATGGCACTTCAAAACACAAATAGGATGGCGGTCATTGATTTGGAGTTGGCTTCGCAAAGAGACAACAATGCTTTGAAATACATCAATGACGTTGATTTTGCGGACACGACTCGTTTCCGTCGTTCGCGAAAGTTGTTCATAAACGGAAAATGGATCATTTCGGCCGCGTCGAGAACGAACACAGCTGTCATCGTTAATGCTGAGACCCAAAAGGTTCATGGGAAGATTGTAAATATTGATCACGGAGATGAAGCTATTTGGGTTCATAATTCAGGACCAAGTGGTCCTAGGTCCTTCTTGGTGATGATTTGGCTTTGTTTGTTCTTGAAATTTTTCTTTTAAAATGTGAAACTTTTATACCTGTTGCAATGGTTTTTGTCGCATCTCAATTCGTCGCCAAAGCACTGTATGCGAGTAAACGACTATTGTTTATAAGTTTGCAATTCTGTCAAAAATGTTTTATTTTGTATAATGAAACATCCGTCATTTTAGTGTTTCTGTGTTTATTGAACATGCAAGCTTGGTATTCGTATTTCAACATTTTTACTCTAAAACAATAATTTTATTCAATAAATTGTACTACTTTATATAAAAATGTATCAATTATTTTTTCTCGACCAATTGGATCAATTAACGAATTTTTAATTCGCTTTAATGAATGTGAACAAGCAAAAAAATTAATTCATATTGCCCGCATATTATTTCTAATTGCCATATTGAAATAAGTCGTTATCATTGTTTGTAGCAATAATGAAGATCCTACCCTTGCATCAATTATAATAATCATTTTTCAAATTTACGGTAAATTGTAATGAAGTAGTAACAAGCACATTCTTCGGCAATGCATTTGGGAGAAAAACGATATGGGGGCATATATATTTTCTTCAAATATCGAGTTCTTTGGATAGCTTGTACCAAACAAAGAATTGAAAATTTATTTTCACAGAAGAATTTAAAGTTTTTTTTGTACAATTTTCTTCTATCATGAACAATAAGGATTGTACGATGGAGATTTGATCGACACCAACGCCGCAGAAATTAACGTAATGCTCTACTTAAAAATTACTTTTGGAACCATGGAGGAACATCAAGTAACGTATGCCTGGAGAGGGCACGTAGTCCGGGAACTCGAGCATAAGGATCATCAAAATTCACGGTAGATATGCAAATTTCAAATTAGTCACTGTACTTCAAGGACTTCAAAGACTGTACTTCAAAGACTGTACTTCATTTTGACAGGAAAATTTGTACAGGAAAAGTTCTGGCGTTTAGTAAATAAAGTGTTTCTTTCCATATTTCAAAATTATTTCACAATTAACTAACTCCGTGGAGCCGCACTCGTGATGACAGCCCCCGCAAAACAATTTAGCATAGCTTAGATGCAAAAACCACGGGAATTTGGACCCTGCAGTCAATATTTTCAAGTAGATGTTGAAGTCTGTCTTAAATACATCTTGTATCATATTTCTGAGTTATGAGACAGACAAAGTTCTGCAAACTTTATTGACATTTTTGATTCGTATTCTTTAATTTGAATTATTCGACACTTAATGCCTTAATTTTCAATATGAACATAAATAGCCCAACATAATGCTTTTAAAAAAGCCATCACAGTAATAAAATAGATAAGGATTTATTAATAACGTTTCGTCTTTAACCTTAAATCCTTATTAATAAATCCTTATCTATTTTATTACTGTGATGGCTTTTTTAAAAGTCTTATGTTGGGCTATCATGTTCATATTGAAAATTCGCTTTCCGCCTGGCAAATCTCTGGCCACGATTTTAAATAATGCCTTAATACTATAAATCATGAAAATATGTAAACAGTGCATGGTTTTTTTAAATAGTCCGTCAGCAACTTTTGTTAGCAACATAGTTGGCAACAATTGCAGAGTAGAACAAAGCTCTTTGTAATAAGTAACCTCTGATTAAAATAGACATATAAAAGTTCAAAAATGTATTTTTCAATACAGGGAATGAGCCAAAATAGGCAATGGAAAACATTGAAAACAATACAATCAAAACATATGGTTTATGGAAAATTCACAGTGATTCACAGCCTGTGATCCTTTTGCCTTTTAAGTTTAGCTATGCTGCCTTGCTCGCTCACTCAAGGCTCGCTTCTGAGGTAGCATATTTTATAGAAAAGTGATGTGGAACACAACGATAAGAAATAGGTACAAAGCGCGTTCATGTGAGTAACCTGACAATAAATTAGGTGGCTACAGAATAAAGTAGAGATGATTACAGCATATCATTCTACTAGAATCATCAAATGATAAAAAGTACACAAGAAACCGCCAAGGCTCTTTTCATTTACGATATTTCAGTATTTAACTTCAGCATTTTGGAATTCGCCATTGCACTTTTTGTGCATCCAAACTCAATTCAACGTTGTTGCATCCTTTTTGCTATATTCAAAAGTCTTAGCTTATTTAAAATTCAAATGATCACAATGTGTAATTCTCACGTGTAATTGTCACATTTTAAAGAAAAATCATAAAATTTTGTTCACCGCTACCTGGTTGGCTCATAGGCAAAATGTAAACGCGAAAAATGATTGGTCCAAAAGTGGTTTCCTGTGATTTCGTAACCGAAAGCAATATAAGCGGTATCATTCTTTACACATATCCCAATTTTAAGTGTTGAACGAAGTGTAAAAGGAATTTTGCATTCGGACTGTTAATTATCTCGAATCAAAGCTCTTTGCATCACCTTAAGGCAATGGATCGTTTCGTCGCGTTGAAATTTTTAATTTTTTGCGGTAAGTTGTAAGTTGGTCAAACCAGAACATGCGCAAAGTTAACTTATATTAGTTGACGCTCAACTCGAACGCAAGCAAATGGTGCATTGCTTTATGTCATCTCGCTGTATTATCAACTCGCCACATTTGAGACTAAAGTTGACATAGGTGTTCTTTGTACATAAAGAATTATGGCTCTGCTTGTCCAAGCGATTTCCTAACCATCAATTGACATTGATGTTGCGAGCCGGAATCTTTTTATTGACGTGCATGAAGGACTGTTTACATAAAATTGGCCAACGTGGCGGTTGGGTTACTTCGCAAATGCTTATAATGTTTTCACAATAAATTATTAACTGTTCAAACAAAAATATTTTCATATGTTTTTGATAATACGTGATGTAAGCAGATATAGAGCTCCATTTAAAAGATCTCTTATCCCAAACTACTTCAACTTTCTATATTTAACAGAAGAAGTGGAGATCCAGTTCGATGAATGCAGTTCGTTCATTATTAATTCTCGAGACGTAGAACGACTATTGGCTATTTTAAGTTCTATCTATAAATAACTTTGTTATGATGACAATAGCTTATTTGTTTGTGTATTTTTATTTGAAAGCAGATCACGGGAATATTTAAATGTTTTTTTCTTTTTTCCACTATTTGAGGTATTGTCACAGCTTTTCAGGGAAGCACCAATGCTGCTCGAGTACCGTCACCCTACAACGTGTTTTATGTATTTGGCGGCAACTATATATATATCATTGATCCAGAAACCAAAACAATGATTGATAGTATAACCCATACGACGTCACCAGGATTTTGTGCAAAAGGAGGTCCCGGATTTTCAAGGTTAGTCTAAGTTGAAACTGATTGAGCTGCTACCAGCTGCGACAATAACACAGTACTTAAAAATATAGCTGCCACAGCAGATGCATTGCAACATTGCAATTGATGTTAACATATATAGAAAGAGTAATGTTAAGGCTACAATTGACGTCACATTGTTGCCATGTTAACGTAGAATGCGATTCTTACTTTCAACCATGCCTTTGAAATGTTTTTGTGCGTTCGTTTTTAGTGGAGAGTGTTGGTTCAGCGGTGCACATATTGTTGGTAAGCATATGTACGCTTTGGATTATTTCGGAAACGCCGTTAGAGTGTTTGAAGTAAAGACAAGAAAACTTATCGAAAGCATTAAAACCGATGCCAATCCAGTGGGTATGTATGATCAGCGATGGCGCAAAGAGACCTGGATTCACTCCTGGACTCTGTCCACACTTGACGTCATCGATACAGATGAACGCAAACGGACTCACACAGCTATAAAAGCTCACATTTCACCAGGTAAGAGTAAATTGTGGTTTTTAGAAAGTGTGACGTGTTGCCAAGCAGCTATTGTCGACATGACCCTCGTCACTTTAAAAACTTAATATGCCAACAATCTGTTGATGTACACATTGTAAACGTAAGTGTTCAAATATAAATAGTCCAGAATATTTCCTGAGCATTTTCAAATGTCCTTTTAGGATGGACCCACGGTGATATGATCGCCCATGAGAAATTGTTAGGAGGTCGCTATGGTTATGTTACTCACACAACGAACGAAGGAATGCACAAAGTGAATTTGGATGACAAAACATACGTCAAATTCCTTAACTTCTCGGGTTATGGCTGCACAGGCACATGGAGAATGGCTTTCTCTCCTCATAATAACCGTATTTACGTTGACTGCAGGCAAAATCGCCGAGAATCGAAGACACTCGAATTCGACCCTTCAACTGACAGAGTGACAAGAGTCTTTCCATTTCGTGGATATCCCTACGCATCTCCAAATGGTCATTTCATCGTTTCGATTTATCGAAATGGACGAGACGTCAGTGTTATGAACATAATAGCCATATCTGGAACGACGGTTAACCGTTACCCTGAACATGCTATTCCTGGAGGTTTGACAGATGTAGTTTTTTACCCAAAGCGTGAAAATCCAAATTCCTATTATGTATTCGCCACTCTTCAGTACACAAATAGAATGGCTGTGGTTGATCTGGATTTGGCCTCGAGAAGAGACGACAATGCTGTAAGATACATCACTGATGTTGATTATGCGGACACGACTCGTTTTCTTCGTTCTCGAAAGATGTTTATGCATGGAAAATGGATTATTTCGGCCGCTTCTCAGTCAAACACTACGGTCATTGTTAATGCTGAGACCCAAAAGATTCATGGGAAAATTCCTAACATCGATAAAGGAGATTATGCTCTATGGGTCCCTGATCCTAATTCCGGAACAAGTGGTCTTAAGTCCTTCGTGGTAATGATTTGGTTTTGCTTGTTCTTGAAATTTTTCTTTTAAAATTTGAACCTTTTCCCATTACAATGGCTTTTTAGCCGCATGTTATAATTCGTTTGTAAAGCACCGTATTCGAGTAAAACACGATTGTTTTAATATAACGTTGTAAATCTGTAAAGTCTTTTATTACTTATAATTCTAACAAGCATTTTGCACTCAGGATTTAGCATTTAACATTCATGTTTTTGAAATGGACATTCGAACTTGTTAAAATATTGATACATTTATATGAGTTGTTAATATTGCCTGTTGCTATATAAATTCTCTCCGTCATATTAAACAGTTTCCACTCTTTATAGTTTCAGACTTCAATATTTTCGATCATTTCTTGTGGCTATGGACATGGGAAGATCGATAATTGGGGAGGAGGCTCCTATTCATATACGCATGTTATAATCCGTTGAGAATAATGGATTCCAAAGGGATTTGAAAATGCATATCATTTTTAAATGCATATCACTACTGATTTTCATCGCATGAAATTAATCATCCAATTCTAAGCGTCCTTAAAGTCTGAAGTCTGTATGTCTGCTGAATATGCTGGTTTAAAGTATGGACGCACGAAGATGGACGACGTTTTGAGGGGAGGGCTTTTGAAGAGCTTTCATAAATAATTTCATCGAGTTTTCGACTCGAGTCTGCTTCGAGCCTTCTTCAGAATATAGGAAGGTTTGTTTTGTAGACGTTCAGAGACGTCTTATTGTAAATTAACTTAAAAAAATTAAAAAAAAATAACAAAAATAACAGCCTATACTTTATATTCGCGCTAACTACATCTGCAACTTTTTATTGCGGAAAAGATTATTAAAAATTAGAGAAATAGGTAAATTCTGGAACGCTTATTGAGTTTTATCCCTGTAGAAACCGTTTTGTTAACAGACGAAAAAATAAAAAAGCAACGATTTTTCAGACTGTGACATGTATTTCATATACATGACGTAATCTATGATTCAAATTGTAGTACTGCCTGAAGATTGCAGGAAAACGCAAGGCACAAAAAGAATTTTCAGACTTTGTCAGTCAAGACAATGGTCACAACAGGTCCGTAGATGTCGACAATAAAATTCATTTCATTCTTCTACAACATAGACCAGGAATTTAGCGGACAGCAGTTTATAAATTTGAAATGAATTTTAAAATTAATACTGAGGGTGGCGTTTAATAGAGTGTTTCCTTTCTATATCTCAATTTCTTTTAACGTTTCACTGAATACCGACGAGCCGCGCTCCTGTTGACAACCCCCGCAAAACATTTAAGCATATTTAGATGCACAAGTCAAGCAAATTCGGACTCCCAGTCTATATCCGTTTTACCTTAAACTAACTTATAAGACCATTCTATAATGATAAGTTTTATCGAACAGACACCTAAGAAGAAGGAATGTTGTCATTGACAAATAAGATTTTTGTTCAAATTTTCAACTCCAAGCCGATCATATCATACGAAATTTACGTCGTCAGGTCGTCAGTCATATAGGGCAAAAGCTAGCATGCCACGGTACTGCCTATTACTTACTGGTGAAACACATTTTATCTAAGGTTTGTAGAGGCGTTTTCATTTTTAATCATTAAAATAAAATTCCCAAGCACAACATTATAATGTAACCTATTTGTCTGTTGCAATGTTAAAGAAGTCTTCTTTCTGGGAGAATGTGAACCAAAATCATTTAACTAAAAATTTCTACCTTTGTAGAAAATGCAGACAAGCGAAGCAATATCATTTGTAATGCTAAAATTAGTCTATATGGAATATTTGCACAGCCATATATGAAAGCCTTAAACAATTAAAACCTATATTTATGGTATGAACCTGACCTACAAATTGCCACATCATGTAAATATGCAAGTATAACTTTGTATTGTCTGCATACTCATCAACCAACTTCAAAGTACATCAAATGAAATATCTATCGTATCAACCTAAAACCTACAAATTATTAGCAGTTTATTTATAAAAGGTCCAGTGATGTGGCTATTTATATGGAGAGAACATTTTTGCTATTATGAACCTAAGCAACAGGTGATTTTCTTTGTAACATTTCGCAATTCGAGACACGTCGACAAGCGGCGAAACGGAATTTATATTGTCTTACAGGATGTTAAAGCTCTCTTTCTATTTTAATCATTCAAAAATATTTCACATCAAGACTGGTCGCATTTATAGAAGTCGATGGATCCTTTTCTCGCAGTTTTGATTTCTATTTTAAGTTTAAACTTAGACAAGCAATTTAAAGAATCTTCATATCAAAGGAGACGCTCATTCTGCACTGTTTGAGCTCAACTTGAACGCACGCAAGTATTGAAAATTTTCATTTCATCCTTTTCTATCGTTTACTATCCATTTGGGTGGCCACCGTTTAACATTTTAATAGCTTATGTATGCGGATAAAGAAGTATAGTTCTTCCAAACAGTTTTTTCCCATTAGTTGATGTTGCATTTGCTCATGTGCATCAACCATGTAATCTGCATTGCTCGTCAGAAGACTTGCTCATACGAAAGTAGCTTAAAGGGTTCTAATAGATATTCACCATTAACTGGAAATTTCTGCAAAATAAGTTCAAGCACTAATTAAATAAAGTCTTCCTTTCCATGTCTCAATATATTGTCCAGTATATATACATTTACCGACTCACCAACTCCCAAGAGCCGCGCTTTTGATGACAGCCCCCGCAAAACACTTTAGCACAGCTTGGATGCAAAACCTACATCTGCACGCAAATATCAAATTTTCTTTTAAATACATCTTGTTGGATTTTTGACTTGTCAAACTACTGAAACAAACGAAATTCAGGAAATTGAACATTTCGAAATCTCGATTTGTAGTTCTGCAAGGTATTTTGTTCATTTTCATTTAACTTACAAAACTGTTCTATGATCAGAAATTATATCAAGTAGACACCTAAGAAAAGGAAAATTGATTTTGATATGGAATAATCAGAAGTTTGTTTAAATTTTTGGGGTTAATTAGATCAGATAGCATGAAATGCCTCATCGCAGGAATTGCAGGGGGGCGAACAAAAATGAAGTTTATACATGCATTTACACGAATATATTCGAGTTATTGCTTTAGAGGAATTCATCTTTACATTGATTTGTTGCCTTATTCTCCAAAATGCAATGACATGTCAGAATTCGATGTTTACCTAAGTGCAATTCGAACTTTGTCCTTTGAAAGGAATATTGGAACAATTTCCCAAACAAAATAGTTGATTCTACAGACATTTACTCCTGAAAAAAATCAACCTTACGTGGGCAAATAATATACTTGCGCAGAATAAAACCAAAGTGGGGGGTACAAAACTTGACAAATTGTGCTGAAATGACACTTTAAACAATCTGATTTACATTTTATGGTCTAATGCTTCGACGCCTTGAGGTTAAATTAACATTGCTCCCATTTAGGTTGCGTGAATTTCACAAAGCTTTCTGAATCTTTCAAACACTGGTTGTTAGGTGATGGCGCTAAAGATAAAATGAAGGACCACTGCCTTGAAAGACACGCGCATAACACGATTTCGCGATTTTGTTCGTTGTTGCCACGTTTCCTTGCCAAGAGAAGGATAAAGATTATTCGCGAATACAAAAGGAGAAAACTTTTATACTATCCATTGCTGTAATAATATTGTTTGATTTATATTTGATTTGGAATTGTGGATAACATTGCGTCTAAGAAGTTATAAGTAATTGATTTGGACTAATTTACAGTATATATTGTACATATGGTCAGTGATTTGGGGCATTAACTAGTGTATCTATCGTCATGGAATTGCTGCCTGTAATTTTGGCATAACTTGGTATTTCAGCGATCTTTTTGACGAGATATTTTCATTCACTTTCAATTGTGATAAGAGGCAAATTCCAAACACAACTTCATTATGCACCGCGTTTGTTTGCTGCAATGTCAATAAAGAAAAATCAAACGAACAAACGACTACAAAATGGAGCGAATCGATTCAGTGGCGGATCCAGAGTACGTCAAAATACATTACTGCAGCACATTTTGGCGTATATTTCCATTTTAAAAACCTTAGAGGCAAACCATTAGTAAAACTATATTCTTTAGAAATTAAAAACCAATATTGTTTTCCTGAATGTAATTTGAATTTTAAAATTGAGGAGTTATAATTTATTTTGACGTACACTGAATCCGCCGCTGAATCGATTCATCGAATCATTCTACAGATTAGAGCGAACTCAAAGATACTCCTTTTAAAATATCTGCCACCGTGACGATTTCATAGTAAACTTTTATTAATTTTAACCCTTTATTGCCATTTTTTTACTCCAGTTTTAATGTACATAGAATCTTGCTCGGGGTACATAAATATAAAATGCTTATATATCAAGACGTGAAAATTAACAACCGCTGTCATGAAAGACTGCATGTAAAAGTTCTTTGCATTCAACGCAACACAGACAAAAAATCTTTATATAATTCATAAGAAAGTACTTTAAGCCAATAAAAACACAATCTGTGCAACGACATCTAGAAAAATCTTGGGAGGACATTGTAAGAATACTATAAATAAATCTTTTCATCAACACCTGTTCATCAATTTTCAATGCTAAGCAATTTGATTGGTTTAAGAAAAATGTAAACAAAATTGCTGATTGGTTCAAAATATGAATAATTCTTTATGTTGCAATCAAATGTAATATAGGTGGCCTCATACTTGATACGTTTCACATTCCAAAGTATCTTGCAAGGTGTCAAACGGTTTGTTACATTTGGATTATTAACTTAAATCAAAGCTTTGTGAAATAATTAAAGACAATGTATCGTTTAATCACGCTGTCGACGTTTTTGGTTTTTTGTGGTAAGTTATTAGAACAAGTGCAAAGTCAACTCGTACAGCTTAGTTCGAGCTAAATTCGAACGCAACCAGCTTTTCATACCATAAACGGTCCACTTCTGTGTACACAACATTTTAATAGCTTTTTATGAGCAATTTAGAATCATAGTTGTGCTTGTCCAAGCGGTTTTTTAGCATTAGTTGATGTTGATGTTGCACCTGCACCAACTGCTAATGACGCAGTTGTAACATGAATATTTTCATATGACGTTTTAGTTGTCATGACGTAATGAAATGTGTCGTAAGCGGTGCGATTTAACATATGAAAAAGTCGCTTCAACGTTTTATACCGAATTCTTGCTTTTATTTCTTCATGACGTAAGAATTTCAGAATCTTATCTTCGTCAATTTAAAATTCAGTACAGAATATATCATGGTGCTTAATAAAGAGTTTCTTTTTCGCTTTTCAAAATGATTTCACGTTTCGTTGATTTACAAGCAGCCGGAGTTACGTTTAAGAACTGAAAATAATTTGCACATTTCCAAACATAGATTAAAGACGAAATATTATCGACTCTGTTTCAAAACTGTTGTTTTTTCATCGTGAATATCAAGAAAATTAAATGTCGATATTTGTTTATTTATTTAATTTTGTATTTCCTAAAGTTTGCTGCTTGTTTTGGTGTTTGGTCTTATTTGCTTAGAGAGAGAAATGTAAACAAATGAATGATTAGTCAAGAACAAACTTCCATCTGGTTGAAACCTCCATTTGGGCAAATGTTCTTCATTAATTTATGCCTGTATTCTTTCTGACAGTAGGTCATTGGAAAATATAGTTATTAGAAATATTTTAAAGCAATTAAAGAAATATTAGATAGTTCTTACATTTTATATTTTTTCGATGCCTTTTCACAGTTCTTCAATCAAGCATCAATGCTGCAGTAACACCGTCACCTTACAATGCATTTTACGTCTTTGCTGGCGATCATATTCACATCATCGAACCAGAAAGCAGAACACTTGTTGGTACAATAACAAACATAACGACACCAGGACTTTGTGTGAAAGGAGGAAGCAGGTTGGTCATGTCAAACTTATTAACTTTATGAAATTAAAATCTTTTATTAGCTCAGCTCCAATACAAAACAGTATCTGCAGAGTATAATTAACAATAAAAACACAGTTAAATGAAGATATGATCTTCGCACTTTGCTGGACAATTTAAGCAATTGTCTCATGAACCTGAAAAATGCAGGTGACTCAATGGAACAATAAAAACAATAAAAACACAGTATTCTTATTGTTTTGTGACAATGTTTTACTGAACTAGTTTGATTGTTGACATCACTTAATTGTGATACAATATCATTTGTCGTTGAGTAGAAAGTAAATCACGGCTAAAATTTTATGCTAACTAAATAAAACCACAGTGATTATGTGGCTACATTACGCCACATAAAAAACATACTGCTGTCATGTTAACGTCTGGAGTGTGATTTTCGTGGCAAGCTGTGGTCAACGGTATATCAATTCGACAAGATATATTACGTAATAAAGTTTCGAAACCAGGGAACTCGCATATAAAGTAGATGTAGAAAGTAGATGTACTACCTTCGTCAATAATTGGCCTTTGTTACCTTTGACAAAGTGCATATCACAAAGATGTTAAATCATAGATGTCTGGTCATGAGGTGGCCAACTGAAACCAGTAATCTGTTTAAATATACAGAACCGAGCCAAAGCAAAGTGGTGCGACTGTTTATTACATTTACTGTGGTTCTTCTGAAAAACATCACGTAACTTCATCAGTTTCTTCTCATTTGCACAGAAATTAAAATTTCTACTTTAGTTACTTGCACACCGCATGTACGCGTTGCGTACCTATTTTAGGTTATCAGGTACACTTCTGCTAATGCTTGTCTATAGTTTGTAATGTGTTTTTTTTATCTTAGCAACGCGTGTAGATTCACTGATGCCAGAGTCATCAACGGACAAATGTATGGCTCAGATTATTATGGAAGTGCAATAAAAATCATCGATTTGAAAACACAAAAAGTCATAGAAAGAATTCCAACGGATACTACCCCCAGATACATGTATGATGTGCATTGGTACAATGAAATATGGGTACACTCGTGGACTCTCTCTACATTTGCCGTCGTCAAGACGGACAAGCGCATTCTTACCCACAAAGCTGTACGAGCTCACACTACCCCAGGTGAGGAAAATTGTGTCTTAATACAACTTCATGGAGACGCATCGTGTTAAACTGTCATCCTAAATGTCTCTTTCGATCTACATTGTGTCTTCATTTCTGTAAATCGTGACGATGCATTCAATTAGATTACTGGCAGCTCTACACCTTTAACCGCATCATTGTTCCTACTGGTTGGAAAATACCATTTAATGGGATGCGCTACACAAAAAATTTAAATGAATAGCCCTGCTGTATGTTCTCTATACTGTGTTGACGTGTTTACAAATCTTTACAATGTCGTTTTAGGATGGACCCATGGTGATATGTTGGCAGATGAAAAGTTGTGGGAAGGTCGATATGGCTACGTCTCTCATTTTGGAAACGATGGAATACATAAAGTAAATTTGGTAGACAAATCGTACGCAGGATACGTGAATCTTTCAGCATACAACTGTACAGGCACTTGGAGAATGGGTTACTCTACTTATAATCAGCGTGTTTACGTCGACTGCAGACAGAATCGCCGCGAGATGCGAACACTTGAAATGGATCCAACAACTGACAGAGTAACCCGAGTCTTCCAATTTCCAGGAAATCCCCACGTTTCTCCAAATGGTCGTTTCATAGTTTCGGTATACAATCGTTACGGCGTCAGTACTGTCAACATACTCGCTCTGTCCGGAATGGACGTAACGCATTACCCTAAACTTTCTTTCAACGCTGAAGGTGCAACAGATGTAGTTTTTTACCCCAAGAGTACAAATCCCGATTCCTACAATGCATTCGTGACTTTTCAAAACACAAATAGAATGGCAGTCATTGATTTGGATTTGGCTTCCGACAACAACAATAATGCAGTGAAATATATCAATGATGTTGGTGAAGTAGACACAACTCGTCGACGTCGTTCGCGAAAGTTATTTATTAACGGAAAATGGATCATTTCGGTGGCATCGAAATCCAACGAGGCCGTCATCGTTGATGCCGAGACCCATAAGGTTCATGGGAAAATTCCAAACGTTGATACAGGAGATTTGGTACTTTGGGTCAATTCAGGGTCCAGTGGTCCCAAGTCCTTTGTGGTGATGACTTGGCTTTGCCTGCTCTTGAAATTTTTCTTCTAAATCTGACACCTTTTTCCAGTTACAATATCATTCTTTTCCTGTCCTAATTTGTATATCAAACACTGTATTCTACTAAATACACACATAATGATGACAATTGTCGTCATGTTTTCCTAATTACAATTTAGCATTGCTATGATCATGTTTTTGATATGGACATCCAAACTTGATCATTTCGTTTGATTAAATTAATGGACAAGTAGCTTAAAATGCAATCCTATATTTCATGATTACTGTCAGCCATATAAAAAAGTATGAACTTATGACTATTCATGTAGAATTCATCTGATATTAAATTATTTCTTGTGGTAATTTTGAATCAATTTGATCCGGATTCTATTCTGTTGGCGTTGAATTGCTTGTGTATCTAGTTCAGTTTTCAAAAGCATAATTTCTTGTGGTACAATCGTCTGTATCTGATATTGCTGAATTTATCAATCAACACTTTACCATTTAGCATTCCGCCACTGTCTTCCACTACATAAAATTAAACATCATATTTTCTCATTCCGCTTTGAATTTGATGATGGCCGAAGTGCCATTATTAACTAAATTAAAGAATAGCTTTAAAATTAGCATATGAAATTTGGTCGCTTTTACCAAAATTTGTACTTCTGCTGGTTATTTTTAACCAATGTGTAATTTTAGAATCTTGTATAGGCGATCGAATATTGATCACTGAAATCGGTGGCAAAACAATAAAAAGTGTTCTAGAGTTTTCTAAAATCTTTCTAGCAAAGGTAGTCTGTTATGTTAATCAAGGTTTGTTCGACAGGCTAATCAATTAGTATCCAAAGGCATGGAAATGGATGTAACGTTTTCTTCGTTAACTAATTTTTAACAAGGATCCATGAATAAAAGTGGTGAAGAAAAGATGCAAAATTTGATAAAACAGCAGGGTTTTTTAAAACTATTGTATCAACACACAATTTATATTTAATTGCACGCTGTACTTCAAAAAATCGTGTTCTGAGCACGTTTCTCCAGCTGGATAAGACATCTCTCCGTGCGACTCCCCCAAATCGAAATTGACATATGATAATTTTTCTATTTACTATTGCGGACTAGAAAGAACTAGTTTCATGATGTCTCTCCTTTATAAAATATTCTAAAATTTGTTTCGGCATAAACAAAATTTGTATAAACAAATTTGTCGGTATAAACAACACATAACAAAAAGACTGCTTCTAATTTTCATTTCAAATTGTAAATCGAGATCAAATATATATGTTCTTTCAGTTTAAGTTGTTGGCGGCTCAATTAAGAAGGTTTTAGTGAACTGTGATTCATACTGAGATTATTTTTTTGTTGTTTTAATACAAGCAAAGGTGTTTGGTGCCTCTCTTTGTGACATGTCGAAATATGTGACACGCTGGCAAACGGCGCGGGGAATTCATATGTTGTCTCGTAAAATGTCGAAGCTCTCGTTAAATGTTGAATACTAAAAATAATTTCATATCAAGTCTTGTTGCACTGATAGAAGTCAATGGATCGTTTTCTTCAAGTTTTCAGCGTTTATTGGTAAGCTTTATAAATTTCAAATGATATTCAAAACAGAGGAGGCGCTGTTTCAGCACGGTATGAGCTCAACTTGAGCACACGCATATAGTATAGTTTCATTTCATTCTTCCACAACATAGACCAGCAATTTAGCGGACAGCAGTTTATCAATTTGAAATCAATTATAAAATAAATACTGAAGATGGCGTTTAATAGAGTGTTTCCTTTCTACGTCTCAATATCATTTAACGTTTCACTGAATACCGACGAGCCGCGCTCCTGTCGACAGCCCCCGCAAAACATTTAAGCATAGTTTAGATGCACAAGTCAAGCAAATTCGGACTCCCAGTCTATATTCGTTTTACCATAAACTAACTTATAAGACCATTCTATAATGATTAATTTTATCGAACAGACACCTAAGAAGAAGGAATGTTGTCATTGACAAATAAGATTTTTGTTCAAATTTTCAACTCCAAGCCGATCATATCATACGAAATTTACGTCGTCAGGTCGTCAGTCATATAGGGCAAAAACTAGCATGCCCATTGCGGTGAAGTTGCTGCCTATTAGTTACTGGTGAAACACTTTTATCTAAGGTTTGTTGAGGCGTTTTCATTTTCAATCATTAAAATAAAATTCCCAAGCACAACATTATAATGTACACTATTTGTCTGTTGCAATGTTAAAGAAGTCTTCTTTCTGGGAGAGTGTGAACTAAAATCATTAAACTAAAAATTTCTACCTTTGTAGAAAATGCAGACAAGTGAAGCAATATCATTTGTAATGCTAAAATTAGTCTATAAGGAATAATTGTAGACCCATATATGGAAGCCTTAAACAATTAAAACCTATATTTATGGTATGAACCTGACCTACAAATTGCCACATCATGTAAATGTGTATTGTCTGCATACTCATCAACCAACTTTAAAGTACATCAAATGAAATTTCAGGTTATAAAAATGAAATATCATTAAAATGTTTCAACATTACATTATATCGTTGCCTTAGTCGGCAACAAATCGCGTGAAGAGTACAACAAATTAAGGCATTACCAAAAAAACGGAAGCTTTCCTCCTGAGAATAATTCAATTTTTGTGAGAATTAACGCTTAGACGAAAGGGGTGTTATTTTAAATAAAATCTGTCGAAGAAAGTCTCACAGTAGAGATTAAAGAATTTCAAAAACCTTTTAAAGCACACTGACACTAACAAAGCACAACTGAAGAACGCATACATGAAGTATCAAAAGCTTCAACTATATAAACTGTTTAGTCCTAATGCGTTAAATTTGTTTTTATTTCACAATTTTACATAAAGCTAAGCTTTCCACACATTGTAATTTAAACATAAAGACCTTCGTAGAACTTCAATAAACTTTTCACCGTTCTGAAAAGTTGTTTCTCGTTGTGACATTTTTCTTTAACTTAAGCCACTTTCACAATAATTGCCAATATTGAACTGGCAGAAGTCTTTGAACATGGTAAAGCAATTATAGAGGAATAAAGGGGAAAGACTCCTGATTGAAAGGAACGAAAACTACCAAAATAAGATCTTCATTGTATTTTAATTTACCAAATTCAGCGATAGAATCCTTAAATATGGTTTAAACCATATTTACGCACATTTAAACCATAGGTCTTGTATAAACAGAATTCACGTTGTCTGTGAACCCTTTAGTCTTATATACAGCCCCCAACAACTGAACAATTTTAAACAACAAAACACTTAAAATAAAAACTACGTGAAACTGTAAAATACTTTTTCGTAGACTCATTCAAAGTTCGAACAAGCCAATTCAGCGCAAGTTACGTGATGGTACATTATTATTGAGAAGAGTATATAATAGATCAAAACTGTTGCCTCGCTTGCTCGCTCCTCGCTTGCTAGCAAGAAAGGAATGCCGAACATAACGAAATAGATACGCAGTGGATGTTTGTGCTCGGCCTGACAAATGAATACGCGACTTCAAAATGCAGTGAATCGATAACTCAAATCGTTTCTGAAAATACGAGCGAAATCATAGATACTCTTTTCATGCTTGCGTATTCGCTGGCAAATGTCTTCCACTCGTGACGATTTCATTGTAAGCTTTTATTTATATTAATCTTCAGTGACATGCTTGTGCTCAGTTTTAATGTGCACAGGACCTGTTTAGCCCAACATGCATAATATACAGTGCATATAGACACGTAATAATTGATAACTATTGTCATGACAGTTGCGAGTGGTGTATAGTCAACGCAGCAAGGACGAACAATCGTTTAATCCTTTATGATTAAGTTTAAAATTGATAACTCCTCAAAAACACGATCTGTGGAAAAATCTATGCAAGGAAATCGAAAAATCTTTGGAGAATATTCTACAAACACTTCAATACAAAATGTCAAGTTTCTTTCTATTATCTTCTGTAATCTATGCAAATTGCTAATACTAAGCAATTTGATTGGTTTAAGAAAAATGTAAACAAAATCGCTGATTGGTACAAAATATTTTGCTGAGATGTCGCAATCAAATGAAATATAGGTGGTGTCATATTTTATACATTTCACATTCCAAAGTATCTTGCAAGGTGTCAAACAGTTTGTTACATTTGGATTATTGATTAACTTAAATCAAAGCTTTGCGAAATAACTAAAGACAATGTATCGTTTAATCACGCTGTCGACGTTTTTGTTTTTGTGGTAAGTTATTAGAACAAGTGCAAAGTCAACTCGTACAGCTTGGTTCGTGCTCAATTCGAGCGAAACCAGCTATTTAGGATTTTATGAGCTATACCATAAGATGCACTTTTGTGTCCACAATGTAACATTTTAATAGCTTTTTCATAAGCACAAAAAATTATAGTTGTGCTACGGTGCTTGTCCAAGCGGTTTCTTTAACATTACTTGTTGTTGCGCACCTGCACAAACTCCTAATGACGCAGTTGTAACATGAATATTTTCATATAACGTTTTATAGTCATGACGTAATGAAATGTGTTAGAAGCGGTGCGATTTAACATATGAAAAAGTCACTTCAACGTTTTATACCGAATTCTTGCTTTTATTTCTACATGACGTAAAAATTTCAGAAGCTTATCTTCGACAATTTAAAATTCAGTACGGAAGACATCATGGTGCTTAATAAAGAGTTTCTTTTTTATTATTCAAAATGATTTCACGTCTTGTTGATTCACAACCAGCCGGAGTTACGTTTAACAACTGAAAATAATTTGTACATTTCCAAACATTGATTAAAGACGAAATATTATCGACTCTGTTTCAAAACTGTTGTTTTTTTCATCTTGAATATCAAGAAAATTAGATGTTAATATTTGTTTATATATTTGATTTTGTATTTCCGAAAGTTTGCTGCTTGTTTTGGTGTTTGGTCTTATTTGCTTAGAGAGAGAAATGTAAAAAAATGAATGATTAGTCAAGAACAAACTTCCATCTGGTTGAAACTTCCATTTGGGCAAATGTTCTTCATTAATTTATGCCTGTATTCTTTCTGACAGTAGGTCATTGGAAAATATAGTTATTAGAAATATTTTAAAGCAATTAAAGAAATATTAGATAGTTCTTACATTTTATCTTTTTTCGATGCCTTTTCACAGTTCTTCAATCAAGCATCAATGCTGCAGTAACACCGTCACCTTACAATGCATTTTACGTCTTTGCTGGCGATCATATTCACATCATTGAACCAGAAAGCAGAACACTTGTTGGTACAATAACAAATACAACAACACCAGGACTTTGTGTGAAAGGAGGGAGTAGGTTGGTCATGTCAAACTTATTAAAGTTATGAAATTTTTCTCATTTTTATAGATATTACACTTTTTATTTTGGTTACTACTGCATGTACGCGTTGCGTACCTATTTTAGGTTTTTAGGTACGCTTCTGCTAATGCTTGTCTATAGTTTGTAATGTTTCTTTTATCTTAGCAACGCGTGTAGATTCACTGATGCCAGAGTCATCAACGGACAAATGTATGGCTCAGATTATTATGGAAATGCAATAAAAATCATCGATTTGAAAACACAAAAAGTCATAGAAAGGATTCCAACGGATACAACCCCAGATACATGTATGATGTACACTGGTACAATGAAATCTGGGTACACTCGTGGACTCTCGCTACATTTGCCGTCGTCAAGACGGACAAGCGCATTCTTACCCACAAAGCTGTACGAGCTCACACTACTCCAGGTGAGGAAAATTGTGCCTAAATACAACATAGTGATGAAAAACTACACAGGTTTAGGGAGACGCATTGTGTTAGACTGTCATCTAAAATGTCGCTTTCGATCTACATTGTGTCTTCATTTCTGTAAATCGTGACGATGCATTCAATTAGATTACTGGCAGCTGTACACCTTTAACCGCATCATTGTTCCTACTGGTTGGAAAATGCCATTTATTGGGATGCGCTACACAAAAAATTAAAATGAATAGCCCTGCTATATGTTCTCTATACTGTGTTGACGTGTTTACAAATCTTTACAATGTCGTTTTAGGATTCACCCACGGTGATATGTTGGCAGATGAAAAGTTGTGGGAAGGTCAATATGGCTACGTCTCTCATTTCAGAAACGATGGAATACATAAAGTGAATTTGGTAGACAAATCATATGCAGGATACGTGAATCTTTCAGCATACAACTGTACAGGCACTTGGAGAATGGGTTACTCTACTTATAATCAGCGTGTTTACGTCGACTGCAGACAGAATCGCCGCGAGATGAGAACACTTGAAATGGACCCTACAACTGACAGAGTAACCCGAGTCTTCCAATTTCCAGGAAATCCCCACGTTTCTCCAAATGGTCGTTTCATAGTTTCGGTATACAATCGTAACGGCGTCAGTACATCAACATACTCGCTCTGTCTGGATCGGACGCAACGCATTACCCTCAACTTTCGTTCAACGAGGAAGGCGCGTCCGATGTAGTTTTTTACCCAAAGCGTTCAAATCCCGATTCCTATTACGTATTTGTCGCACTTGGAAACACAAACACGATGGCCGTCATTGATTTGGATTTAGCTTCAGTAAAAGACAACAACGCTGTGAAATACATCAATGACGTTGACTCAGTTCAACCAAGTCGTTGGGGTGCTTCGCGATATTTATTTATAAATGGAAAATGGATCATTTCGGTGGCGTCAAAATCGAAGACTGCCGTCATCGTTGATGCCGACACCCATAAGGTTCATGCTAAAATTCCAAACGTTAACTCCGGAAGATTGGCGATCTGGGTAGACGATCCTAATTCTGGGACAAGTGGACCTAAGTCCTTCGTGGTGATGATTTGGCTTTGTCTGTCATTGAAATTTTTCTTTTAAAGTGTGAAACTTTTTCCATTGCAAATTACATTACCTTTTGTCGTCACATCTTCACTTTTTCAATGAAGCACAGCTTCGATTTTTTACACAATTGCTATTTATAAAAAACGATTTTTAGATTTGCCTCAGCGACAAAGTCTTTTACCACTAAACTTTATGTAACTCTTCGCTTGGTGTCGGCATATAAATTTCATTTCATTGTTCAACATTGAGACCAAGCCGACCCAAACTTTTACTCTTAAAATGTAAATTTTTCAAAGAAATTATAATTCATTTCTTTAGAAAATTACTTCCACATTACATTCATTATATTTCAAGAGAATGAACACCAAAATGTTAACATTTAGGGAGTACAAAACGGGCTGCGTTTGTACATTCTTTTACTTCAACTTGTTAGCAATTTAATGATAAAACCTTGCATTTACTAGTATAATCATATTGATTACTGTTTTGCTGCTGTGATTTATAAGCAATAGGTTGTTGTTGGTTTTCTTTGTGACACGCAGGCGAACGGCGAAACGGAATTCACATTATCACGATGGGTGTCAAAGCGCTCGTTAAAATTTGATGACTAACAAAAATTGCACGTTAGGTTCGTAGCACTCATAGAGTCGACGGTCATTTTCTCGCCCTGAAGATTTTCATTGGTAAGTTCAAGTCCATGAAAGCAGTTAAAATCAAATTCAAACCAGACAAAATGCTGTTGCTGCACTGTTTGACCTTAACTTGAAAGCACGAGAGAGAAATATGAAATGAAATATGAAATGAAATCATTATTCAATGATTTCATTTCATATTTCTATAACATGAACTTGTAACGACAGTTTAACATTTTAATAGCTGTTCTATGTGCACAAGAATTGTTATTCTGCTCGTCAGTCCAAACGATTTCTTCTTCAATAGTTGATGTCGTTCATGCTGTTGCTCATCAGCACCGACCATGTCGTCTTCAAAGCTCCCCTGAGATGTAGCTAATATGAACATTTATAATAGGTCACGTCTATCAGTTTGAAAAAAAATGTACAGAAAAAGTTCTGGCGCTTAAATAACGTGTTTGGTCACTATATCTCAATATTATTTAAGGATTGACTGAATATCCGCAATCATGTTGACAGCCCCCGCAAAATATTGGATGCACAAACTGAGCGGATTTGGACTGTACACAGTCTATATCTGTTAGTAAATATTCTGCAGTTGAACTTTAAAGACATTTGATCGACAATCTTAACAAGAATTGTCTACAATTAACGAAATCATTTTTTTGTTTTGTCATAAAGTAAGAAGCCAACAAGATTGTTCTTTGATCTCGAATTCCATCAAATAGACACACAGGAAGGGGGGATTTTGACCTATGAAAAGTTTGTTTGAATGTTAGACTACTAAGCCAATCAGAGAGCTCCAAATGCTTTATCGCAAGAGTTGCAGGGGTCAACGAAAATAAAGTCTGCACGTGGATTTTCACGTTTTTTTTTAAAAAAATCCAATTTTGTTGTTTGACGCAAAAAATCAATTCACCATTTCGCTAAGATGTAATATGCAACAGAACCCGCCATACGAAAGAGTTGGCACACCGGAAGTAAAATTGCCAAGCGTCCGCCATTTTTGTTTCGAAAGCTAGGAACAATGAAATGACTAATTCCAGCCAGAAGTCTAATTGAATATACAAAATCCTACAGCATAGCAAAGTGGTCCCACCGTTTATTCTCTATACTATGTTTTGACGGATGTTTCCCTCATTACTTCGGTTACTACTGCCTTACCACATGTACGCTACACGTACCTATTTTAAATTACTCGCTACATTTGCTGATGTCTGCTTGTAGTTTGAGAAGTTCGGCGTATTTTTGTAGCAACGATTGTCGGATCAGTGATGCGCAAATCGTCAACGGAAATTTATACATAGCAGATTATTATGGCAATGCTGCTAAGATTATCGACTTGAAGACACAAAAAGTAAAGGAAAGAGTTAAAACTGACACCGCACCAAGATTTATTCATGATGTGCATTGGCTAGGGGAAGCTAGGGTCATGGGAAAATTGTAAATGTTGACACGGGAGATTCGGCAATATGGGTCAATTCCGGACAAAGTGGTCCCAAGTCCTTCGTGGTGATGTTTTGGTTTTGTCTGGTTTTGAAATTATTCTTTTAAAATGTAAAACTTTCTTCCTGTCACAATATCATTTTTTGTGATATCCTAATTTGTTGAGGGAGCACTGTATTTGACTAATGCCTAAAACCGTGTCAAATGACGTTTCATATCCTTGAAAATGTTTTTACTGCACATAATGACAACAATATTCATCTTTTTAGCGTTAAGTATTTAGCATTTCGGCGTTCAACATTCATGTTTTTGAACTAGATGTTCAAACTTGTAAAAGCATTCGACTTTTATGATTTTTTTCTCGGGATTAAATCACTTCGCTTTGTTGCTAAGCGATAGTCTATTTTTCTCATGTTATTCGACTGGTTTGCGAGAAATTGATTAATTTGATTTTGAAAGACTTTGCGCGTGGGCAAATCAATTTTCCATCATTTTACGACTTTCTATAAAGTCATTTCTTTTTCCCATATTAAAATATAAAAAAGAAGCTAAACTGCAAACCTGTTACCGCCATTGCAGCATTCAGTAACTTGTACCAAACCAACGATTGACAACTGATTTCGGCAGAAGAATTTTAAGATCTTTAACCACAGTCCGTCCATCGTCTTCCATCTGAAGATATAACAAAGATTTGTTTGACTGACATTTAATTAACATCCAAAGGCAGAGATATGAATGCAGCGCTTGTTCCTCTCGTAAACGAATTTTCAAACCACGAATAGTCATCAACAGAGGTGGAAAAAGCATGATATTTTTGACAAGAAGACACTTATGCCCGTAATCTGAAAGCTCACTCAAACTAACACTCACTGAGTGCGGCATAAAAATCACTTCTCACTAATCAACGACAAAACCATTTCTCCATCAACGGCAAGATTTTCGCTAGAATATTTCAAATCAAGCAATCAGTGAGTGAAAACATCGTCCTCGAAGTATTACGAGGTGATGTTGAAGCTCCATTGCACTCAGTGAGCGTAAGTGTGATTATACAGCACAGGCGTAAAATCTTCAGACGACAGAACGGTTTGAAAGTTTCAAATCTAAACAGTACAGTTAGTCCGGCATAACGACTGTAAATAAAGATTGAGGAGTGTTTTCTTTGGCACCGAAAAGCGTCACACTTTCTTGAAGCGTGGATGCACTTGGGAAAACGACGTGAGGAACTTTCGCAGATGATCAAAACTCGTGTAACATCAATGATCATCTCATATCGACTATATTTAAAATGTCTCGCGACAACACATATAATATCCACAGTAATTTTATTATATTCTTCTCAACTGCACTAAAAACTTGTCTGTTTTTAATGAGTAAAAAATTTTTTCGAGAAGAAAGAGCAGAAAAAAGTGTAAAACAGTGACACATTAAGTCCCCAATGTCTGTTTGTACAGAGTAAAAGATACTGTCGAGAAGAAAGAGCAGAAAAGAGTGGTAAAATAGTGACACATTAAGTCCCCAATGTCTGTTTTACAGAGTAAAAGATACTGTCGAGAAGAAAGAGCAGAAAAGAGTGGTAAAATAGTGACACATTAAGTCCCCAATGTCTGTTTTACAGAGTAAAAGATACTGTCGAGAAGAAAGAGCAGAAAAGAGTGGTAAAATAGTGACACATTAAGTCCCCAATGTCTGTTTGTACAGAGTAAAAGATACTGTCGAGAAGAAAGAGCAGAAAAGAGTGGTAAAATAGTGACACATTAAGTCCCCAATGTCTGTTTGTACAGAGTAAAAGATACTGTCGAGAAGAAAGAGCAGAAAAGAGTGGTAAAATAGTGACACATTAAGTCCCCAATGTCTGTTTTACAGAGTAAAGATACTGTCGAGAAGAAAGAGCAGAAAAGAGTGGTAAAATAGTGACACATTAAGTCCCAATGTCTGTTTTACAGAGTAAAGATACTGTCGAGAAGAAAGAGCAGAAAAGAGTGGTAAAATAGTGACACATTAAGTGCCCAATGTCTGTTTTTACAGAGTAAAAGATACTGTCGAGAAGAAAGAGCAGAAAAGAGTGGTAAAATAGTGACACATTAAGTGCCCAATGTCTGTTTTTACAGAGTAAAAGATACTGTCGAGAAGAAAGAGCAGAAAAGAGTGGTAAAATAGTGACACATTAAGTCCCCAATGTCTGTTTTTACAGAGTAAAAGATACTGTCGAGAAGAAAGAGCAGAAAAAAGTGTAAAATAGTGACACATTAAGTAGTAAATGAAAGAGTCTTTTAAACATATCCTTTAACACCCCAACATGTCCATGAGTTGGTTTCATTTGTCATCAAGTCTTACCCATATCAATTTCATCCCAACTAATCCCCTGTCATCCTTGTATTCGACGCAAGAATGTACTCCACCACAGTCAGTGTAATCAACTACATAGCGAAAAATAAAATGATCATGGAGATACAGTGAAAAAAAAGATTCGTGTAGTTTTCATTCTATGAAATGATACTTCTTCTTTGGCCAATTTGAACCTTGCTTTGTCTTCTCAGCATACGGCACACAACTATTACATCTTACCTTCGGTTTCTTCAACTTTCTTTATCTTGACAGCAGAGCTAAGAGAAGGAGATGTCCTAAGATTTTTCTCATCGTTTTGCTCTTTTAGGCTTTGTACATTTTAACACCGAGTTTTATTATAAAGCTTAATTTAGAGAGGCAGACTGAAGTTTTACATGTTTGTAGATCACATCGTCCAGGTTAATGCAGCCCTGAAAAGGACTGTTGGTGTTGGGGTCGACCATTGAACTATAATACATAAAACCAAATCATGTATTTCTTGAGGCCAAATCTTACACCCAAACAGGCGTGGGTAGATCGATCAATTTGCACTCCGCGAGAGAATTTCGAAACACTAAACACGCGTGTCTGGGTGTAAGATTTGGCTTCAATTATTTGCTTCAGGTAGCGTTCCATGTATTTTAGTTCAATGGTACTGTGTACTGCCATTTCGACATCTTTAGTCATATGACTCTGAAGATAACTACTGCAAAGGTTGTCAGTCAACACACACGATCACCAACAGTCCTTCTCAGGACTCTACTAACCTGGACGATCTACATCAACAAACTTGTAACATGTAACGATACTCCCGGGTTCAAATCATTCATTTTGGACAAGAGTCTTCACACCTTCGGAAACCGTTGATACGTTTTACTTCAAATACCTGACAACCCACAATGGTCTTTCATGTTCGTCCATTAAAGTCAAATCCAAAATGACCACATCCTTCAACAAAAAATTAAACACAAATGATCGCGTGATAATATGTTTTCTTGTTTTGAAATTGTACTTGTCACACTAACATTTAAAATGTTTTTAAACAGCGTCGTTTTCCATGGGAGCGATGCGTGCATGTCGAATACACCTTCTTCATCTTGCCCGCTATGTAACACCAAACCTTCGTCTTTAAATGATTCTTTAAATTAAATTGATATTTATAAGATCAGCAGGGATTTTGACTTAGAGTTTTCTCTACACGCTGTCATTTACAATATACGAGGAATATTTTCATCAAAAAATACCGGTTCAGTTCTACTCATTACTCACGCTAACCTCTATACAATTCTCTGTAATGATTGGACCAAATGATTTTCCGTTGATTACGCAGCTCTACCGTTAATGAATAACGTCTTAGTCCTAAAAATCATGGCACAAATCAAATGTGCATACCATGTGTGGAAGTTCATCTTACAAGTTAGTGAAGCACTCAAACGGACGGTTGCTGATAGTGGTAATGAATGAAGTTTTGACATTCTCAACGGTGGTCCAGTTAACATTAGAGAGCTTTAGCAAGAGTACGACTACGAGAACGAGTACGAAGTTTGACCGTGTAAGGGAATGGCACGAGGAAGTTTGTTGTCGTTATCGCTTCGTCAAAATTTTGTTTTAGCTATAAACAACAGAACGAGCCTTTTTATTTTGAAAACACCGACGTTTGCGAAGCAGCTACGGCTCTATTTGTCAATAATGATATCAACTAATCGGTAATACTGATTTTGCGAGAACATAGGACTTTTAGAGTGAAAATCTTCACTATTTTAAATTTTATGTACGATATATTTATGCTGTTTCATTGTTTGTTTACCTTTCACTTTGCGTACGAAATACATGAAAGTTTTCAAGGCGTAATTGACGTAATTCTTACTCGTAGTCGTACTCGTAGTCTTTGTTAAAGCTCTCTATTAAAACTTGGATGAAAACCACAAATAAAAAAGACACCCAGTACAGCTATCATTAGAAGTTTTCTTGATCGATGAACGTGGACAATGAACTTCGATAAGTTTTGGAGTTTACTCCAAGGTTTAAACCGTTTACTTTTATGACAATACCATATTGCGAATCCAAGTCATCGTAGATTGGCTTGTGAGGAGTGGGTACGTGGGGACTGGAAACGAAAGAAATTGGTCACGTGACGAAAACTTATAATGGAGCAGTACTATCTCCGGGAGGGGGATCGTATTAAGGTAATGGGGATCGACTTTATTACCGAGTAACTTTGACAAACCTTTCTTTCGTGGCTTGTAAAATTTTCTCCATAAGCTGAAAGTATGGTAAACAGATCGAGATCCAGGCGAGATCACCACCATTCTGTAAATGACAAAATAGATATGCGCTATGGCACCAGGCCTCTCAACAACATTCACGTGACATTCACGTGACATTCTATACGTGCGAGACGAACGCACGTTGCATTGAAAGTTTATGTAAATGAAAGGCTATTCAAAGGTATACATATATACGTATGTATAAGCTTGAAGATTTGTAATCCAGGCATATTTATGGTTAACAAGAGTTTCTCCAGATTTTTTATGAGCTTTCGACTCGGTGCTTCGAGCCTTCTTCAAAATAGAAAGTTATAAGTTGTTTCCAACTATCAACGTATTTACTTTTCATGATGCATCCCAGATTCCGTTTCGTTTACTTGAGTTACATTTTGTAGCCAAGTTGATAAAGCTTTTTTACAAAGGTTTCTCCTGTCATACACCTACTGTGCTTTTCACATTTGAAAAATAGCACAGCCAGAACTTCATTCCTTTCAATTTACAGTTTGAAAGTCTCAAACTGGGTCTAGTATAGGAAGGGCTACATTCCAATCAATAAAATGCGTGTTGTGTATACCTGCCAAGAGTCGCTCCAAACGGCCAACATTAATCCAGGCTGGATGGTATGAAGAGTGATCAGAGTTGTGTCGCTTGTGGCATTATTCCTCGAGAGGTAAAGATCTGAAAAGTTGAACTTGCTATAGTAAGCAACAGTCATGAACAAAATGACGTTTAACTCGCCCCCAACCAAAGTTTGTTTCGTGTCAAGCAAACATTTTCCAATTGATTTCATACCTTTGACTCGATAGGAAAGTAACAAAGCTTGTCTTCTAGCACTAGATAACGTACAGAAATCAACAGAAGTAGATACAAACTCACTTTTAATAATGGTGGCCTCACTCAGTAGTGGATCAACGGTAGGTCAGAATACGTAACTGAAAATATACTTCATTTATACAATTCTTTGAAGCAGCGTGCGAATTAGTTCAGAAAAAACGATGTGCAATTTTTTTGACTAAAGTGTTTCTTTATAGGCATAATCAAATCGATATTACGTTAATTATTATATAGCGCCAATTGCTAAGTTAATAATTTTAAACGTAAACAAATTCATATGATTTACGACAGTGTTTTTCGTTAAAACCGCTGATTTTTGCACATCGTTTGAAAAAGTGTTGTGCAATTGTTTTCATTTTAGCTAAAACGATGTGCAAATTGCACATTGCACACCGTTAATTCGCACACTGCTTTGAGGCTTATCATATTGGAAGTGTCTTAGTCTTAGAGCAGTTTCAAATATGAGCCGAACGCACTTAAAACAAAAGAATTTTATAACATTTTCTTTTTGTCTTTTGTCGGCGCTTGTACAATGCAAGGTATGTAAAAGGCTTTAAATATTCTTTAGAAATTTCTAAACAGCAACACAGTTAAAAAGTCCTTTAGCTTTTAGAAGTGAACTTCTATAATTTATTTTTACACAATCCCCAGATCCGCTTCTGGTCAATAATCAGTAAAAGTTTTAAATTGCGTTTAATATTTAAGAGGCGAATATGGGCAAATTTGACATTCTTTTCACCTCAAATTTTGCACAATTTTTGTGAGTGAAACTATGTAAAAATGTTGCAATATTGATTACTTAAAGGATAACAATTAAATAAGCCGAGTGATGAACAAAAAAACACTTGAATTGCCTGGAGACTGGGTTAGAGTTTAATAGGCCACGAGTATTCTGGGTAAAATGAATTCCGTCAATACCTATTCTTCTGTGGTGTCCAGTCTCTGTGATAAAACACGGCCGTGCTAGCTGAGATCGAAAAAGATTTCAACTTTGATATGTTTGGAAGCTGTAAATTAAACCAACGCGCAGTCAAAGAAGAGGTAAAATAAAACATGTCGTCGTGATGAAATGCGTGGGAGCAGCCATCTTTATCGATGAACTCCAGTCGCCATTTTAGCGATAGAAATCTAAAAAGACAATTCAATATTGCCAAAATACACCTTGAGAATACTCCAAAGAAATGAATTATAAAAACAAAAATCCTGTAGTGGTGTAGATAGCCAAGAAACTTGTTTATGCTAGGTAAAATTTTATCATTAACTTAATCATTTGTTTAGAATCCTATTGCTTTAAAAGTGAGTGAACATAAAAATTCACATAACGTAACCAAACTTCCGGTCTGGTTACGTCACTGGACTCTTGTCATAATTTCCAAGAAACTTTGAATTGTCAAAATGTTTGATAAGGGTGATAGCGGTGTTTTACAAACATGGTGATCTTACTTGAAACATTTCTCCATGGCTGATGACACACGTGATCCGAGTTGTCCAATAAACGGTCGAGCTTTCTTCAAGAGAGACATTGCTTTTTTATCACGGTGGAGCACGGTTCTAAGAAAGTTGAGAAATTTTAAAAATTTGAACGTATATCAAAGCTTGAGATAAGCAGAAGATGGGATATAAAATTTCGTGTAGTGTTGTCTTGGTTTCACGTAGTGTTGTCTTGGTTTCACGTAGTGTTGTCTTGGTTTCACGTAGTGTTGTCTTGGTTTCACGTAGTGTTGTCTTGGTTTCACGTAGTGTTGTCTTGGTTTCACGTAGTGTTGTCTTGGTTTCACGTAGTGTTGTCTTGGTTTCACGTAGTGTTGTCTTGGTTTCACGTAGTGTTGTCTTGGTTTCACGTAGTGTTGTCTTGGTTTCACGTAGTGTTGTCTTGGTTTCACGTAGTGTTGTCTTGGTTTCACGTAGTGTTGTCTTGGTTTCACGTAGTGTTGTCTTGGTTTCGGGTAGCTCGCTCTGGACGTGATATCAACGAAAAACGATTTCACATCTGCCTAAAGGATTACTTTAAAAAAAAACTGTCTTGCCTACGAATGATTTCACGTTTCCACAGAAATATTCCCGACTTTCTTTCGTCGGGAAGAAGAGAATCTCGTACACATCGAGGAAAGTTATTCAAATGATTCAGCCATAATGTGCTATGAAACAAAGTTCAAGTTGAAGATGAGAGAAAAAACAACTCTAAGGAGCTTAGATCAAAACAAATCAACATAAAGACGACAGTATACTGACGATTCATCACTGATAACCCTCCAGCTCTCGCAAACACGGGCACATGTCAGGAGTTCGGATGGAGTGAGAAAACGAAATATCTTTGAAATAATTTCGGGAGGTAAAACTCTAAAGAAAAGAAAGGTAAATAATTTGGTAGTTTCGTTAGGGAAAAAATGGATTTCTTCTTGAATTTTAAACTCAAAAATTAATTATTGTAATGTACTGGTCACAGTGGGATGGTAAACTCTGAAGTTTTGAGCTGTCGAATTGTGAAGGCTTGAATCTCTGCAGGGAAAATAACGAGTTCCTGAGTTTCTGTAGTGAGATTTTGCATAATTTGTTAGAAAAATATTTAGTCAAATGGAACTATAACTATAAGTTATCGCCCCTTCGAAATTTCACCCAAATTCAATCTTTTCAGGAGGCAGTTCTTTAGCCAATTGAGGAAAGGAGAAGCCTCTTCTTTCACCCCTCCTGTCTTTGCCACAAACTTGTCCTACCTTTTAACATTTCGCTTCGTTTTCCCCTCATGAACTGTCGAATTTTTCGCTACCAAACTAGAAGTTCCACCATTTGCAGGAAGATTTTTCAACTTATTCCTATTGCCGTTGGTGTCTTTACGTTTTGTTTCAAATAGGAAGAGAGATGGTCGTTATGGCGGGACATTTCAGTTTCATTTGCTGAAAAATGATTTTCAAAATCCAATTGATGGATTCATTTTAAGCGCCATCTTCGCGTCTCCTTAGATACGAGATCTCATTCTCATTCACCAAATGGCGAAACCATGGGCACAACGGAAAACAAGAAAAACAGGAATAACCATTTCAAGTCTTTATTTTTCAACGGGTAAATGAGGTTGAGTCTAATATGGTGTGTTCAAAGTTCTGAAATCATTTTTATGGCTTACTGAACTTTTTCCTTTTCATATTGTCGTAATACTTGTTAGAAGGAAGTTTGAATTCAATTGTCATATAAAATCCTTTGAAGGATCACTGTAAAAGATCCATATCAGCCTTTTGGATAGTTAGAACCTAGTCTACCAGGCCGCGTGAGAAGTAAACATTCAACAATATATGATTTTAAACTCCATTTCTCGCCAAAAAAGGTAGAAATTTGTGGAACTCTTGTACATTTGAAATGTCTAAGGTAAATGTAAATCCACCCGATCAGGAAAAAGCGCAAGAGATGATCGTACCCAATGAAACTGGCGAACCTAATGATGTTAAAGACTTGACAGTATTCGTAAGTACTTGTCATACAGTAGTTTCGTTTCCAGATGATGTGAAAATTTTTGTTGATTCTTAACATCATTACGATTTGATTCGTTTTTATTTCAGGTGGAAACGCTGTTGCAACAAATGGTAAGTATTGAATTATTGGGCGGAATTTCTTATTTTATAGCTCAAAGATTCAAGTACATTTCTCGGTTGTACAAAACAGACACATAAAACTCATTTCGTTGTCAGACAGTCAAATACTACATAGCTACCACTTCCTTCATTCTCCTTTTCAATCTTTTCAGCAAGAGAAGTTCCAGAACATGTCTGATCAAATCATTAACAGAAGTATCTTTTTAAAACAATCTGTAAGAGGGAGGTGTTAAACTGCTTTGGCCAATGCACAAATTTTGACTTTTCACAGGATGAGGAACATAGTTTCTGTGTGGGGCATAAAATTCAAAACATATAGCTATGTTTTGAGAGATTTTGGTTTCCCTTGAATGGATCGGTAAATAAAATAAGTACATAATGGAGGGCAATTGTTGGCAAAGTGCTTTAGCTTGCATGCATTGTCCAGTGACATTGGATTACATCAGGGGTCTCCAAACTTTACAGCCAAAGGGCCACATGAGCTTTCATCCAGCATGTTGAGGGCCGACGAACCGTATAATGCTGGTCAAAGAACGAATATTTTAACAAAACGAAGTACATTACACAAGCTTCATTAGTTAAGAAAATATTTATTTAAAATTTAAAGGTTAAATTTCAATGAAGAGTAATATCATAACTAAATCACAATTAGTCTGGTCAGTTTTCTCAATGTGAGTGGTGAAATTGGCTTTCTTAAGTGTCTCTGGGCGGATTGAGATTATATTGGAGACCCTGGATTACATCATTATATTTTTTAAAATGTTGCAAATGCATTTCTTGCAGGCAAATTATTTCAAATTAAGCTATACAATCTTTATGTGAATATATATTGTTGATAAAATGAATACTTTGAATCCATGAGTTTTGTTAAATGTATGCAGACATAGATCCTTCAGGTTAGTTGAGTACTGAGAAGGACTGTTGGTGTTGTTGTAAAAATGTAACAATTCACTCTCCTTCTCAGGACTCAACTAACCTGGACGATCAACGAAAACATGTAAAACATACATACTGTTCATAAACAAAACATATGATTGCAACTAAAGGCAATGTTCTATATAGTTTATGAATCCTTAATTTATGTCTCAGTTGATGAAATGGGATCAAGAATAGATGATCTTGAAAAGAATATTGGTGAGCTTATGTCACAAGCCGGTGTTGATGAGCCAGAAAAATGACCTGATATTAAAGTAGGCGCTCAACATTTTTTATGTTATATGTATTTATGTAAAATGTAGTCAGCAAGAAGGCTGGATTGTGTGAAAAAAGTAGTCGTGGATGTAGGAACTGGGAAGGTTTTAAATTGAAATGCATATATAACTGCATAAGTAAACATTGAGAAGGCGTGTAAAAATTTTCTTTATCTTTATTTCACACCATAATTTTAAATTCACTCATGCTATAGACACATATGATCTTGTTTGTATAAATTACAATAAAAATTATTTTGTAACATCCCTAGGTGCATAATCTTCTTAAAGTGTGAATATTGTTACACCTTTCAGCTTCACAATAACCAACTTTTGTATATTTTCTTGAACACAACTTGAGCAGATCTGAACTCCGAGGCACTAACAAATAAAATTTTCTGATATATGAACTTTGTTAACAATACATTAGAATACAATACAGTACAAAAATTACAATTGAAAAGAATACAACATAATACAATACAATACCATACCATAATGTACCATACCATACCACAATATACCATAATATACCATACCATACCATACCATAATATACCTTACTATACCATACCTTACCATACCTTACTTTACCTTACCATACCATACCATAATATACCATACCATACCATAATATACCATAATATACCATACCATACCATACCATACCATTTGCCATACCATACCATACCATACCATAATACCATACCATACCATACCATACCTTACCATACCATACCATAATATACCATACCATACCATAATATACCATAATATACCATACCATAATATACCATACCATACCATACCATACCTTACGAAAATATACCTTACCATAATTACCTAACCATACCTTAACCATACCATACCATACCATACCATACCACACCACACCATACCTTACCAAAATATACCTTACCATAATTACCTAACCATACCTTAACCATACCATACCTTACCATAATATACCTTACCATTCCATACCATACCATACCATACCATAATATACCATACCGTAATATACCACACTATGCCATACAATACAATAATACACCATACTATAATATACCATACTATAATATATAATGACCAGAAGAATTTGAGCAATTTCACTGATTGCCACGTTACCTGACTAATGAGGACTTGAATTAATGACGTAATAATCATGTCCGTACATCATGAATGCGATTGGTTGGCCCATAATGAGGGATAGCCACACAACAAAATTACCATATACAGTGTTCTTTGGTAGCAGACCAGTTAAGGTTGCCAATGGTATCTGCAAATGACGTCATAAGGTTCAGGCATGCGCACGACCAGTTAAAAATTCTGGTATTAATTACCTGAGCAGTAATACCAATGAATGCCCACGGTCTGAACATCTGTAAAGGAATACTAACCAGGAACTATGAAGAGAAAGTTGGTCGAATTTTGCACGGTCATTTTTGGTTACTTTTTACTGTCTATCAGAACAGTGACGTCACCATGTTGTTCAGACTGGGGGGGGGCGATGCACCCGTCAAAGGTGTGGGACTAAAATGAAGGTTCGCAGGCATGCCCCCCTTAAAAAAATGTACGATCGTATGTTTCCTAAAACGCTGTTTCTCTCGGGCAAGTTTTAAAATAATCTGAAAGACAAACGCTTTTTGAAGAACAGCTTTCTGCTAAACATGTCAACAAGTGTATTCAAGGCAATCTTATAGACGACGACGCTTGAGGATTGCTGTTTATTATACCGACTTTGCTGTATGACCGATTACAGATTGTTTTTATGCTGTTTGAAATTGGATTCAATGCATACTCCCCTACATTTCTTTTCATATTTTTTAAACCTCATAATTGGTGTTTCGAATAACTGAGGGGGTACACGCCTCCCCCCCAGTTCCCAACCTGGCGACGCTACTGAGTCAGATTATTGTCACGTTCTGTAAATCTTAATAAAGTTACCCTTGAATGCAAATGTAATGAACTCGACCCAAACCCTAACCTCTTGGCCAAACCCAATTTCAATAAGTTGTTGATTACAAAAAAATAATGGCTACAACGTTCGGATTGGGTGATACCAAAGCTCGCTATACTTTTGTGTTTCCACTTCAAAATTTTGCCATTCAAATGAAAGTTTTGTTCGTAAACAATTTTCACGAAACATGAAAATTTGCAATGTCAAGTGGAAGTTGGACAGCTTTGTGAAATACATTACCTCGTGGAAAAACGCGGATAGTAAAAACACGAGAACACTTGAGGTCAGTGGGTTATAACCACGTCGTCTTAACGGGAAGTAAAAATGCCTGCAAAAATTAGTGATTATTCATATACGTGGTCGAGAATTCTCTAAACGAATGTAGTCTTGTATACCGTTGTGCCCATCGATGTACCGGGATGTTCCACGTTTTCCAAAATTGTTGAATCGTACTGGCGTTCCTTAAAACAAAAATATAAACTCGAAATAAATAAAAAATTCAGCTAGAGCTTCTTGGTTTATCCATTTCACCGGAAAACTGAATCGATCTATCTATTTTCATATTCTTAACTGCGCATGCTCTAGGATACGTAACACTGCACATGCTCAAAGATAGGTAACACTGCGCATGCTCTAGGATACGTAACACTGCACATGCTCAAAGATAGGTAACACTGCGCATGCTCTAGGATACATAACACTGCACATGCTCAAAGATAGGTAACACTGCGCATGCTCAAAGATAGCTAACACCGCGCATGCTGTAGGATACTTAACACTGCACATGCTCAAAGAAAGGTAACACTGCGCATGCTCAAAGATAGGTAACACTGCGCATGCTCTAGGATACGTAACACTGCACATGCTCAAAGATAGGTAACACTGCACATGCTCAAAGATAGCTAACACTGCGCATGCTGTAGGATACTTAACACTGCACATGCTCAAAGACAGGTAACATTGTACATGCTGAAAAATAGGTAACACTGCGCACTCTCAAAGATAGGTAACACTGCGCATGCTCTAGGATACGTAACACTGCACATGCTCAAAGATAGGTAACACTGCACATGCTCAAAGATAGCTAACACTGCGCATGCTGTAGGATACTAACACTGCACATGCTCAAAGACAGGTAACATTGTACATGCTGAAAAATAGGTAACACTGCGCACTCTCAAAGATAGACTACACTGCGCATGCTCGACGTAACAGCCAAAAAAAGGGCAAGATAGAAATGCAACGTTTACTACGTCTTTGTCGTTCATCTTACCACCAATCTTTATAAAATGTTCTGTCGCCAAATTTCAAAATTTCAGCGAGAATATTCAGAAATGAATGAAAGAAACAGTAAAAGAATATAAGCCACATCATGTGGTTGGGAACCTAAAATAAGTAAAGAAAAAAATTAACTTATAACTTTACGTGCTGCTTGAGTTGATTGTAGGAAGCATGGATAAGGGCAATTCAACGGATGGCAATGTTTTTGATCGTTCAAAAACTCTCTTTAAAGGATTAAAATTACGATTGAAATTGGACAAGCGTTCGATTAAAACTTCCCATTCAAGGAAACCTAAGTTTCATTTCTGTGAAAAAATTTAACTACTTTTTTATATACGCACGAAAAAGTGACCCTATGATGGAAAAATTACCCTTTGGTGGAAAAAGTTACCCTTTGGTGGAAAAAGTTACCCTTTGGTGGAAAAAGTTACCCTTTGGTGGAAAGTTACCCTATGGTGGAAAAAGTTACCCTTTGGTAGAAAAGTTACCCTTTGGTGAAAAAGTTACCCTTTGGTGGAAAAAGTTACCCTTTGGTGGAAAGTTACCCTATGGTGGAAAAAGTTACCCTTTAGTAGGAAAAGTTACCCTTTGGTAGAAAAAGTTACCCTATGGTGGAAAAAGTGACCCTATGGTAGAAAAAGTTACCCTTTGGTAGAAAAAGTTACCCTTTGGTAGAAAAGTTACCCTATGGTGGAAAAAGTTACCCTTTGGTAGAAAAAGTTACCCTATGGTGGAAAATGTTACCCTTTGGTGGAAAAATTACCCTAAAGTGGAAAAATAATCTATAGTGGAAAAAGTTACTCAATGGTCGAAATCGCTATTCGTGATCTGTCTAAATACAACTTATCCTCTCCCGCGCCCTTCAAATTGTTTTCTTTGTATAATAGTTAAACGAGTCATACCGCTAATTTCATTATACGTTCAACTACTCGTGGATAATCCATTTCCTAAAACGACAAATGAACATATATCTACTCAATAAACACTCAAATTGACTTTGTGTGGAACAATGCTCCATTTTGAAGCAAAGCCTCTAAATACAACACGTGGTTTTAGTTTGGAGATGAGATCTCCGAGACTGTGTACTCTCAAAGTTAGTGTTGGAGACAAGGTCATTGAGATCGTTCACTCTCTAGGTTTTTCTTGGAAATTGTGTGAGAGATTATGTCTACGAGGCTGTGCACTCTTTATGTGTGTTTTGGTAATTTAAGTCTCCGAGATCTTGCAATCTCTAGATTTGTATTTTCGTCACTGCGTTTCTAACACCGTTCACTCTGTAGGTTTATGTTGCAGACTAGGTATCTAACACTGTTCACTCTGTAGGTTTATGTTGCAGACTAGGTATCTAACACCGTTCACTATCTAGGTTTATGTTGCAGACTAGGTATCTAACACCGTTCACTCTGTAGGTTTATGTTGCAGACTATGTTTCTAACACCGTTCACTCTGTAGGTTTATGTTGCAGACTAGGTATCTAACACCGTTCACTATCTACGTTTATGTTGCAGACTAGGTATCTAACACCGTTCACTCTGTAGGTTTATGTTGCAGACTAGGTTTCTAACACCGTTCACTATCTAGGTTTATGTTGCAGACTAGGTATCTACCACCGTTCACTATCTAGGTTCCTGAGATTGTGTACTCTCATGTTTCGCGTTGGTTGTCTCTGTGACCGTTAACTCTCAAGGTTTGCGTTGGAGGTCAGGTCTCTCAGAATGTAGAATTAATATTGATGAAGTCACTTCTTCCAACTCAAAAATCAATGAATTGCAACTTTCCACTTACTCGAAATGGTTTCAAAGAGTTGGTGATCGTTGGAATCATCCACTAAAAAAACACCAACATCGGTAAATTGATGTAGTCAAAACACGGTTTTAGTTCATATATAAGCTGAAATTTGTTGTGTTCATATACCTGTTGAATAATTGCCAAAATAACTCCGATGAGGAACAGCTAGAAGCAATGAACGAAAAAAGTGCATAACATACGTTAGAAGCTGTGGAAAACAGGCTCACTTTGTAAACTATACCGTCAACAGTCAATCTAACACCAATTCAAAAATACAACAGAAATCAGGCGTTGAAGAATTCTAGTTTTACAATCTACAAATATGACAGCCCAACATTTAATTTTTAAACCATTATGGAGAACCGTGGAAAACAGTTTGAAGCCAATCAGTTATTTCATCTAACGAGACCTCTTCAGTGAGAAACTGACATAATCCCTAAGTGTGTATGTGTTATAAACAATAGCTTTCTTCATTTTAATTCACATAAAACTTACAAATTCTGCTGTTCTTCGCAAAAGAAAACGTATTCGTATTCTTTTGGTTCTTGGAAAGTTTAATTCGTAGCACAGCGTAGGAGCGGCCAAAAAATAATACAAATCTGTCGAAGAGTGTTTAGGTTTGATTTATTGTCGTGCTTGGGATAGACGATTAATTTAAGAAGACAAGTTTCTTTAACTAAACGTGTTCTTTCATTTCTACTTTATGTTGTCGAACGTTTCAATATCCTTAGCTGTAGCCATCTTCAAAGTCAAATTACTAACACTTCTTCACGAGTTTAAACTATTTACTAAGAAAGATTTCGAAGAAATGTTTTTGGATACTTCCTATGGTCTTGTGTTTGCAACAAACACCTCCCCCTTTGTTCTTCTAACACAAAGTACAAGGTTTCTTGTCGAAAAGCTGGGATGACTTTTCGACAAAGCTCGGGGACAAAAAAAAATGGTCGATATTCTTGGAGTACATACACGCGAATAGAATTTGTCAAAGATAAACATGCTAGTCTTTTACAAATAAAAGAAGCCTGCGTGTAAAGGTTTCGTGAAAAATGCCTACAATACCTTTTTGAGTTAAATTTTCAGGATACTTAACAAGATTTAACGTGTGCGTCCTTCCATTCTTTGCCTTTTCTATATCGAAAACCATTACAAAAGAACTTTATCGACTTAACACTCATTGGATATTCCATATCTTTAATTATCATTAAAATTAACAAAAAATGTTCAGCGAAACACTGTGAAAAGAATTAAATTATCATCGTCAAATAAGATACCTTCAGTTGGACTATCCTCAACCGAAGAACGCAATGGCGGCGGATTTGTCATACTCCCTTCTCTTAACCATTTATTCACAGATATATATGAAATGTATTTTAACCATAGAATTGTGTACCAGATTAGCGCGATACTGGAGTACCCTAAAAGTTTGGCTTTTTTAGATTTTTAATCGTTCAAGTAGAACAATGAAGAACTTCTTAAAACTAAATACATGAAAATTAAATTGTACTTTTAAACATCCTCGAATTTTAGTAATTTAAATGTAACGAAAATTATTCCTTTCGGATTAAACATTATCTTTCCTCTGACATTTCTATGACTATTGTAATAAGAACCATTTATATATTAGAAAGTTTACAAACGTCTTGCTTACATGGCGGAGGTTGAAATAACAGGACAATAGTAGCTGGTACGATCAATAAACAAGCAAGATTCGCTGTGTGAATGATGCTTCCAAGATACGTAAGTTTACCCTGTAGAATTATATGATAATAATGTTTAAATCAAAGACTTTTAGCAAAACATTTCAGACGCTTTCCTTCGTAAACATATTTAGTATTTTGTATATTTGAAAATTGGTAACCCAGGCATATTATGATAATATTAAGGATTCTCTGGTACTTTGTATATATTTCTAAGTATTTTGTAGATTCTCTGGTATTTTGTATATATTTCTAAGTATTCTAAGTATTTTGTATACATTTCTAGGATTTTCATCACAAGCTACGCATTATTAAATTGCACAACTTAATACACTATCCCAGTTTCTATTTTTGACAAATAGCACTTTAAAACGATCAAAATCCCTCGTTGACAAGGTTAGAAAAAATGAAAATAACCAAATTTTTTGCATTCGCTGACGTATTCTCTCTTGCGCCGTTCGAAAGTGAAGCCTTGTGACGTCACAAATCTTTGTTTAATCATGCCTTGTATTTGTAAGCAGAGAGTTCAAAGTGTTTTGGATTTTCTTTAAATAAATTTGATTTACATGCAAAGGCAGTTAATAAAATTTGACTTTATGATTTTTTGAATTATCAACTGCCGACAACTGTCATTCATTATCAAGGCATAATTATCTACATAGTTACCGACCTTTGACATTAATTTCTCCACAAGGAACATTACTTGGATGTTAATGTTTGATGCTAAGAAAGGGAACCTCATGTCAATTTGAAGCAAGCATGATAGTATGTATGTAAGTTCAATATCATATACCATACCCAAAACTAAGCAAGCCGAGGGCCACTTTTGTGGGTGAGCGAGAAAGATTACTATGCCAGGCATTGGATCAAAGAGTATTCCATATCTATAAAATCAATTTGTCATATATATCAATGAATGTGTTTCAATATGAATGTATATAAGAAAAGCTTTACGAAATTAATCTGCATCTTACTTTAATAAATTATCCAAAGCCAATCGGAAACTTGATAACACCTGAAATTTTGCATGAAAGCTCTTAAAAAAAGTAAATTCCTGACTGTTTGACCATGCTTGATGTAATCCCTAAGGTGTAAATACATTCCACCCCACTCAGTAAAGCAGGAGGGAGCTCTCTTCACTTAAAGGGAAGTTCCAGGTAAATTGTTACCTTCCAATTCACCTCCAATTAGCTACATTAACTTAGCGAATTTTTTTCCTTATTTGACGCGAATGCGTTGATGAACGCGATTACAAACTGGGGAAGATATAGCTTCTACCTAGCAAATCTGCATCATTGATATTGATGGTCAAGTCAATGATTCAAAAAGCAGCAAAAATCCTATGGCTGAAGCAAAAATACAAAACAGAAAAACAACATTATAGATTTGAGACAATTCTAGCAATTAATGGAAGCAATTAGAATAAATAGCATTGACAATTGTCGCAATTATTTATATTTGCAATATATTTAATTGACGAACCTTACGTAACAAATATTCAGACGAAAATTTTCCACGAGCTGAAAACTGACATCTCTCGTATGACCTAGCTAACAACACTACTATTCTATCTCTTACCAATAGAACGATACAATTATTCAAAAGGCCTCTATAGTTTTGAAATCCACTGCTGAAACTCAGTAAGGACTCCGTCATAGAATGGATTCTAGGTAAATATAAAAATTAGAGAAGTATTACTCATAATAGAAGAAAGTAGCTGACACATGAGAAATTGGCAGACATGTATTTGGTCAAACACAGGCTCGAAGAGTGCATTGTAAACACATTTTGTCACCTTTTATCGTAGTCAGCTTTTTGTGCTTGTACATTGTTGGTGGTCGTCGTCACATCATGAGGTTTAGTTGCAATATTTACATTTCTTTTGCGAGTGGTTTTATCAGTTTTCGACATTTCAACAGTACCCCGAAGGCTGAGCGTGAAACAATGTCCTCTGAAACTATTTTCTTTTCATCGATAAACCGAGCATTTATCTTACTTAGCAAGCGAATATGTCAATATTCGATTTATTTTTACCGGAAACGATTTGACCGATGTACACGTGCACTTCACGTGTACACGCTCGCGAGAGATGGGTTTTCTCTGAGCTTGAAATTAGAAAATTTGTTTTTCTATTGTTATAGCTACGTTTACATCTAGGGTTCCGAGTTTCAACTGCACACTGGTGAATCTTTTTACCTCAAATATTTAAGGTTTTCTGAAGTTGTGTGTAGCACTGTGTAGGTGTTTCACTTGTGTGAATTGTAAAGTTGTCTCAATATCTTGGTATGCGCAAGGGGTGGGAAGAATGGTACAGAGGTTTTAACAAATGTAGTATCAGATATCTGTGTCTTTATTTTATCTATCAACCCCTTCTTAGTTAGTCCTTTCATTAAAAAGACGTATTGGTCTAACCTTTTAATGTCAAAGCTCTTTTGGACGTTATTTTTCATCGGTTTTGGCTCAGTTCTTGCCTGCTGTGTTCGTTTATCTCGTTTTCGGACGCCCATAGATGATGTTGAATGAGTTTGTTCGACGAATGGAAAAGGCCATGTTATATTGATACTGTTCGTGGCGCTTGCAGTCTGCATTTTAATACCTTCGTCGTGAAAAGTTTCATCTAATGATTCTCTAGTTGCTTTTGTTGATATTTATGATCTTATTTCACGTGAAGAGCAAACAGTTTGCACATGTCCAAACATTTTGACCTCGTGTGCACTGCATGTAATCTAAGAGATTTTTCACGTGACTGCATTTTATGAGCAGTTACATGACGTCTAAATTTTGTTCTACATAAAACTGCAGGCTCATATATCGTGATGTATTGTTTGAATTATAAAATGTAACTACATTTGCAAAAGCTTCGGTCCAATCATCTTTTTTATTTTTACCATGAATTGAAATGGGCAAGAAACATAAGAAGCATCATAAGAAGACATCTGATATTGGGAAAGGTGTGTTTATTTATTAACTAGATGGCTGGAATGATCACTTTGGATGAAATGGCTTGACTATAACTTTACTGCATGGTCATGGATTCATCGTGTTAAGAAATGGTTGTTCTGCTTCATTTACTTAATTTCAGCCTTCCAATTCGTTTAGCATCAAGTAAAAGTGACGAACCACCAATAAAACTGGTCTTGAAAGTTGGAGCACCGGAAAAGACTCCCAGTGAATCAAAATTATCAAAAGAAAAGAATTTCCAGAGAGTTGACGTGCTGAAAGGTAAAGATCATTCCACAAAGAAGAAAAAGAAGAAGAGATCATCTTCTAAAGAGCGCAAAAAAAGAAAGCATGCTGAATCCATTGATGAACAGGTAGTTTATGGTATTTTTATCTTGCTGTTTGGGGGATGTTCAAAATGTACTTGCAATATATTGTAAATACTTAAATGAACCGGAGTGTAAAGCTTGTGTTGTATTCTCTGATCTAGCTGTGCAATTTTTATCTATGTGGGCTCTTGACCATCTAAATATCAAATCTGGGTGTGCAGTTTAAAAACTTTCCAATCTGGTGGTCAATAGAGACCAAAATTTTGTATTCTGCTTGGAGAACGAGAGTATTTTTATAATTTCTTGTATGTTCATATAGCTGTTTCTTCATACAAAGTTATGCGAATCAACTGTGATGTTGGATTATGTGTTATAACTGTATAAAAACACTATTGCTGATGTGTGTTTAATGAATATGAAAAGTTTTTCAAAATATGCATTGTTGTAATAGTTTTGCCTGTTGCCATGATTAACTTTGCTAGGGATTTGATTCATTAAAATTATGTATTGTTGTAATAGTTTTGCCATGATTAACTTTGCTAGGGATTTGATTCGTTAAAATTATGTATTGTTGTAATAATTTTGCCATGATTAACTTTGCTAGAGATTTGATTCATTAAAATTGTGTATTGTTGTAATAGTTTTGCCATGATTAACTTTGCTAGGGATTTGATTTGTTAAAATTATGTATTGTTGTAATAGTTTTGCCATGATTAACTTTGCTAGGGATTTGATTCGTTAAAATTATGTATTGTTCTAATAGTTTTGCCATGATTAACTTTGCTAGGGATTTGATTCATCATCCACGGTTGAAAGTAATCTTGACAAACCAAAGAAAAAAGCCAAACTAGACGGACAAAGACTTGATGAAAACAAACCAACCATTCCAAAAATACACATTAAACCCATTGAGCCTCCCAAGTAAGTTTTTTTATCCATTATAGATTATTTGTGATTATTTAGATTTTATAATATGGTATTTTGGTTTCAAAGGAAACATGACAGAAAAATTGATTTATAAGAATTTGTGTCATGATAAAATGAAAGTGAATTGAACCTCTGAAAGTTTTGCGGTTTCATCCAGTTTTTTTTATCAACATGATTATGAAATGGTTCCTCAAAAGTAAATTGCTAACTTTTCCCGTAATATAATACTTTCATGTTGTCGTCTTCTGTTTGTCTCAACAAATGTATTTTCAAACTCGTTACATCACTGATTATTATCTGCTTGTGTGCCCTCTACAAACAAAATAACCAGTGGTGTATAGCCAGCCTGCAAATTTGGTCCTGCTATGTTCATTTTTCTGTGTTCACTCATTGTAGAAACAACAGATTTCTAAAGAAATGAATAATGTTACTCTTCTAAAATTTACATAGCAGAACAAATTTGCATGCTGCTACGGTACGGATAGAAACCCAGAGTTTGTTTAAAAAACGAGAAAGACAATTATTTACAGGTTTGCATCATTAGTCGTTCAACACTTGCGGGCAACACTTAGCACGACCAAAACTTGCGGGCTGCTTACGCTTGCACACTGGCTACGCCACTGTAAGTAGCTTTTACACAACCATTGATATTACATTGTAGAGAAAAAGAAAATTCAATGATTGTTTGAAGCTAAAAGTATGGTTACATGTTTATAGATGTAGATCGTCCAGGTTGGTATAGTCATGAGAAGGACTGTTTTTGTTGTTGTTGACTGACGTTTTGACAACCTTAGAGATAGTCATCTTTAGAGGCAAGCTGGGAATACAAGTACAAGTTACTCCTCGCTTGACTCTGAAGAGGACTACCGTAAGGTTGTCAAAACGCCTGCCAATACCATCACCAACAGCCCTTCTCCAGCTCCACTAACCTGGACGACATGACAATATAAACTTGGACACTTCACCGTAAGCCAGCGTACGCTTATTTGTATGTATTTTAGCAGACCCGTGATTTTACTATACTCTGTACTGATTGCTTTCTGACAAAGTAGTCATGGCAACGCATATTTTTCTGTTAAACGCACAACTTTAATGAGACTTTTCCCAAAGTAACTCGTAGTCAATACCGAAAGGTAATAATTTTCGCCGTGTTTTACTGTGGTAATTCGTGGTTAGAATTTTGTCAAGGCAACTTGTAGTCAACGTCAAAATTTAATAGTTGGTGATGTAGTTTTGTAACAGTAACTCATGGCTAGAATTATAACGATAAAATAATGTTAAAATATAATAGTTAGTTGGTTAATTTTTGCAATGGTAACTGGCAGTCAGAATTATACGTAGTGAGAATTTTATCGTGATAAATCGTGGCCACCATCAAAATTTATTCATCCAGTGGGGCAGTTTTATATAATTGATAACTTGTTGCTAGAATTACCAGGAGAATTTTACCAAGTCAAACATGGCCAGGTGTGTTAATGAGAAATGAAATAAATCTATGAAATCTTTACGGTTGATTCAAATTGCGTTTTTGAAACTTTGCACCGTCCATCGATCCGTAGTTATTTTGTAAGTGCAAATAACTGTTTTGTAATGTTTCATCGAAGGATTTCTTTTAATTACGAGCTTTTCGAGTTCGATTACAATTTTGGAAGTTTACAATAAGTGCATTGTTTTGTTTTTAGATTTAAAGAAATCAAAAGCCAAGACCGCAAGGTAAACAAATGCGCTGAACTGGAAAATGAAGAAACTGAAACGCATGGTGTTTGTTCGGCATGTAATCTGTGCAAATACATTTTTCGCAAGCGATTCTAAGATTTCTCATGTATATCAACGGCAGGATAAGAAGCCTGCTGATTACTCTCTTTTTATAATCAGTGAGCAGTAAAATAAGCATTTATGCTTGTGCTTATTTGTTTTAAATAATCTGTTTGTATCGGCAGTAGGCTTCTCTTCAGGGTAGCCAGTAGCAGGTTCGCAGAAGGCTTAGTAGGCTTCTCTTCGGGAAACCAGTAGCGGGTTCCCAAAGGCTAAGTAGGCTTCTCTTCGGGGTAGCCAGTAGCAGGTTCCCAGAAGGCCTAGTAGGCTTCTCTTCGGAATAGCCAGTAGCGTGTTCCCAGAAGGCTAAGTAGGCTTCTCTTCAGGGTAGCCAGTAGCGGGTTCCCAGAAGGCTAAGTAGACTTAGGTACCTGCAGGCCCGGGCATTCGAGAGTCTGTGGCGTAGTATCTAGACATAATTTGTTTTAGTTTTTGCTATTTCAGACCGTTTATATGCTGTCGAAACTGTACGAGTTATTGAATATTGATGAAAAATGGCTTTTGTACTATGTCCTGTTTAATTGAAGTAGTGGGTTTTCCCAGTTCCGCCAATCATTTCCATGATTTTCGAAACTTTTAACTTTAAAATGAACTAGTTTTTATATTATGAGTTACAAATACAAGGAAGGCAAACGTCATCAAGGGACTAAACTTAGTGGGAAAAAGAAATATGACTTACAAGTTAAAGGTCCACAACTTGTCCTAGCCTGCAGGCCCGAACTGGGGATAGCCCACCTGCTTTTGCCTGCTTATACCCCTTAGTACCTATTTTTAAATTTACCTGTTTAAAATCTACTGCTACTGTAAAGCTACTTTAATTGTGTTCTTTTGTAGATTTTTACGATGTGGAACCAACTTCTGTGTTGTTATGTCTTGGAAACCTTCATCAATCATTGCAAAGGTAAATTTTTATCACAGATTCCAGTTTTGACGGATTTTTCCTGTTTAATTTATTCTTGCAGGTTTTCTTCTGTACCGTTGTTCTTGTCTGCTCCCAAAAATCTTAAGGTGTATGCGTTTTTGCAGGAAAGATGTGAATGGTTTCTTTGCTTATCCTGTGAATGACGTCATGGCACCAGGATACTCCAGTATCATATCGAGACCAATGGATTTTAGTATGATGAAATACAAGATTGATACTCACGCATATACGTCACTTGAGGAATTTCGGGTTCGTATCTGTGCTGTGTTGCTTTGCTTATTACCAAATATCTTTTATCTTTTTTATCGTGTGTCTTCTCATTTATCTGTATAGGTTTGTAGATGTTAATCGTAAATAAGCATGCATGGTTATGAAATATATATTATATATTGTTCCATTAGTGTATGCATAAAATCAACTGAATGTCTAATGTATCTTTTTAAAAACAATGAGAATAAAGTAAATGATAAAAACTCTAAGAAATAATAAAATAATTTGGTCTCGGGCTTGCACTGATCTGCTCTCAAGTTCACCCAAAATTGTCCTCGGTTTGCATCTAGCCTGTGCAAACACAGTAAACATCTTTTATTTCTTAACTTGCGAACGAAATATTCAACAGATCAGTTTTTTCAAATACAATACAGCCACTTTGTGTAGGGATGAAATTATTTTGTCTCTTTAGGATGATTTCAACCTGATGTGTAACAATGCTATGATTTACAACACAGCAGAAACAGTTTACTACAAAGCTGCAAAAAAATTGCTCCAAATTGGTGCGAAAATGATGAGCCGGTGCGTATTGTGTAATACTTCATCTTATCTAGAAATATGAACATTGATATGTGGATGCTGTCTGTGCCAAGTTTTTTTAGCAAAAACTGAAATTTTTGAATTTTTTAGCATTACTTTGCCAGTTGTTGATCAGTTTTCGTAAACTTGCTGTTCATTATGATGTTGGGCAATTGCTGGAATTAAGTCTAATATGTAGATATATCTATTTCAATTTAAATATGGACTATTCGAGGTTTTACTTCATGTATTTTTCATTATTTTTCCTTTGCAAAGTTCGTGTAATACTTGTTTAGAAGACGTTGTAAACTTCCATTTTTGCGGATGAGAATTTAGAATTGACATGAACTTTGTTTATCGACTACAGGAGAAGTTTCGTAGAATTTAGACTTGACATGTACTTTGTTTATCGACAACAGGAGAAGTTTCGTAGAATTTAGACTTCACATGTACTTTGTTTATCGACAACAGGAGAAGTTTCGTAGAATTTAGACTTCACATGTACTTTGTTTATCGACAACGAATTTAGACTTTGTTTATCGACAACAGGAGAAGTTTCGTAGACTTCACATGTACTTTGTTTATCGACAACGAATTTAGACTTCACATGTACTTTGTTTATCGACAACAGGAGAAGTTTCGTAGAATTTAGACTTCACATGTACTTTGTTTATCGACAACAGGAGAAGTTTCGTAGTCTGTATCGTGCGATTGGATTGGATCCGCCAGCTGAATCGATAAGCTTCAAGCGAATCGAGGAAGATGCGGTGATAGATGTGGATACGGTGGATGGTATAGGGACACCATTGCTGACCGCGAGCAAGAGGAAGGATCATATCAAGTCAAAGTAAGATGAAGTGCTAGGAGTTTGGAGCTTTTCAGTGTTTACCACCGGGATTGATTAGGAGGAAACAGTGCATAGCCAATTTACGAAGTTTGCGTTATTGATTGCGCTGATTGCATTTCATATAAAATGGTTTGCCAACTTCCTGCTAAATATTCTTTGTTTTCGAAGAGTGTTCAGGCCTCCTATGAAACTTCCCTTTTGTGGAAGTCAGTTTGCAGACCCTGACAGATGATTGGGAAAGTTCGGGCTTTGCTTGACTGCATATATTATCGTGTTCAGTGACGTTGTGTCATGTAGCATAAATTACTCAACTATGGCGGTTCTTTGCTTATCTTATATATACTAAAGCACAAAGAGTGGTTATTTCTTAATCGAAGGAAAAATTGACGATTCATCGCATGTTTTGTTTTTTAAGTGATGGAAAAAACTTACGAATGATATTTGGTAGCATTGAAGTCAAAATTCAATATGAAAAACTCGTTGAATAATCTTGCTTGTACTGAAACACTGATTTGTTGTTGAATTTTTTCTTCTCTGCTTGCAGGAAACGGGCAACTGCCGGTCAAAGAATACAAGCAAAGGCAGAGGAAGCCGCGCGAAAAGCTGCCGAGAAATTGGCAAAGAAATATTCAAACAGCAACGTTAGTATATTGACAATGTTATTTTGCTAAAATTACATGTTGGTAAATGTAGATCGTCCAGGTTGGTATAGTTCTGAGAAGGACTGTTTTTGTTGTTGTTGACTAACGTTTCGACAACCTTAGCGGTAGTCATCTTCAGAGTCAAATGAAACCTTAGCGCCACTACAGGAAATGTTTGGGTGTCAATTGTGTATTGACGTAAGAACCAGATAACAAATACGGCTAACCTGATGTTTACTCCTCATTTGACACTGAAGATGACTACCGCTAAGGTTGTCGAAACCTCAGTCAACAACAACAAAAACAGTCTTTCTCAGGACTATACCAACCTGGACGATCTACATTTACAAACATGTAAAAAGTCTATCTTCTACTTAATGTTCAAGGAAAATAAAGTGCAAATGTTGCTTGGGAAATTATAGTATTGAGATTAAGATTGAAATGTGAATTTTTTTAAAATATACTACTGACAACCCTTGGTGTGTTACGCAATCATATTTTATTGATCGTCTCACACAATTATAGATCGGATTCCTTCGTACAGACTCGGAAGGCAACACAAGTCTGGCTATTTTGAATCCATGCGCCGATTTAGGTAAGTTTCAGATGCTCCGATGCATTCTGTGGCGGATTACTAATTGGGGGCTGTAAGCTAAGACAAAGTTAAGGGCCTTTAAGTGGTTCCGATGCATTCTGTGGCGGTTTACTAATTAGGGGCTGTAAGCTAAGACAAAGTTAAGGGTCTTCAAAGTTAAGTGGTTCCGATGCATTCTGTGGCGGATTACTAATAGGGGCTGTAAGCTAAGACAAAGTTAAGGGCCTTGAAGTGGTTCCATGGCGGATTACTAATTAGGGGGCTGTAAGCTAAGACAAAGTTAAGGGCCTTCCAAGTTAAGTGGTTCCGATGCATTCTGTGGCGGATTACTAATTGGTAAGCTAAGACAAGTTAAGGGCCTTCCAAGTTAAGTGGTTCCGATGCATTCTGTGGCGGATTACTAATGGGGCTGTAAGCTAAGACAAAGTTAAGGGCCTTTAAGTGGTTCCGATGCATTCTGTGGCGGATTACTAATTAGGGGGGGCTGTAAGCTAAGACAAAGTTAAGGGTCTTCAAAGTTAAGTGGTTCCGATGCATTCTGTGGCGGATTACTAATTAGGGGCTGTAAGCTAAGACAAAGTTAAGGGCCTTGAAGTGGTTCCGATGCATTCTGTGGCGGATTACTAATTGGGAGCTGTAATCCATGCGCCAAAGGTAAGAAGTTTAAGTGGTTCCAATGCATTCTGTAGCTGATTACTAATTAGGGGCTGTAAGCTAAGACAAAGTTAAGGGCCTTTAAGTGGTTCCGATGCATTCTGTGGCGGATTACTAATTAGGGGGGACCTGTAAGCTAAGACAAAGTTAAGGGCCTTGAAGTGGTTCCGATGCATTCTGTGGCGGATTACTAATTAGAGGGGTCTGTAAGCTAAGACAAAGTTAAGGGCCTTTAAGTGGTATCTATTCCTCTCACTGAGTTCAGTTTTTCTTTGCTTTGCATTTCCTGTTAGTAACTCATAATGTAGAAAATGGGAAAAATTCTTTTTAAAGTTAAAAAAATTTCAAAAATCATTGACATGGTCAGGGAAATAGGAAAAGGCAATAATTCACGAGTTCTGAGCATTTAACATTTGAAAAGTAGATAATACGAAAGCCATTTTCCTCTGCATTCAATTGCTCGTAAGGTTTCAACAGCGTAAATTATCTTAGTTAAGCACATTTAGCTAGCAGCCTAGCCAGGAAAGTAAAAACTTCAAATCCTAATTGTGTCCAGATACAAAGGGCCTTTCGAAAGCCCGGGTCTGTAGGCCTAAGCCCGGGTCTGTAGTCGAAAGCCCGGGTCTGTAGGCCAAAGCCTAATCAGCCAACTGGATAATCCGCCCCTGGATGCATTGTAGGAAAATATCTCCAATATGCATCGCGTGGCTCTCATAAAGTGCAAGAGATATCTGTAACGAAAGGATTTTTGTAGACACATTTGTCTTTACACAGAGACCGGAAGTTATTCAATACCAGTAAATCTGGCTTCGCTCACCGGAAAGCTGACCACCGGAACTTTCTCAACGAACGTCTTTAAGGAGGACAAGAAAAACAAGATGTCCCCAGGTACTTCATGTTTGTTGCAATGAAACTTCATATTGTAGACTATCTTCATTGTTATTGCTATTACATAAAGTATTTTGTGTGATTCCCCGTCTTCAACCTCTAAAGATAATTGAGGCCTGTGTTTTATCAATTGTATATTTCTTGCGTAGTGACTTATTTGAAGTATGGACCATTCAGCTCATTTTCACCAACGTTTGATTCATCAATGGCAACCATAACAAAAGAGGATTCAGATCTACTTTTTAGTGTATATGGGGATAGCACTGGGGTATATTATGCGCAGAGGTAAGATTTCTACATCAGATCACTCCTTTTGAAGGCACTAGATAGAGGTATATAAGCACTAGACTGGAGTATATTGGAACTCAAGTTTCAACATCAGATCACTCCTGACTAAGACACTAGACTGGAGTATATAAGGACTCAAGTTTCAACATCAGATCACTCCTGATGAAGACACAAGACTGGTGTTTATAAGAACTCAAGTTTCAACATCAGATCATTCCTGATGACGACATTAGACTGGAGTATTTAAGAACTCAAGTTTCAACATCAGATCACTCCTGATGAAGACACAAAACTGGAGTATATAAGGACTCAAGTTTCAACATCAGATCACTTCTGATGAAGACACTAGACTGGAGTATATAAGGACTCAAGTTTCATCATCAGATTACTCCTGATGAAGACATTAGACTGGAGTATATAAGGACTCAAGTTTTAACATCAGATTACTCCTGATGAAGACATTAGACTGGAGTATATAAGGACTCACGTTTCAACATCAGATCACTCCTAATGAAGACACTAGACTGGAGTATATAAAACTCAAGTTTCAACATCAGATTACTCCTGATGAAGACATTAGACTGGAGTATATAAGGACTCACGTTTCAACATCAGATCACTTCTGATAGACAATAGACTGGAGTATATAATGACTCTAGTTTCAACATCAAATTACTTTCATCGAATCCCAAAGAAGTGTTATGTTAACCTAAAACGTCTGTGTTGATGTGTGTTTAGCCTTCAAGCTTTCGTGAAAGATAACGTGTTTGCAAAAAACTATGTCGATTGCGTTTTGGACGGATTGACGGATGGTGCTCATTCAAAATTGATGGAGAAACTTAAAAAGGTCTGGTTCTTCTTTTTTGCAGTAGAATATCAGAGTAATCGATATAATTGATTAACTTTTTGAGGAACATTTCACTAAAATAATTATAGTATTCATATTTCATAAATATCTAGTCATTGGTACAGTTTTCATGAAAAGGTTTCTTGTGTTGAGAAAAATTCAGATGAATTTTTTTATATATATAGAAGTCTTCCCGTCTAAGTTAATTTTTGCGCGTTAGTGTGAAATGACTGTAAACATTGCGATCAGTTGCATCCATGCACATGCGCACTTGTAGTGTTTGCTTTCGTCATTTCCGTTTGTTTTTGTGCTTTTGTGGTATGCTGAAAACAAACTTTAATGTTTAGCAACTTGAAGACGAAGAAGAAAAAGAAAAAGAGCGTATAAACGAGGCGAAGACGAAAGAAGAGAAAGAGAAAAACGAGGTAATGTTGTAACGTTAAACGTATTGTACATTCTTATAATAGAACGGGGGGGGGTCAATTATTATACGGGCGATCTCACTGGTTTACTGACAGACTTTTACTTTCGGAAGTGAAGGTAAAAGAACGATAACATCGATCGTAAGTGAATTGATGAAATGCTTTTCTCGATGTTTATATATTTAAAAATGACCGAGTGTTTACCGACCATTTTTCATATCATGGGGGGGGTGGTAAGGTATTCAGATTGATGGAATTCAGTCGTTTGAGTATTACTTATTTCAAAGAGTGACTGAAGTCGTAAAGTTCCATGTTACAATCGGAATTATAGTCTTGTGTTTCTCTTCTTTTGCGGACCATCTTATGATGTTATATTAGGTTTAAGAAAGAGAAATTTTAAAGGATAATGAATTTGTTAATAATGTATTAAATTTATGATTCATTCATATGACCATACAAGGAATTAAATTTAAGGATGTATTTAATTATGTTAATAATATATTCAATGTTATAATTTACACAGATGCCCATAAAAGGAAATACATTCAAGGAGTATTTAATTGTTTCAATGACTTATTCAATTTACAATTTATTTAGAGAAACGCAAAAGAAAATGAATTAAAAGAATTGTCAAGTGAGTTTATCCGTCTTTACTTAAATTTCTTCTGTGTCTACAGCTCTCTTGCTAACCAGCATGTGATGACACAAATGTTTATAACTGCACAAAGGAATGTACTTGTAGAAAAAGTCAATTTACCAGTGTATAGCGACTTTTCAATGTTTTATTTGCCTTTTGAGACAACGACTTTACCTCGTTCAATCAAAAAGGAAACGCAATATGTTGAGGACAATTTTGTGACTCTTGTTCTTCGAAGTTATAAATCGCAAACTGTTTAACCAGGCCTGAATTTAAAGTTTTTTGAGCGAATGAAGATTCAAATGCACTTAACGCACTTGACAATCAAATGTTTTCTAATGAGTTTTCCGTTTCTTTTCAGCGGTTGATGTCGAAGCCCTTCTGTCTTTAGAGAAGGAAGGAATTGATGTTTCATTTTTGAAACAGAAACATAAGACATCAGCTAACCAGTAAGTATAGCTGCTTAACTGGCTTCCTACATCGTCTGTCATGTCAAGCAGGGGCCAGGTGCACGAAAATCGAATAGCGCTATCCATTGGACAGTAAGTTTTATTGAACGTTTTAAAACCTCCCAAAAGTGAAAAATATACGACTTGGACTGAGCAATCACTTAAAGAAAATATTGCTTCTAAGATTACAAAATTTCTTTGTCATAAGAAAAATATAAACACCTTCTTTATAAAGTTGAAAATTTTACCATCCAATGGATAACGCTATCTGGGCTTCGTGTGACCACCCCGGGTGTCTGCCGCCAGAGCAGTAGATTAATAGTTTTTATTTTAAAGACGGGAAAGAAATTTCTGAAAAATATTTGTCTTAGTTTATCAAATCACAATAGTTCTTGTGCGTCGCCAGTTCCTCAATATTTTACACATAAAAACAACTAACATCTTTATTAGTTCTCTTCAAGACAATCTTGACCGGGCAGCTGATCTCATTGCCAAACTGGATGCAGTTCAATCGGAGAGATTAAGCCAAGTGAGCAAAGACGGTGTGACACCTAAATCTGCGCTCAAGCCTTCAGAAAATGAGCAGAAAATAGGTATGGTACATTTGAGGATAACTGGGGCTTCTTTAGCTTGCGTGCAGACCCAGACTTCCCGAGAAAGTTTGTAGGAGTCGGGGTCTGGGAACAAGTTAGGGATCATGTGTTTTTTGTCTCGGGAAGTTAGTGTGATGAAGTCTATAAAGTAAAAGGAACAATGTCTGGTCGATCCCAGTCTTTCCACGCGTCCCCGAAAAAGTTTATCGGCCATTTTGTTTGGAAATATAATTTATTTTTGTTGGGTTGAGATGAAATTTTCATATGATGAATATTTTGCATTATTAGCCGAAGAAGTGACGCAAGAGCTAACAGATTTAACATCAAAGGTTTGTTTACTTTGCTCAGTTGTGCCTTGTCACTGACCTGTATATAACTACCTGGACGAAGTAACTCTTATTACCAGAGTACTCGTGGTACTCAAATAAAATATTGAACTGTGCCATGTCACTGACCTCTATATAAAATCTCCATACCTGGACAAAGTATTTTATCCAAATTATAATTAGCTTGTTTATTAGCTTGCGGTTTGCTGCCAAAAATGGCAATAGTTTCCGTTCCTTTCTCCAATCTTAAAGAAATCGATGTACCTTGTAGGTTTACCCTAAAGATGTCGTGAACGCTGAATGTCTGCGCAAGGCAACCGGCATTGGAGATATATCTGAAATTGTCCGGAAAGGAAAAGAGCAATCTGAAATGGAAGTACAACTGGCTGCTGAAGCTATTGAAACTGTTTTTAATGACGCAACAATGGAAGATTTAGATAAAGGTAGAACAAAGCTGTATAATTATCTTGTTACTACAGATATCTGATTACATCACAACAACGTGATGTTATTTTCTATGATATTAAGATATGAAAGAAACTGGAACTGTGTTTTGAAATATCATCATAGTCTACAGTTGATCTTGTAGTTTAGTTGGTAGAACATTGAAGACAATGATTATCTTGTTACTATACCTGAGTATATCACAACAACGTGATGTTATTATCTATGATATTAAGATATGAAAGAAACTAGAACTGTGTTTTGAAGTATCATCATATTCTACAACTGATCTTGTAGTTTAGTTTGTAGAACATTGAAGACATTGATTATCTTGTTACTATACATGAGTACATCACAACAACGTGATGTTATTATCTATGATATTAAGATGTGAAAGAAACTAGAACTGTGTTTTAAAATATCATTAAAGTCCACAGTTGATCTTGTAGTTCAGTTGGTAGGACAGTGGGGACAATGATTGTTACCTATATATAATCATTAGTCGCTTTGAAAGCTCTGCTTTTGATCATTAAAAAATCTTACATGAAGTTATTTTCTGTTTCATTTTAGTGATATGCGAAGCGGCCCGCGAAGTCGAGGGCTCGATGGGTCTCGATGTTCTGGACGAGTTAACTGCATCACTGGACGACGTCAAGCAAATGGAAGGCATATAAAGAGACGCGCTATCTTAATCGTGCATCTAAAGACGTTGTGCAACTTAGTAAATCGTGCATGTAATCACAAAATAGGGAATATGCAGTATGTACTGTGCATGTAATCATCTTACGTATTATATTAATTAAAATTGCGCAACTGAAGACGTTACATAACTGGGTAAGTTTTACATTTTATAAACAGTCCTAAGGCATTGCATGTATTTATTTATGTAAGAATTAAATTCGATGAAAAAATGAGCTAGGACTGTATTTTGATGGATTTCCATGTAATCGAGTTCAATTCACCTTGTAACATTTCTTGGATGATACACTTCTCTGCCTTGTTCGACTTAAGACATTGAAGATTTTTCGCGCTGATGTGCGGTATTGCACGTGATTGTGGTATGGTTTTGTGTTGTTTACTCGTCGCTGGCTATTTCACAGCATGACCGAGGTATGACATCTTAAACAAGCGATAAATGCTCTTTTAATATGCGGAAATATGTTTGCGTTTAAAGATTTGTCATTCGCATCTTTTTGTTTAAAGATATCTTTGATACATGAGGCAATAATTGTTGAGATGTTTCTCCATACACTTTCATAATTCAAATGTTTGCAGTGATTGTTTTATATTCTCAAAGTAACTTTTCAACTATGTACAACAACAAGCAATGAAATTTCTTTAGCTAAGTATAATTCTAAATTAATGATTCTTTATTCGCGCCAAGTATTATTCGACATTATACATCGTTCTTTGTACATGCATGTACAAGTATGTATAAGTATGTATATAAAAATGTATAGGTATGTTGATATATGTACATGATTGATAAATTGTGGTATTGTACGATTCTACAACTTGAAGAGTTTTTTGTCAGTAATATTCTGAAATAAGCTGATTAGTTTCAAAATCTATTTTTCTATATGTACAACCAAACGCCAATAAGCTACAATGAATTTCTATTCAAAGCAAAATGAACAAAGCTTTTGCGGAAACTTCCTTTTTTGAGAGTCCCTCGAATACTTTGACGCCTTCGTATTCATACTCGTCATAAAAAACTTCTTCCATAACATGCATACCGTGCCTTCTGATCAAATGATTTGCCCACCTGTTCGCCGTCACCTGACAGTAAACCGCTGTATTTTCTTCTAAGCCCGCACGTAAGAGGTCCGTGAGGTTTTCCACGATGCCTAAAGAACGATAATCTGGATTTGTAGCCGTATGTGAGACGAAGAAAATAGAGTTTGTTTTTGCATATTCGTCTAGCAATGGTTTCGCTTTCTTATGAACGGACTGCATCAAGTCTAATCCCAACTGACACATTGCATCCCCATCATGAATTTTGTCTTCTTCGTAAACCTTGCTTTTGTATTCTTCTGTAAACATAACGCTCACTACTTGCTGTGGGTCGTTGTCTTTAACAGCGACCAAACTATAGCCTTGCTCCATCTTCCTGTGCAGGGTTTCGTGGGGGAAGAGAGCACTGAAACTCTTTTCCATCAAGGGAAGACGCATCGAAGTTGGGAAAGATGGGTAGAAAATATCGCCCAGGACGTTGATAATTGGCTCATTGTTCACGACGAAAGCCCGAGCGAGTAGTTTTCTGATTTGCTTCAAACAGTGTCGTTCGTCCAGGATCTGAAGACTGATTTCTCGTGGAATTTGTCTGGCCTTTGCTGACTGATCCAAGATTTGTTGCATCGAACTCGCCTTCCTTCGGAAATCCGTCCTAGCGAAGCGGTTCATGGCCTGTGTTAGTTTCGAGAACTTACTAAACATTTTGTTATCAACACCTTTTGCTAGCTTCGAATTGTCGAGTTGTTTGCAGTCCACGGAGAGAAATGTAACTAATGGTTTGGTCCGCTCTCAAGGTGTTTTATTTATAACTGTGCTATGAGAGATTTTTTTATGGAACCCTAACGCTTTAAACAAAATAAATGCTTGTAAAACAGCACTCTTTCAACTTGCCTCCCTCGCTTTTACTGTCAATTGAACAGCAGGAGAACTTTTTGCAACATCGATAATTATGTTCATTTTAAGATCCAGTCGTTCCCGGTTCAAACTACATTTACGTTTGGCCAATGGAATGTTGGGCTTTTGTTGGGACCGAACACATTTCATGAATGCCTACACGAATGTCAGCTTTTCAGGGAGGGAGGGGAGGGTTGAACTTTTTGTATAACTCGATTACTGTGTAAAGCCTAGTAAAGCCAGAGACTTGAAAGTTTGTGTCCCGTGATCTGAAAGTACTCACGCGACAAACTGAGCAAATGAGAACTTCTCTCTCTCACGTGTGGTGTCTCGTTGCTTCTTCGAACTTTAAAAGTATGTATCACAGTTTTCCTTGCATGACGAGTGGGGGTGGGGGGTGGAACTAGTAACTACAGCAATCGGGGCTCATTGTGAACAGGAACAATTAGCGAGCGAATTTAAGGCAACTAAAAAAAAACCAATAGAATTTTTGAAGGCCGTGGAATTCCCCAAATTAATATAACAGCATGTCCATTTTTCCTTTTGGTTAAAAAAAATGATCATCACGTTTTTTGCACGTGTCTCGTGAATGTCCGTGTGAGAGTATTTGTTATGAATATTTTCCAGATGCCTCTATGGATTCTTGGCTTTGTTAGTGCATTTCTTAAATGTTTTAACGACCTCCCCAAAGCAAAAAGCCATGATTTAAACTGGAGAATTGATTGACGAAAATGTTGATTCGTTAAAAGAGAGCTTTAAGTTACCTTTTTTGTGAGGATAACATGACAATCTTTTTTTTCGACGCTTTAAATTTCTACACGCAGTGAACTGATTTAGTTAAATGCTGTTTTTATTATCAAATACTGTTGTCTGCTGTTTACAATGTAATTCATTTCACATCTAAACGTTAAACATCGATGATTTGTATCTTAAATTATTTAACGTCCAGCTATACATAATCCAAACTGGCAGATATCCAAAGTTTCATAGCAATACAAAGAAGTAACGATTTCGTTCATATGTTTTTGTCAAGTGAAAACATCTCTGCTTCCCATAAGAACAAACATGTACCTATAACACGTAAATGGTGTTGATTTCTTTCGACAATTTACACCGATTTGATTTTAAAGGTTATTTTTATGGGCATTGGTTTACAACTCAGTGTAATATCTTAAGAAAGCATCAATAATGTCTGCACACAGCACGATGCCATCTTAAACGTAAAAGTGGTCATTAAATGGAACGCCTTTTCGGCAAGCATGCAAGTAATGCAACAATGTAAATTTAAGTGGCTTGTCTGGCTTCAAAGACACCCTCGAAGAATCAATGTTCATAATAACAAAAGCGTTTTGTATAATTGTTTTCACGAGGCGAATTCACAAGCCTATTCATAATCATTTATTGATTGAAATATTTGCCATTGAAGTTAGTTCGTAACTTCGTATTTTAGTTATATTTCATACATTACAACTGTTGGCAATTTAAGAATTCTTGAATGTTCCATGTGGACTTTAGTGGACTTTATTTGCAACCTTGTTGTCAAAACGCTTTGCTTGCATAAAGGTCAATGTCGCCTGCGTTTGAAACAGTTAGAAATATCATTGCTTTATCATGCTGCTTGTGAAAGCTAGTGTATTTCACTTTTCAGGCTAGTTTTCCAACAAATTTCCTCTTTAAGTAGCTATTAGTAAAAACTGTTGTACACTACAGAAGTGTTACACGGTGAATTGAACTTGATGAAATGGAAACTATTTTTCTGAACTTTACTTTATACGTATAGTATGCTGCCTTTGTCAATGGTAAACGTTTATTTCGAGATTTTCTAGCTAGAACTTTCAAAAACCAAGAATGAAGAGGCGCGTCTACGCAATGGCTCGAGATATAAACAACACTAAAATGTCAAAAAATCTTTTGCTTTCTCAATAATGTCAGTAAGATAACCTGCCACTGATAAAAACAAAATTACAAACACATCAATCTCACACGTCAATCTCTCGCGTGAGGTTTGTCTGACTTGTCTGGCGAGTTTGATTTAAGAATGTTTATAATAAACTCGTTGTGGTCTGCCTATGACAACACAGGCAGGCGTCGTTAAGTCTTGCGTTTAAAATAGCTTTTGCTTTTTTACATTTTTTCTTTCCTAATCGCTCGCTATTTTTGAATAACAACTAAAGCCCACTGTTGTAGGAATTTGACGTCAATCTCTCGCGTGACGTTCGTCTGACGTGTCTGCCGAGTTTGATTTAGTAATTTTAATGATAAACTCGTTGTGGTCTGCCTATGACAACACAAGCAGGCGTCGTTAGGTCTGGCGTTTAAAATAGCATTTGCTTTTTTACATTTTTTCTTTCCTAATCGCTCGCTATTTTTGGATAACAACTAAAGCCCACTGTTGTAGGAATTTTCCATTTTTTAGCAAACATTCGGTTTTTTTATAGAATTAAAAGTCATTATTTCACCTTGATGTTTTTGTGCAACAAAATATGTAACAGAGTTATGACAATTCAATGTCAAGTTCACCTTGACAAACATTCTTATGAGTATATTTTTTTCGGACTTCACAAAGCGTTCGAAAATAAGGCAACAGCACGAAAAATATCACTACTCCTGAATAGTTTTGCTGTTTTGAAATTATTTTCCTCGCAAACATGACAGAAAGGTCATTTTTAGGAATGATTTCACCGGATAACATTGTCAAAAACAAGGTCAAGGTGAACGATAATGATTGGTTGGCGGGTCCGCAATTTGACAATTGGCGGGTAAAACAGACTTTTTGTCGTGAGTCTCGATCACTTGGCCTTCATCTTTATCAAAAAGCGTTGGCAGTCTTTGTTGTTTGGTAAACTTTCATAGTTTTTATGGCACACAAAGAATCTGTCATGAAGGATTCGATTGAGTTCCCGCGAAGTGATGTCAGAACAGCACAGCATTGTGCCCAATGCACGGCTCATGGTAAAATCGCTCCCCTGAAAGGGCACAAGAAAATATGTCCTTACAAAGATTGCACTTGCGTTCCTTGCATGTTGGTGATCACCAAGCGAAGGATAATGGCGCAACAAGTGAGAATGAAACGATTACAGGAGCGAAAACACGGCATACGACGCACCAAGAGGAGACGAGACTCCACACGAAGTCAAACGATTCAGGTGCCGAAAGCAAGAGAAGCCGAAGAACTTCCTTATGATGTTCATGTTGATATGTGTAAGTAGTTAGATTTCGTAAGAGTTTTTCATGATTTGAGACACGTGTGCTTCAATATAGCGACAAAAAGCGTTTTTCTCACGAATAGATTTGTTGTTGTTTTTTAATAAGCAACTTTGGTGACACCTTTTACATTCGGATGTGTTTCTACATTTCTTCATTTTTTTTCGCTTTATTAATGAAGATGAGAAAGATGAACATGATGTGTGCTCAAAAATGCCAACTTTTGACGAGATAAATGGTTGGACAACTGCTTCTGGATCTCCATTTCATGAGGAAAATGCAAAATGCCCAAGTAACAATCATCAATGGTGCCCCATCAGTCCCATGCAGTTTTCACACATCCATCCATTACAACTTCAACCTGTGTCATCTTTTCTCCAGTCGATGTCTCCATCAATCACCATGGCAACAAATTACATGCCATCACCAATGTCCGATAGTGAGATACTGTCTCTGAACCACATCCAAACGCAGCCTGTGTATTACACGCCATCCAGTTATGCCTATGGTCTGCAACAAAGCAACCAGCTTTCTCCGTACTCTAATGAAAATGGCTATTCGCCTTTGGATGTTTTGCCTGGAATTAGGAAAGGCTATCCGTTGTCTATGGATGCGGCCCAAGCATTGCTGACTCTTCATACTGGAGATGAATAGTTTTTACTTACTCTAAAATGTTTCAGTTTTCACAGTTTTGAAATGAATTATGTAATTAATCAATCAACTTATTGATTATTTGTTCAGAGAGACAAGGGGTTTTTGAGACCAACATGTTTTCAAGCAGTTAGCCAGTTATAACTTTTTTATGCAAAGCAAAAGAAGACAGTTTTTTATTTATCAATTCAATGTTGTAATTTTAACTTTCGATGGAAGTGATTAAAAAGTTTGAAGTTTGAATTGTTTTATTGTTTAAGAATTTAGTTGAGGAAGGGGGGTAGACCCTTCACTTTTGAACAATGCATGATTTTGATGGATGGAAACAAATGATTCAACATGGTGGACTCGTGCTTGCAGATCATTAGGCTTTCGTCAGTTTTGTCTTCTTTTTAGCGATGTTTCTTCAAATATTTCACTGCTGCTATGGCTAAATTTGAAAAGAAAGCCGTACGCGATTACCTGTCAAAGTTCTTGGCGTTTAGTCAGCTTTCCAATGAAGAAACTCGAACGAAAATCAACTTCGTTTTGGATCAGCTGAACGCATCCGATAACTTGGAAAAATTAATTTCAAATCCTTCCGTACGTTTAATGGTATTTTAATTATCCTTTTACGAAGCCGTATTTCTCAGTTCGTGCTTGTATTTGTGTGACAACCTTTTCAGGATATATCAGCGTTGGTTATCAAAGGATGCAACATTATCAATGGTGAATTTTCAAACCAGCATTTGTTAGTGAAGTTTTTTCGCATCGTTGGCAGAATATTATCGAAACAAGAGACCGTTCTAGAGGAAAGAACCCTGAACTTATTGGTTGAACGTGTTCTCACTTCCGCAGCAAACTGCTCAACTCTTGATTTGTACGAATATTTGAAGTTACTCAGCTCACTGTTGCATGGAAACGGGGTCAAATGCAGACAGGTTTCTGTATAGTCATGTTGATTAATCCATTAGTAGAAGCCTTGGTACCATAAATGCTTGTTTTAACATTTCTCCCATTTAACTGCAGCACTCGGGATAATGTAGTAAGCTCAGATTTTGAATTTTCCTGCTAAAGTTCCCACACCTGGGAAAGGTTAGTGTGGTGCTTAGTTCGAAGTAATAATGAGTTACTAAGTTTGAGGCTTAATGGACCTGTGGTTGTTGTTCTTTGCAACATAATAGGGACATAACACTATTTTATCATGAATGTCAACAGCTATTGTTAGTTTGTTATTGTTTGGGCAATAAAAATATTTTTGAGAACATATAAGGGATCAAGACCTCTCTTGTTTAGGTGGGAAAATTTCATAAGTACTGCGGTGCTAAAACAAGTATTTTTGGTACATTACATTGAACTTGGGTTAATCCTCTTTCAAATTATTTTCACGAAATATGCATCATTTTTTTTGTAGAATTATGATGCACTTCTCAGCGAGCAAGGATTTCTTTTAAAATGCGCAGAATCAAGAAATTTTGATGTTGAGACAAAAAAGATGGCACTGAACTGCATTAGTAATATCTGTATGAAGTACGTAAGATTATGGATTATAATTCTGCATTGTATAGCTTTTTGCTAGTATCGTGTAGCTTTTCATTGTGTTCAATGTGTTGTACAATTTTCAACGTCCAACTATGAAAAAATGCTGAACTTTGTTCCATCAACTTGAATTATTGTTTGATGTAGTTGACCATAAAATCAAACTGCATCATAGCATGTATATTGCAAACATTTCAACCTGATAAGTGAAGTGAAGGGTTTTGTGCAGTGTTACCATACCTATGTGCAAATCTTAACTGGATTTGTTTGATGAGCATAGACTCACCCCCCTGGCTTTAACTATTTGCAAAGTTCAGAACAGGGAGGGAGGGTTTTTGACTTCATCCGACCATATCTGTTAAAAAAAAATGAAAATATGGTCACTCTGATAGTGTGTCACATAGAAAGACCATTGAGTTATGACTCCTTGTAGGACCAAAATTGTGAGCCACAAAAACCTGAAATTAATATTTTATTTGTCAACATTTACCGTTGATCTTCAACTTATTTAAATTGTTCATTTGCTGCAGTCAACTCCTCCTGGGGGAAAGACTTTTGAGTTACGACACTGCACTGTTTTAAGATTTTTATTCTATCCCAATTTAAGGGATTCAAACGGTTCCTGTATTCCAGAAGAATATGGACTCATTGCGTTGTCAACCGTTCTTCGCATTATGCAGACTCCCCGGAGCAAAGATATGACAAGAGACGACCATTGCAAAGTAGGATTTGCATTTTAATGTTATGTTATTGTGAATGAATCATCGTGCAAACGGAAGATTCGAGTTATTAAAACAACAAAAAATATGGCTGTTGTTTAATGTATGCTTTTATTTTCATTGCCCTTTACGTTTGTTTTGGACCAATAGAAGAAATAAAAGATGGTTACTGTGTTTGCACATGCTTATGCGAACCAAGGAGACATTTGGGAGAACTCTAGAGCAGATCAGTGCAATCTCCAGACCGAAGGTCGAGGGTTCTCAAAAACGTCTCCGAGGTTTGTCTAAGCCTGTGCGAACACGAAAAACATCTTTATATCTTTTATAAAACAGCATTAATAAATTTGAAAAACGTTTTAATTTTCCTCGAAAATTGATTTGACTAATTATACAATATAAACTTATCTGAGTTTGTACAAACTCAAGGGCAGGTTGCGAAGCCTGGATAGTGTTATCCATTTGATAGCAAGTTTTTTAAAGCTTTTATAAAACTTTTTAAAAAGCAAAAAGTGTAAGATTCGAACTGAACAATCGCCGAAATAAAATATTGTTTCGAAGATTACGAAATTTCATTGTCTTAAGAAAAACATAAACCCCTTCTTTACAAGTTTGGAGATTTTTGCTATCCAATGGATAACGCTATCCAGACTTCGTGCTACCGGCCCCAGATGTGTCAATATTGTATAATTACAAATATATCAGCAACTTTACTTTATTAAATGTTGTGTTTGCAAAATGGTGTCATGATTGCGTCGAATGTTATTTTATCAAAATTTTCTGCTTCAAAGAATTTGCATAGAGGGGACACCCTTCGTGCTCGTGTGCTTCTTTGTCTGTAAACTATAATTGGTATACGTATTTAAATGATCGAAAATAAATTAAAAGCGATGTTGAAATGATTATTTTCTCTTATGTAGTTGATTGAAGTTTGTTTAAAAGCGATTCAAGATATTCTTCCTTGCATAAAGACGAAATTAAAACGTCATCTGGGTCAGTTAATCTTCGCAATTAAGGTAGTTGATGCTATTTAAACTGTATTCTTGGTGCATTGGCCTGAAGGCTTGGCACAGTGTATCAGAACAATTCTGCGTGAAGATTTATCGCAGCCAGTCGTGTAGAGAAAGTGTCGTCAACACTTACATTTAACAAGAAATTTGACTCGTCTCCAGTCCCCGTTGCTTTGATCGCTTCCATTTTAAAACTTGATATTTCCATTTCAGAATTTCATGTTTTACGGTTTTCCTGATCATGAAACCTCCTCGGATTTCCTGTCGTCATCTCCTCGGGAATCTTCGTCGGATATTGAATCGGATGATCTTTCCTTACTCCAAGTATCTCTAAATCCTGTGAAAGAAAGAGCTTTTCCCGCTCGTGCAGCTTTGAAGAAAAAAACGCGGCAAAAACGACGACAGAAAAACGCCGACAAAAATGACGCTCTTACAGTGAACATACAAGCCAATGAAACTCTCAGGAATGCTGAGCTGAGCTGGCGACTTGATAATTCTATGAATTCAACTCTGGTCAATCCAGCTGCATCGAGCTCAGAGTCCGACTGCTCCGATGCGGAATACGGCCAAATTCGACGTTTAAGGTACGCAATGACGAAAATATACTAAATTATTGTCTAGTTTTGGTTGCAGTTTTTAACTGTTCTTTAGGTCTTCTTCAGCTCGTGTGAGATGTTTATCTCTGATGTGTTTACAAGCTATTATAAAGGTTAGTACAGTACCGACCTCGAGTAACATGACATGACTCGCGAGTATCGAGTGGCGAGTGGGCGAACGACTCGCGTGTAAATTGCGAGTCACTCGAGAGTGACGTGTTGCGATTGAGCGATTGTTGCGAGAAGTTTGCGAGTGAATAAGTGACTCGCTGTTTGCGAGTGAATAAAATAACTCGCAAAAATTTCTTTCTCCAGTATTTGAAATTGACAAACTTTTCCATTTACTCTCTAAGCGCGTGTCATTTGTTCACTGCTCACTCGCAAAATGTAGCGCTCCAGTTATATATTTAGTTCAATAGTTTCTCTAAATTGCCCATTGAACTAAAATACATGGAACGCTACCTGAAGCAAATAATTGAAGCCAAATCTTACATCAGACACGCGAGATTTTACCCAGACACGCGTGTTTAGTGTTTCGAGATTCTCTCGCGGAGTAAAAATTGATTGACTACAAACGCGTGTCTGGGGTAAAATCACGGCTTCAAAACATTATTGGAATTTTGTATTACAGGAAGCGTTCCATGTATTTTAGTTCAATAAAATTGCCTTAACTGTGGTGAAAACTTGTTTTGCGTTGCTTAAATGGATGTTGCTAATGGCAGAAATCTTTTATTTCAGAATTCAGAGAAAAAAGATCTTTTTGGCTTTTGGTCGTGTTTTTTTCCGGATTCCGACAATTCTCGATCTTGGTCATTATTTACCATCATTCAATGCGATGCCATTACAAAGGTTCGTATCATATCGACATTTTACGACAATTCTCGATCGTGGTCATTATTTACCATCATTCAATGCGATGCCATTACGAAGGTTCGTATCATATCGACGTTTACAAACCTCCTCCTACGGGCTCGGTCTCTACAAAAAGACCTCGCGCTCGGTTATTAATGGCTTATCATAGAACCATTGTTTACCGTTTGTTTCTTTTTTTATTTAAGAATCGTATGGCAGCGATTTCAGTCGTCATGGATCTTCTTGATGGATGTAAACCATTCTTGAGCGCCGCGGATGATAGGTACGTACTTACATCAAGTATCATGATTCATTAACGAAACGACTATCCCGAGTATGAAACGTTGAAAATGTTATAGTTGTTTGTAAACCTCCGGAAATGATTGCTATTGGGGGGAAATCAGTGGGGATAGGATATTTAAATTTATAAAGCGTGATATTTTATGAAAAAAAACCATAGGGCCGGTTGCGCAAAGGTAGAACAGAGCTATCCATTGGATAGAAAATGTTTTTGAACGTTCAAAGACCTCTTAAAAGGAAAAAATATACGATTTGAAGTGAGCAATCACTGAAAGAAAATATTTCATCTGTGATTTAAAAATTTTTTGTCACAAGGATAGCATACAGTGTAAACATCTTTTTTACAAGTTTGAAATTTTAACAACGGATAACGCTATCCAGGCTTTGTACAAACGGCCCCTGATTTGTACTGGTTAGAAGGTGAGCCCCCATATTTTCAAAATATATACACCAATCAAAGCCTTTGTTAGTAATTCAATGGCTATTTCATTTTAATATATTTTCATTCACGTTTCAGTGACTATAAACAGTCGTCATCCCGTCCATTTACATCTTTCTCTTCGCGTCTTGGTTCCATGATACACGAACTTCACAGACTTGTTGATTTCATCACCGTGGAACAATCAGACGCTGTGAGATGTCTGCTTGTCAAGGTACGCTTTTCCTTTCCCAGATGACGTCATGATTTACGTCATGATTTACGTCATGATTATTTACGCAAGTAGAACGCGTATTTTACATATTTACAACCATACACCACAAACTTGCCGCAAATTTTTCCAATTCTAGTTACATGAATATATATATACATATATAAAAATCCCCTGAAGAGCGAGCAATCACGAAAAAGGCTTGTCGGAATGAATCTGTAGTTTTGGTGATTTTTTCAACATCACTACATATATGTATAAGTTTGAAAATTGGTAATCCAGGCATTTAATACATAAAAAATGAAAGTTTCTTCGGATCGTTTAATTATTTTATTTTAAACAAAATATATATATATATAAAAAATGGTTTCTCCGATCGTTTTAAAAATTTTGAACAAAGTATCATCTTAAGGATGACTAACTCTGAAGATGACTATAATGGTACAGTCCCTCAGGGGATCATCAATATATATATATATATAAGTTTGAAAATTTGTAATCCAGGCATTGAATACATAAAGATAAAAGTTTCTCTGATTTTAATTGATTTTATTGAGCTTGACTCGTTGCTTCGAGAATGAGCAGCTCGAAACTTCACATGTTTATTCTGATGAAGTCTCGAAGCAACGATTCAAAAGCTCAATGAAAATCAAAACAAACCAAGAATCTTTATTTATCTTTAATATATATATATATATATACAAAGTGTATTACAATGTGCCCTCCCGGCTATCACCATAGTAAAATGGTGACTCCTGCACTTGGGACATAGGACGTACGGTTACACATTGTATGGATTGTATTGTAGAGTCACCACAGTGCTCAAACCTATAAAGGTGAGCTTTGCATATCGCGAACACGGTGAACGTCTCCGTATGAGACTCTCTACACAATCCGACAGTGCTCAAACTACGCACGCGCAGTGAAAGTTTTGTTTTTTGATTTTCCTAATATATACGTATATATATAAAATTTCTAAGCTATCTTTAACTATAATTTCCCATTCTAATTTCATGATTCCGATTATTGGTACATGATTTCATTTATACGTGGTTACACGATTCCAGTTTTAGTCGTACAATTCCTTTTATAGTTGAATGATTCCTGCTATAATTCTATGACACCAATTATACGTATAGTTACACGATTCCTACAATTTATTCATTTTCGTGTTTGTTTGTTCTTTATCCAGTGTTTGGCTTTGCTCATTCTGAATTCTCCCTATCATAAACTACAAAATGGCATGTTGACAAAAATAGTTACCACAATCCGACCAATTTTGAAGGAAAACGGTAAAGACTGAAGCGTGTTTACTTTGTAAAATTTAGCGCTTGGCTGTCTGGATCTATGGATTCCGGACTCTAAAACTTAGGGTTCTAGCCACAGTATAGAAACAAACAGAAGTCCCACTCTGTAGAAATTTTTTGTGTAGCGCATATCTTATTACGCATGTGATTACCATAGTGGCAGCTAGTCAATTGCTTTTTTCGGCCAGTAGGAGCGCTGAGATGGCTAACCGCAGCTAGTAATCTAATTAAGTATACAGCACCAAGTTGCACAGTGTAGTGAGACTACTGTATGTTTCTATACTGTGGTTCTAGCTCCTAGGGTGTGGATTCTTCAATTCATCGTATTGAATGTTGTTTTATAACGATTCACCAAATCATATGTGTGGTAATTATAACGTTGTTCTGTTGTTGTTCATGGCTACAAGCTTAGACAATAGTTAAGGCCTTACATTGTATAGGATATTTTGTTGTGTCTTAGGGTGATTTTTTCTAAAAGCTTTTGCTGTCAAAGTTTTTCATTGTTCTGCTCGGTGTTACAACGGCAAATGTGCTGCATCACTTTTGTGACTCACAAAACTGACATCACTTTTGACTACTCACTGAACAAGTTGCAAAGCATTGGTTTTAAAATAATTCATCGTAGTTTTAAAATTAATTAACATCGTAGTTTTAAAATTAATTAACATCGTAGTTTTAAAATTAATCAACATCGTAGTTTAAAATTGTTTTCATGCTGGCTCTATTTCAGAGAGTTGAGCTTTAATGGTTCGTTGTACTCTCCTTCCTAGACTTGGCGCAAAAACAATCGTGTTTTGTGTGTCTCAGTGCCGTCCTAACTGTCGACGCTCCACTTGAAGAGGTCATACGAAACATGCAAAAAGATGATGTCGGTCAAATTCGGGTGACACATCAGGAAAACCCACTGTTGACATGCAAATTTTAAACGAAACATGTAAATCGACGTATAATGTTTCAGCAACTTGTAAAAGAGATTCCGAACTTTTGTCGAAACATGTCGAAAGGACACCGCCGTGCTCCGAAAGTTCTTTGCCCTGGCTTTTAGTGGAATGTTTTGTTGTGCTTGAAGACAGTTTTGAAGAGCGTAAGATCGACGATGAAGAGTCAATTATGAGCATTCGTTCTGAGGTTCTGCTCTTGTTGACTGTGTTCGTGCGAAATTATTTCATGTTGCTAAGGTTTGTGTTTATGATATCTTCCATGTCGCGACGCGGCCTTAAGAATTTCAGAATAATCAAACTGACGACATAAGACTGGGGTGTATAAGAACTCAAGTTTCAACATCAGATCACTCCTGATGAAGACACAAGACTGGTGTTTATAAGAACTCAAGTTTCAACATCAGATCACTCCTGATGAAGACATTAGACTGGAGTATATAAGGACTCAAGTTTCAACATCAGATCACTCCTGATGAAGACATTAGACTGGAGTATATAAGGACTCAAGTTTCAACATCAGATCACTCCTGATGAAGACATTAGACTGGAGTATATAAGGACTCAAGTTTTAACATCAGATCACTCCTGATGAAGACCCCCAGAGTATGTAAGAACTCAGATTTTTACTTCAAATCGCACAAATCCTAACCCTTAATAATTTTTCTTTACGTATTTATGTAACTTAGTGCGACCTTTCTATTTACATGCAGATCATTTATTGCCCCTATAACGATGGCAAGTCGGCAATGTATCCAATCATCCAGTTCTACACTCAAGGTTAATGCTATCAAGTTACTACAGGAAGTGGCACGAATTATGTACAAAACATTGACGACAGATGGCGTGGAAACAATGGCGACTGAGATTTTTGAGTTTTGGTCCAATCTTCTTGAAGGAGAGCTTTTAGAAATCTTGCAATCACAAGATCCTTTAGAAAAGAAGGCGAAGTCTGCAGCTTGCGATTGTTTATCTGATATTGGTTCGACGGTACTCGAAGGGATTGCTTTGGATAAGAGAATTTTGATCATTACCATCTTGCTTGGGATTGTCCATGACGATGATGGATATGTAAGGGTACGAATGAAATTGTTTCGAAAATTTATTTCTTTTATGTGTAGTTGGTTTTTTAATTTTGACATCGTTTTTGAGAGTGCGTACGATAGTATCGGTATGTGTGGTGGATGTGTGTATTGAAATGAATATTTTAGTATACATATGTGTATTGAAGTGGATGATTCTGTATAGATATGAGTATAGAAGAGGATAAATATGTATAGATCTATGTGCTGAAGTGGATAATGTAGTATACATATGTGTATTGAAGTGGATGATTCTGTATAGATATGAGTATAGAAGAGGATAAATATGTATAGATCTATGTGCTGAAGTGGATAATGTAGTATACATATGTGTATTGAAGTGGATATGTATAGATATATATGAAGTGGATATGTATAGTATATGGATATGTATTAATTGAAGTGGATGAATAGATATAGTATAGATAAATATGTAGAGATCTATATGATGAAGTGGATAATGTAGTATATATGTGTATTGAAGTGGATAATGCAGTATAGATATGTTTAATTGAAGTGGATAATTTAGTACAGATGTAAATAATGAAGTGGATAATTTATTATTGAGTTGAAGATAATGTATAGATAATTTAGTATAGGTATGAATTATTGAAATTGGTAGTTTGGTGTCGATATAATTATATAAGAGAAGGGATCAGTTTGATCAATGTTCCTTTCTGTTTCATAAAATGTCTTCCTATTTACTCACAAAAAAATTCTGTAATGGCCACACACACGAGTGGATTGTTTCGAAAACCATTCTGTATTTTAGGCGGCGTCAATTCGTTGTCTTGGAGTGTTTGTTTCGTACCCACTGCTACGGGATGATGTGGTTTTTGTTACCGATGCAGCCAGCGTTGCTTTGAACGGCTTGAATGATTCTGTGTTGTTAGTCAGAATGCGAGCAGCATGGGCTCTGGCAAATATCAGCGATGTATTGGTCCTAAATAGGTATGTGAGGGAGGGGAGGGAACGTAGCTTCTTATCTTGTTGTAACTATGGAAACATTGTAGAAGTTTTGGATTTACTAAACAAGATGTATTAAAGAAAGTAGACATTTTTGAAATGCTTAGGCTATTGTTGACTTTAGTCAATTTTTGTATTAGTATGGGTACTAGCCCTTAATAACCGAGCGCGAGGTCTTTACGGAGAAATATCGGACTGAAGTTTTTTTGTACAGACCGAGCCCATAGAATGAGGTATGTACAAAAAGATAGAGGTCCAATATTTCTCAGTAAAGACCCAGAAAGCGAGGTTATTAAAAGGTTTATTATAGAGCATTATTTGACCTGAAAAACGAAGCTTGCTTTCTTTCTCGTCTTTGCTGTTTTGTGCGGGTTGACTTTCACTTTTCTAGTTTTTGTCAGTAAAAAATAAATCGTTTCAAATTGTATCGTTTGGATAGTTAAACTGTTTTCCAAGTGTTTTTCCTTAGAATCACATTCGTAAATTGTTTTTTGTTTCGTTTTTTTTCTCGTTTTGCTGTTTGCATTACGAAGTTTGTTTACATTTGACTGTAAAATTACGCGAGAAAATAATGGACCGGCAAAAATGTTTCCAATCCAATAAAAGCGCGCCATTTTGCCAGAAGTGACGCTTGCCATATAATAATAAGAGATAATCTTTACTTGATGAGTTAGAAAAACTTCTTTCCTTTTTTTAGAAACTCCGAGGACTCGACGTTTGTTTATGGTTTTTCGGAATCGTTGTTTTTTCGTTTGGTTGACGGTTCTTTAAAAGCGAGCGAGGATAGCGAGAAGGTGCGCTGTAACCTCGTGCGCACGTTGGGGAATCTTGGGAGATATTTTACTGTGGAACACATGAAGGAGAAGATCATGAAAGAGGCATTGGAAAAAATGTACACTGTCTTGTCTAAGTGCATCTCGAATTCTCAAATGAAGACACGGTGGAATGCTTGCTATGCCGCTGGTAATTTATACAGTAATATATGTTTACCTAACGGACAGACCGCGGGCTCAATCCAGCTACTGGATTCGCTACTTACCAGTATATCGACGTGCAAAAATTTCAAGGTATGGTCTTGTTGTTATGGTAAACGACTTTCATTTTGCTAATGGCTGCACAACGCCGGTCATTCTCGTTGCCAGGTACGGATTAACGCCGTCAACGCCATAGCTGTACCTAGGTCACGTGATTGCTATGGCAGCGAAGAGCAGTTCCAGAAAGTCTGGTGTTGCCTTCTCGAAAGTCTATCGGCAACTGAAACCATTTCGGATTTCTCAGAATTTCGTTATCGTGATAACTTAAGACATCAGGTAGGTCTTGGCACGGATTTTATGTTACTTTAATGGATCTCAGTCTATAATCTGGTCATCAAAGAAACAATGTCACAAAGAGCACCTTTACTACTACTGTCTTCTTCAAAAGAATTGATACATTTAATTTTGAAATAATCTTTTCCTGAACACATAAACTAGTTTAGCTGATCACGGATAGACTTGTTATACAGGGTGTTTGATAAAACGGAACACACCAATTCACGAATGCATGTTGAATTTGTTTGCTGCTTAAATTAAATCGTATTTTCATGAAACGTAAACCACTTTCATACGTTTACAAAGTCATCTTCTCCCGTGGGAAAGGAATAAGGCCTATTAAACTTGTCTGTATCAAAAATACTGTTTAATATCTTCTGCATAATTCTGTGTGTTCCGGTTTTTTTGAGACGCACTATATATTTTGAAAGCCTTCATCTTCATTCAACATGTTAATCGTTCTTATAGATATGTTTAACTCTTTGTCACATAACAACTTTAATCGAGACGGAAGATATAGAAATGATTGCTAGTACCTTGAAATCACATGAAAAAAACGTCATCAAGCATCTCACAAATCATTATAGAGATCAGGTGGGTGTAGAGCATGACGGTATATGTTGTGGGAATGAAGGATGTCTGGATTTTTTTGAATTTCATTTCAAGAAATGAAACGTCGCTAGGCTGTTTTCAATCTGTAACGCAGGTTGTTTTCAAAGAAGATGTTAAACCTGTAATCCGTAGACCATTTTAGGTTTAGCTTTACAGCTATTTCGTCGTGTGAACTAGCAATAGAATAAGCTTCAGCCTTTAAGATATTGAAATTAACTTAAAAAATAAAATCGTTTTGGCAAAGTCCAGTCGCATTGTTAAAAAGATTATTGCCTGAAAAATTAATCGTTGTCTTTGAATGTAGTTATCAAAGAGTGTAGAAGAAGGTTGTTCCAACGAGGCAACTTCTTGCATCGTACGCACTGGTATGTTTATATTTTATTTTGCCGACTTAAATTGTGTACGATTTAATTGTTTCCGCCTACATTGTTTTGCAAGTGGCTGGAGTGAACTTTCGGTTGAAACATTAAAGGATGTTTTTTTGAAAGGGATCTATTTAGAACTGTTTCGTTCCTGAGAGTTTTAGCTTCTTCAAATATGCTAAAAGGTCAAGAACACTTACTTCCTCAGAACTACCAAGTCCAAGAATAAAAAGAAATGAATATTTTCACCACTACATATCAGTTGTGTTTATTATTTTTCCCTACAGATTGCGCCTTTCTTGTTGCGTACGAACATGCGATGACGTTCGCATCAAGGGCAGCGGTAACAGTTCAAAATGTTTACGCCGAAGCGAAACTCAGTGCAGAAAGACATTTCAGCGGGGATGAGCGATAGCAGGAGTCGAGGTTAGTTCTTGACGATATTATAATCTCTGTGCTGGGGCTAAAAACCTGTAATGCAAAGGGTTACGAGTTTTCAGTCTGTAATCCACAGTAACGGTGTTTAAAATGCGGCAATTTCCAATACACTGTGGTAAAATCGCAATGTTTAAGTTCTCGTTTCTTATTCCCCGACATTTTTTGAATATCGGCCGCTTTTACCTTGATTTTACCTTGATGCAATGCGTGGTTCTTTTCGGTCGATTTCAATTCCAAATTTATTATCAAAGGAAGTTTGTTCGACGGATCTTCTCAGTCTGTATCAGAGTGGAATCAATGATCGTCTAAAGGTTCTTGCCTTTCAGAATTTCCTAAAAATCAATTCTGTATTTGTCAATTACCGACGTTCAGTAAGCTTGCTCGTGAATGATTGAGCGACTTCCAATTTTTCACTCCAAAAACCAGCTCGCCTTTTGTCAAACGGCTATGTAAAGTGGGCTTACTTTTTATCCGCTGACCGCTTAAGGTTTGTGGGCTCACTTCTTTCAAATGTCCCTTCAATTCGCGTACGAGCCGTAGTTGAACTTCGCCATCTTTCGTCGTCAATATCGGCCTGTACAAACACAGATGTTCATTTTTGGACAAAGTTTCTAAAACTTGATCTCCGAGTTTTTTACAACGTTGTTTTCGTAATTCGTCCATCTCTTCTCTGTTTTTTGATATTTTCTCATTGACATTTTGATTGTTTAAACTGCTTGCTCTTGAAACTGGCGGATTTTTATAATCGAAGTTTGCTGGTTTCACGCAGCGTATTTCCCCACTTCGTCTTTTGTCTTCTTCCTTCTCCATTGGCAGTAACTCGCTTCGTGTGACTCTCCTTATTTGTACTTTTGTTACGAAGGGATAGTGTGTTTCACTCTTTGCGTTTTTCAACTCAGGTTTTTCAATTGGTTTCAATCTTTTAGCTGTTGTTACTGCTCTCTTTTGTATAAGTGTTTCACTGGCCATAGTTTTTCTTCGGATTTCTTAAAGAGATAATTTATTATAACATCCCATGATGCATCACATTTCACGAACATTACATACTATTATAAATATTCACGTATTATTATATACATTTGAACATTTTGTGTTGTGAATACATCAAAAGACATTTTCACAATTTAATTATCTTCTAGCTTTGCCACTTGCTGAGTTAATTTTATCAAAGCCACACGAATAGCTACATCCTTGCTGTGAATGTATGAAATTTGTCTCAGGTCATCAAATACACATGAAGCTATAAAAAATTCAGTTTAAACACCTGCTTTGAGAGTTTTGATAGTTTGAAAGCGTTTTGTCGTGACCATGTACAAAATTTATATGTTTGATGAAAATGAAATGTTTATTTCCTAATGTGAAAAACACTAGCAATAAAAATGGATGTTCACTTTCGTATCACAGCTCAGGCGATAAAAAATTAAGTCCGACACTGTGGCATTGTGTGTTTTCATTATATTTATACCGTCTCAATAAAAAATCGCTCGCAGTTAGAAGTTTGGAATGTTAAAAACATAACTTACCTTGATTTTAAGCACTTCAAAGTGCAAACATAAAGTCGGAATTCGTTTATTGAAAGAATTTAATCTGCTAATCGTCGTCGTCGCTTCTAGACAAGTGGACTCGTATAATGTTTCTGACGGCAAACAGTCTCAAACAATTATTTAAATAATACAAATTCATCTCGCATACACCTGTAATTTTTGCTATTTTAGCAAAAGACAATCGTTGCATAATTAATACATGAAACAAAAACAGTAATTGATCGAAATTTAATATTCTTTGTCCTGTAATTTAACGTTCATCGTACGTCGTACATTGGTTTAAGAAATTGTAGTAATCTTTAGCTATAGAGCTGTTATTAGTTTGGTTTGTTTTGAGTCATGTTTTTGGTTTTTGTTCATAATTTATTCATAGCTGTTGAACAGCCAATACGCCAAAAATGGGAACTAAACACGCATGTCTTAAAGAGTGGGAGTCAACCATCATGCTTTGCGCGCGTTTTTTTATGATCGTTTGGGAGTTTTGCTGCATTTTACGCTGACTCAGATATTTTAGCTCCGTGAAGCGACTCTAGTTTCTTCATTCCACTAACTTTTTGCGTTTGTTTCATGGAATTTATAAAATTTTCGATGTTTTTGAGAAACGCAGCATTTGCAAAATTTCCATCTTTACCTGTTCGCAAACGTCAGTTGTACATAAATTAAGATAGATATAATTTATATATTTCAAAGTATATTTATATTGATGACGAATAGATTAATTAATATGTCGAATAATTAATCCTTTCCCGCCATTTTCAACCATAAACTTTCGTATCAATGATTATGGATTCTGGGTTATATGTTAGTATCAGATTTAATTCCTTCGTGCTCTTCCATGTCCCAAGTGTGTGTGTATATTTCTCTTGCATTCATATGATGCTTCGTTTTCTCGATTTTCATCCCTGTATAAAATGAAGTATAACTTGAGTTACAACATTCAATGTGAATCCGAAAATAACACACCGCTGAATAATACTGATACTTCATGTTAGACTACCTTGTTGTCTATCTCAAACTCACCACAATTTGTGCACATTTCCCCCTCTGAAAACGTATATTGTCGACAGCAATTTTGCCTGTGTAACTTCGTGATAGAGTTGCCTCGAAAATAATCTATATAAAAACGGAAAAGGCGCGTATGTTCAGGGATTTTTACCGTCTTATATGAATGGATCTTATTCAATATAAATGGATCAGTAGTTGGAGATTCTTATTGAAACTCCAGAGAAATCTCTGCCAGCAGATAGACAGAGTAATTTTGAAACTCCAGAGAAATCTCTGCCAGCAGATAGACAGAGTAATTTTGAAACTCCAGAGAAATCTCTGCCAGCAGATAGACAGAGTAATTTTGAAACTCCAGAGAAATCTCTGCAAGCAGATAGACAGAGTAATTTTGAAACTCCAGAGAAATCTCTGCAAGCAGATAAACAGAGTAATTTTGAAATTCCAGAGAGATCTCTGCAAACAGATAGACAGAGTAATATTGAAACTCCAGAAAAATCTCTGCCAGCAGATAGACAGAGTAATTTGAAACTCCAGAGAAATCTCTGCCAGCAGATAGACAGAGTAATTTTGAAACTCCAGAGAAATCTCTGCAAACAGATAGACAGAGTAATTTTGAAACTCCAGAGCAATCTCTGCCAGCAGATAGACAGAGTAATTTTGAAACTCCAGAGAAATCTCTGCCAGCAGATAGACAGAGTAATTTTGAAACTCCAGAGAAATCTCTGCAAGCAGATAGACAGAGTAATTTTGAAACTCCAGATAAATCTCTGCAAGCAGATAAACAGAGTAATTTTGAAATTCCAGAGAGATCTCTGCAAACAGATAGACAGAGTAATATTGAAACTCCAGAAAAATCTCTGCCAGCAGATAGACAGAGTAATTTGAAACTCCAGAGAAATCTCTGCCAGCAGATAGACAGAGTAATTTTGAAACTCCAGAGAAATCTCTGCCAGCAGATAGACAGAGTAATTTTGAAACTCCAGAGAAATCTCTGCCAGCAGATAGACAGAGTAATTTTGAAACTCAGAGAAATCTCTGCCAGCAGATAGACAGAGTAATTTTGAAACTCCAGAGAAATCTCTGCAAACAGATAGACAGAGTAATTTTGAAACTCCAGAGAAATCTCTGCCAGCAGATAGACAGAGTAATTTTGAAACTCAGAGAAATCTCTGCCAGCAGATAGACAGAGTAATTTTAAACTCCAGAGAAATCTCTGCAAGCAGATAGACAGAGTAATTTTGAAACTCCAGAGAAATCTCTGCCAGCAGATAGACAGAGTAATTTTGAAAAGAGAAATCTCTGCCAGCAGATAGACAGAGTAATTTTAAACTCCAGAGAAATCTCTGCAAGCGATAGACAGAGTAATTTTGAAACTCAAGAGAAATCTCTGCAAGCAGATAGACAGAGTAATTTTGAAACTCCAGAGAAATCTCTGCAAGCAGATAGACAGAGTAATTTTGAAACTCCAGAGAAATCTCTGCAAGCAGATAGACAGAGTAATTTTGAAACTCCAGAGAAATCTCTGCAAGCAGATAGACAGAGTAATTTTGAAACTCAAGAGAAATCTCTGCAAGCAGATAAACAGAGTAATTTTGAAATTCCAGAGAAATCTCTGCAAGCAGATAGACCGAGTAATTTTGAAACTCCAGAGAAATCTCTGCCAGCAGATAGACAGAGTAATTTTGAAACTCCAGAGAAATCTCTGCAAGCAGATAGACAGAGTAATTTTGAAACTCCAGATAAATCTCTGCAAGCAGATAAACAGAGTAATTTTGAAATTCCAGAGAGATCTCTGCAAACAGATAGACAGAGTAATATTGAAACTCCAGAAAAATCTCTGCCAGCAGATAGACAGAGTAATTTCGAAACTCCAGAGAAATCTCTGCCAGCAGATAGACAGAGTAATTTTGAAACTCCAGAGAAATCTCTGCCAGCAGATAGACAGAGTAATTTTGAAACTCCAGAGAAATCTCTGCCAGCAGATAGACAGAGTAATTTTGAAACTCCAGAGAAATCTCTGCCAGCAGATAGACAGAGTAATTTTGAAACTCCAGAGAAATCTCTGCAAACAGATAGACAGAGTAATTTTGAAACTCAGAGAAATCTCTGCCAGCAGATAGACAGAGTAATTTTGAAACTCCAGAGAAATCTCTGCCAGCAGATAGACAGAGTAATTTTGAAACTCCAGAGAAATCTCTGCAAGCAGATAGACAGAGTAATTTTGAAACTCCAGAGAAATCTCTGCCAGCAGATAGACAGAGTAATTTTGAAACCCAGAGAAATCTCTGCCAGCAGATAGACAGAGTAATTTTTAAACTCCAGAGAAATCTCTGCAAGCAGATAGACAGAGTAATTTTGAAACTCAAGAGAAATCTCTGCAAGCAGATAGACAGAGTAATTTTGAAACTCCAGAGAAATCTCTGCAAGCAGATAGACAGAGTAATTTTGAAACTCCAGAGAAATCTCTGCAAGCAGATAGACAGAGTAATTTTGAAACTCCAGAGAAATCTCTGCAAGCAGATAGACAGAGTAATTTTGAAACTCAAGAGAAATCTCTGCAAGCAGATAAACAGAGTAATTTTGAAATTCCAGAGAAATCTCTGCAAGCAGATAGACCGAGTAATTTTGAAACTCCAGAGAAATCTCTGCCAGCAGATCGACAGAGTAGTGTATACAGCTATCGGCAGCAACATGGAAACAAATTGTATCAACGTAACTTATTAGAATGAAAAATATGCATTTTGTAACGCTAACCGTGGCCTGTGTGCAGCCTGAATTTCCTTAGTCAGCAACGGCTTGAATTTCAACACACTGAATTTACTGTTTCTGGGTAAAGAAATTCAGCCTGCGTGCAGGCTACGTTCAGGGTGTTTTGCCAAAGGCTCAGGTAACACCGTCCATTGGATAGTGTACTTCATCTAAGAAGTGTTCACGCCAAAAAACCCTTAAATTAATACGGCGTGATTCTACTCAGTCTTCTACTTGAGAAATTATAAATGTCTTTTATTTGTGGCAAAAGGACTTGCTTGTATATCAAAATGTTTTGTGTCGAAAAGGTACAGACCGCCCAGTTTCGTTTTCAACATATAGTGATAGCATATAAGTAATGTTTGAATGAACAAAAGCACATTTAAAACAAAACTTATTACCTTATAAGTTCTTTCGCTTCTTATTTCAATCCTTTCCTTTTTCCATTTTGGGCTTCTCGTCAGGAATTTTTTGGTACTAGCATGGAACATCTTGCTGAACTTTTTCGCTAATTTTACTCGCATTCTACCATAGCCTCCCTTGCGATTTAATCTGTAGTCAAACATTAGGCACGCCGTGGGCTCTGTTATCTCTGGGCTTATTATAGATCCAATCTTAATGCCACCTTTACCATTGTGACGTAGTCGTAAATAGTATCCTGGGGGGAACAAAATGGAGGTCGAAGGGTCTGTTTGTATGTAGTTCTTGTCTATACGGTACTTAGTGACATGTTTATGTGGTGCTGAATTTGCGGTAAATATTTTTTCAAGTTGCTAGCTTATTTGGGGGCCAACTTACCGGTTTATGTGGTACGCAGTTACCGGTCATTGTCGTTTTGAATTGATGGTTTGTATGGTGCTCAGTTTAAGGTTTGTATGGTGCTCAGTTTGAGGTTTGTGTGGTGCTCAGTTTAAGGTTTGTATGGTGCTCAGTTTAAGGTTTGTATGGTGCTCAGTTTAAGGTTTGTATGGTGCTCAGTTTAAGGCTTGTATGATGCTCAGTTTAGGGTTTGTATTGTGCTCAGTTGAGGCTTGTATGGTGCTCAGTTTGAGGTTTGTGTAGTGTTCAATTTGAGGTTTGTATTGTTATAAGTGTAAGGTTTGTATGGTGCTCAGTTTAAGGTTTATATGGTGCTCAGTTTAAGGTTTGTGTGGTGCTCAGTTTAAGGTTTGTATGGTGCTCAGTTTAAGGTTTGTATGGTGCTCAGTTTATGGTTTCTATGGTGCTCAGTTTGAGGTTTGTGTGGTGCTCAGTTTAAGGTTTGTATGGTGCTCAGTTTGAGGTTTGTATGGTGCTCAGTTTAAGGTTTGTATGGTGCTCAGTTTAGGGTTTGTATAGTGCTCAGTTTAAGGCTTGTATGGTGCTCAGTTTGAGGTTTGTGTAGTGTTCAATTTGAGGTTTGTATGGTTATAAGTGTAAGGTTTGTATTGTGCTCAATTTAAGGTTTGTATTGTGCTCAGTTTAAGGTTTGTATGGTGCTCAGTTTAAGGTTTGTAGTTTAAGGTTTGTATGGTGCTCAGTTTAAGGTTTGTATGGTGCTCAGTTTAAGGTTTGTATGGTGCTCAGTTTAAGGTTTGTATGGTGCTCAGTTTAAGGTTTGTATGGTGCTCAGTTTAAGGTTTGTATGGTGCTCAGTTTAAGGTTTGTATGGTGCTCAGTTTAAGGTTTGTATGGTGCTCAGTTTAAGGTTTGTATGGTGCTCAGTTTAAGGTTTGTATGGTGCTCAGTTTAAGGTTTGTATGGTGCTCAGTTTAAGGTTTGTATGGTTATAAGTTATTTGCTCCTGTGGTTCATGTGATTAGGAGCTATTTGCTTAAATGGTCTCAAGTTACTGGCTTACGTGGTGCCGAGTAACTTATTCATGTGAGGTCGAGTTACTTGTTTATATGGTGTTGAAAAACCCAAAATTTTTACCTTTTCGTTTTTGTCTCTGTCTAAACCAGTTAAGTTCATTACCATATACATTTTGTCGGCTTTTGGGCGCCATGTTTCTCCAGTTACAAAAATTTCGATTGAAGTTGCAGTTTATTCGATCATAGTTCATTGTCGATGCCGTTGTTCTCGGCCTTTGGAGCGTTACTCTTGCAGTTGTTCTGACTCGCCTGTTGTCGTTGGATGTCCGTGTGCCGCTTTGGGTGTTTACGTTCTGTTGTTGCGTTTTCGTTTGCGTGCATCTCTTGCTTGCACCGTTCGTGAGAACGCTCCCACAGCCAATATTCTGTTAAGTGGAAACAATGACAGTGTTGGTATTGGTGACATTTTGAGATCTTTAGCGGTATCAACTATTCATCTTTAAACTCAGTTTGAAAGCTTGTTTCTCTTTCGAAGACTTTTTCGGAGTTTTTAGAATTTTTTGAAGCTGACTTTATCGTCCTTATTGACAAGACAATGGCCTTGGGATCACTGTCTTTTTTAAATGTACTAAGCCGTAAAATTGTTCTTCATGTATTGAAAGTAAATGGTTGAAAACAGATAAAACTATAGCTATTGTATCCATTAACATGCCCAATCCCCTACCACTCAACTCTTGTTGTATCCATTAACATACACAATCCCCTACCACTCAACTCTCGTTGTATCCATTAACATGCACAATCCCCTACCACTCAACTCTCGTTGTATCCATTAACATACACAATCCTTCACCACCTATCATTCGTTTTATCCATCACCTTACACAATTCCGTACTATACATACTTCTCTTATCCATTACCCTACCAATCCCCTGTAGCACACTTCTTGGGTGAAGTTGATAATCCATAAAGGAACCGTTCCTTGTACTCTACGATCCCCTTCCGTCCAACCATCTTTGAACTCATTACCTTACACACTCCTTTGTAGCAAACACCTTTTGGGATAGTCTTGCTGGAACAAGCGGCTCCATCAAACGCCTTTACTCCTGTCATAACCTTTGCCGGTCTTTGATTGTCTACTGTCTTACACGATAGCTGACATGACGTTGATATGGACTTGGTATTTTTCCGCTGTCCGGGTCTGGAGCAGGCTCCTAGTTTGACATCGATGTCATCTATGGCGATGTCGCTTTTATATGAAGAACCTTCTTTCTTTGCGTGAAACGAGAGCTGAAAATTTGACAAACTATAAGCGTGGCTTTCATTTCGGATAAATTGCTACAAAGAAACTCTAATCAGACAATCTGATAAAATGCTACAAAATAATTTTGTTGAGGCAAATTTTTGTCTTTTCGATGATGGTTTTAAGCAGTTATAGTACTACTTTTTAAGCGTTTTGTTTGTTTGGCCTACGTGTTAGATGGAGAATGTGCACATTTTTAAGCAGTTATTGTACTACTTTTTAAGCGTTTTGTTTGTTTGGCCTACGTGTTAGATGGAGAATGTGCACATTTTTAAGCAGTTATTGTACTACTTTTTAAGCGTTTTGTTTGTTTGGCCTACGTGTTAGATGGAGAATGTGCACATTTTTAAGCAGTTGTTGTACTACTTTTTAAGCGTTTTGTTTGTTTGGCCTACGTGTTAGATGGAGAATGTGCATATTTACTCAACAAAGTGGTTGAAAAATTAACGGAAAGCGAAGGAGTTTGATTCTTTGCTCAAAGTTTGAACGATATTTCTGGTGTGTAACCGTGAACTTTGCCTCTAAATGATTAGTTGTTAGGATACCTTTTGACCAACTAACGTTAATATGAATCAAAGCCATCATTGTGTTTAACTGTCAGCGAATCGTTATTTCCTATCTCAATGACGTATCGTTACCCACCAGGGAATGGACGCGAAAATTCATCATATTTGTAATGGCGATTACGGCTATAGCAAGTAATTACTGACGTAAATGATACAATTGAACAAATGCCGTTAATTGGCAATCTTGTGGTGCGATCTGCGTTTTGTAAAATAGGGAGTGGGTCTCTTCTGCCTTATATTTGGTGCTTATTGTCACCTTTATCGTCGTCATTAAAACTATGTAATGTTACTTTCAATGTATGAAATACTTAAAAAAACCTACTCGATATGCAGTTGTGGTGCGTATGTTCATTGTGTGACGATGCCAGCGGTTTCTTCGGTTACCTAACATCCTCCACAATGTTGTCTTAACTCTACCACTCTCCTTGACGAGTTTCAGCTGACCCATGTTACCGTCACCCCACATGTGGTAGGAAAAGGAAAAACACATTTCACGATACTTGATCAGCGGACTTCTCAATTCAGCTTGTGCTGTACTTCGTGTTGACGACTCGAAGTAGACGTACTGTCCTAAAGTAATGACTCAGCGTATTTCTATGAAATGTTGTGCACATATCCCAAAACTTTTTACTGACCTTTGTTCGTCTTCAACGTGTAATCTACGGAAGGTCCGGTACCACGTGACGGTGTCCTGCCCTTCCGTAACGTCCATTGTTTGAAACCTGACCGGACGACGTCTGTCCAAGAGCATTTGTCTTTTTCAAACGAGCAGTCAAGTCCTGAAAGAAATTACTTCCTTCTTAGACTATATTTGAGATAACTTGTACTTATGTGTGTGCTGAGAACACGGGAGTGCTGAAAACCCTTTCGCATGAATTTTACATCATTCAAAGATTTCTTTTCTTACTATTTAAGTTATCATTATGTTTCCATTTACGGCCTGGGTGGGACCGTGCGCCGACTTGTGCGCATGCGCCATCTTTGTCTCCAATTGGACACGCCTGTAACAAACGATGAAATGAAATTACTAAAATCCGTATCCACGTTCGTGTTTCATGTAATTACAAATTTACCCGACTCGTATCACATGTCTTTACTTCCCAACTGGATCCCACGCAAACTTTATTCATATTTTTCAGACTACAGAAAGGTAAAAAGTATAGATATGTTCTCTGAGGTACAACAAGGGACAAACTAGTACTTCTGATGTGCAAATTTTCCTGCAAGAGTATTATTCGTTTCTTTAATGACTTCACGTGTTGTTGTGAATGAACAATACAGAAATATTTGTATAAGAGGAGTAAAGTCTACCACCGGAGATAGTGTCCATATTATAAAGTCTACCACCGGAGATAGTGTCCATATTATGCTCTGGTAAAGAAATGTTTAGAAGTTTCGTGTTACGCCCAACTACTATGCTACTGAAAAACTGTAGTAATATAGTAGCATACCCAACTACTATACTACTGAAAAACTCTAGTAGTATAGTAGTACACAACTACTATATTACTGAAAAACTCTAGTAGTATAGTAGTATACCCAACTACTATATTACTGAAAAACTCTAGTAATATAGTAGTATACCCAACTACTATATTACTGAAAAACTCTAGTAGTATATTAGTATACCCAACTACTATACTACTCAGAAGCTGTATTAGAATAATAGTACATCCAACAACTATACTACTAAAAACTGTAATAGTACGCCTAATCACTATTTTACATAAAAACTTTAGTAGTATGGTAGTACACCCTTACTATTAACTATTAATAATTGACAATATTACCTTCTCGTTGTACACAGTCTTCTGCGAATCTGGACTCCTCTATTGCACGTTCGTGAACATTGGGACCATTTTCCCCAGTCTCCCCAACCCTCTCTCTTCCGGCGAGTTACAACTTCCGGATTATATTTTGTTTGTGTGGTGTGGCTGATGGGTTTCACCCTGCAATTTCCCGACATGCACCACTAGGAGAAAAGTAAAGAAAATGTCATGATGGTTTTTACCCTGCAATTTCCCGACATGCACCACTCGGAGAAAACTAAAGAAAGAGTCATGATGGTTTTACCCTGCAATTTCCCGACATGCACCACTAGGAGAAAACTAAAGAAAGAGTCATGATGTTTTTACCCTGCAATTTCCCGACATGCACCACTAGGAGAAAACTAAAGAAAGAGTCATGATGGTTTTACCCTGCAATTTCTCGACATGCACCACTTGGAGAAAAGTAAAGAAAAAGTCATGGTGTTTTTTACACTGCAATTTCCCGACATGCACCACTAGGAGAAAACTAAAGAAAAAGTCATGATGGTTTTTACCCTGCAATTTCCCGACATGCACCATTTGGAGAAAAGTAAAGAAAAAGTCATGAAGGTTTAAGATTATTGCGGCTGTTTTTCGCTTACTTGACGGAAACGTACGGATGTGCTATCTCAATGAAAACCTACTTTGTTGTGCCCACATTCTGTGCCGTCCAGCGGTTGTGATTTTATTGGTCTTGAGAATTCCGTTTTTGGCGGTGGCATTCTGCATTCAAGGTTCGCACATGGATCCTTGGAAGGACAAGAAACATGTTGATAATGCTTATGCATTTCTTTTCTCGTTCTTTCCGAAGTTTTTTTTTAAAGACGCAGTAAATAATTCAGTCATCTTACCCTGTCTCTTCTGATCTTTACTATGTAGTCTTCATCGAAGTGCAGTTGACATTGTCGTGAAAGGGAGTAATCCACGCCAGGATACTTGTGTACAAATGGGAGATTTGGCATAAGCCTCGGTTTGTTCCTCACACAGCCAAAAGACCTGAAAATTTTGATTAAGATAACAAAGAGATGAGCAAAGTCTCTTCTCGCAAAGTTTACTTTTTAATGAATGATCTATAGCGGCACTTTGTAAGATTCTCCGTATCCAAAACATGCCTCGCGTCCTCAAAAGAAACGAAATGATGCCGGTATACTACGATCAAACGTTATTACGTGTATGTTTACGGTTTTTCCTGGCTATTATCGCTTTTGTGTGTTTGGTTACCTTATAGGCTGCAGGGTTTTCAAAACATACCATACCAATTTAGAAGAAGTTAAGAAACAAAGGATGTTTAGTGCAAACTCAGCTATAGACCAATCAGCGCATGCGTTGTATTTCTATGATATCATTTCGATAATTACCTGAAATATGTCAAAAGTTCCACTTGACTTTGTTGAGACCAACCACATCTGCCCAAACCGCAGTCGACAATTTCCGACATGACAAAGCCAGAGTTTCTGCCGAATGGTTTGTCTGTCAAAGCGAAACTGTCAAAACAACGATACAGTCATATGTTTATTTACGTCATTTCTCCCTCAGAAACTAGACAAAAAAAGGCTTCATTAGAATATTCAATATTTGTCATATTTGTTGACGACGGGAAAAGTGATTCGGTTTCTTTTCTTAGTTTCGCAGGGCCAAATCGCGTGTTTTAATAATTGTTTTTGTTTAAAGCGAAAAGTTTGATAGATCTTCACGTAAACTTCAACAAATTCCATAAAAAATTACGTTTTATGAAAGGCTTCTCGTTTCAAAGTTTATGTTGACGATGCAACTCTAATAAAATAACTCTTTATTAAAATTCACTAGCTCAAACAAACGCATTTGTTTGCTGCGAGCTCCCGTGAATCCAGAAATTAGTCAGCGGTCTCTGCAAGTACAAAAAATCCTAATTCTTACCCGTGGGCGATTTCATGAGCAATAATGAACGAGCCTTTAAAACCGTAATCATTGACGATTGAACAACTGTAGTTTTGACTGCACATTCCTCTCAAATGAGCATAACCTAAAAATTCAGGATGAAAAGTTTAATGAGTTTCAGTTAAAAATCCTATGAAATTCTTCAAACTTTTTTTTACCTGCGCGGCCAAACTTTTGCCTGTAACAAAAAATGCGTTCTGTGTAGTTTGTTTATTTTATAAGGATTGTGTTTTTTTATCGTATTATAAAGGCAGTTTAAAAAATGACTTAATGACTTCTTCAATGGAATTGTTTTATTACTTTTTGTAAATGACATCGTTATGACATCACATCACATAATTAGCATCGGTAAATGGCAGTTTTTGTCGACAGTTAGGGCCTGTTCATATGAGCCCGGGTAGCCGGGATTTAGCGAAGCGCTTAATCATTTTAGCCAATGGAAAAGATTAATTCCTTCACAACAAAAAAGTTATTTAAGCAATTTCCCTATGTTCCGAATTTGCAAATTCACAAAACCTTTAAAATGAAAACAAATAATTAGGCCAGATTTGAAAATTACAACTAAAATGACTCGTGACTTATAAGAAAGATTGTAAGTTTTGCGTTTAAAGTTTTTACTCCTTTCAATATCTCAAAATCATTTCACGCCTCGCCGAATCCCGGTTAGCTGGGCTCATGTGAACAGACCCTTAGTCGAGAAATATCTAACTTTTCCATCTTGACAAATATTCATCTACGCACGTGTTCTTTAAACTGTCGTATTTGTGCATAAAGTCTTCTAACAATGTGGAAAATTGATGATCTTTAAATTTTTATTAGTTTCCGTGATGTCATAGCGATTTCATTTACGTAATGAATAAAGTTAAGTACCTCTTGAAATAAAAAATAAAAAATAAGTGAATTCTCCTGCAGAGATTATTAAGTCATTTTGTATATACTTTGCAATACAATCAAATTAATTTCGTGTAAAAATTTCGTGTCATGAATACTTTGAGCGCTTTTTTCAACTGACGTGAATATACTTTATACGATGTAATAATTTTGTAATTGATTTCTTTAAGGGATGGCGATACAGCGATGGACGTTTTGTTTGACTGTTGTGCATATAGTTTAATTCCCTGTAATTAACCAAAAGTAGATCTCCATTTAGTTACGAAACGGAACTTGTTGGGGGGGGATGAAGTTGCATGAATCTATCTTGTAGTCCCCAGTTCACCGGACGGGATGAATTTCGAAAACATGGAGGTAGCAATGTCTTACGTCTTAACCAGATAAATTATTATACTATTATCAATTGTATTTCGTCAATGATAATTCAATTTCGATTTTATGACGTCATCGTTACGTAAGTCTTAACTTGAATGCCCTTCAAAGTCCCAACGCTAATCTCAGCGATGTTAAGTCACGGGGTACATTGTACGAAAATGTCACAGGTGCAGGGTTATCTCATTTCTATTATTATTCATCCTTGGCGTAAGAACTAATCACTTACCTCGTTATAAAAAGTTTATGGTCATATCTTCTTCCATCTGAGTTGCCAATGTTGTTCATGTATCTACAGGCTTTCAATAACGCGTTCTTTTCATCTCTTGGTTGTAATTTCACTTCGTTCTAGAATAAAAACATTCACATTTCTATAAATTTGGAAATGTTTGATTGAACTTTTTCCTTAAACGAACAATCGTTGTTTATAAGCACAAACCTACTGTTGCCGTTTTTTTCTAACTACTAAACCCTTTCCTTCCTATTTTTTTTTTTCGTCAATCGAATCTGGGTTTTTTTCATGATTGTCGCCACATGGCGACAATGTGAAAGAAAGTCTTAAGCCGATAGAAAGTGTTTCATAATGGTTCCTTCGCGATTGGTCGAAAAGGTCAAATTTGCTTCCGGGTTAACTTTCCTTTTGCTGAAATATAACTTTCTCGAAGGTGACAAGTGCCGGTGTGTTTCTTGGCACTCGTAAACAGAGATTTATTGGACAGATTTTGATTATCATAATTTACTACTATTTTTCAGTCACTTTGATAGAAAAGCGATAGTAAATATTGTCTGATGAATGAACCAAAAGTAATATTGAAAAACAAATGTAGATATTGCTGTGAACAGCGTATTTGTCGTGGTAAATGACGATTGAGCAGTTCTTTACAGAAATGTTGAAAAGCAAAATAAAAATAGCTATAAAATTAAATGATGCGATGCATTTTGGCAAACTTATCATCAGGTCTCACGTCTGCTTTGATGAAAACCATATTGTAAATAAATGCATTTTGTCATTTAATTATATAGCCATCTTTGTTTTGGTTTTCGACAGTCCCTTTAAAGACAATTTAATTGTCATTCACCGCGATAAATACACTGTTCAAAACAATATTTAAAGGTTTTATTACACGCTAACGCCTGATGTTTGAAAAATTGCCATTGGATTAGGGCCAAAGCTTTCGAGCAAGTATTATCTACGACTTCGATAAATTTTGCATGCGAACTTCACCTTCCTATATTAAATGGTGTTGACAGATACATGAATAAGGTATTCTTACCACATCCCTGCGTAGCACGAGCAACTTTGCGAGGGCCAAATGTATTTTTATTCCGTGCTGACTCAGATCTTTGTGTTGGTAGATCTCTGTAGCCTAAAATGTTAGAATGACAGCACAATGAATGAAGTATAGTGGCATTTCATAGTTGGTTGTTTTAAAAAAGGTCGAGTTCGGAGACAAGACCTTGGATACAAAATCAAACAAATCAAACGGAAATTTATGTTTTCAATTTTGAAGTTTCCTATGCTTTTCTAGAGGATTCGGGTCATTTGTTGGTTTTGACTTGGTAATCACTTTATTAGGTAATCACCAACAGTTAACCTAGGGGGATTTAGGTCACGTGTTGATTTTAACCCGGTAATCACTTTATTACGTAATCACCAATAGTTAACTTAGGGGGATTTAGGTCACGTGTTGAATCACCAATAGCTAACCCTGATACGCAAGAAATGCAACTTCTTAACATGGAGCTTAACTGATTTTTTATGAAGATTTTCCGAAATTAAAACAGCCGGCCAAAACTTGCCAACTACCTATGCTACCAATCACAATGTCGATTCTGCGTGTTCGATCCAATATGGAGTGTTTTTACTCACCAATCTAAACAAAGTTGTGACGTATTTCTGAGCTTCTCTTTCAGTCCTGTGCATTGCTGCCGCGCTTTTGTCCATTACTACAAATACCTCGACGTAGAGATGCTCGTCTTCAATTGTCTTCTGGCCTAAATAGTCGTTTTATTTGGTAGAAAGGACTGCAAAAATGTACTAAGCTATCTTTATTAAGACTATGGATGACCCTATTTGTTCTGCTGAAATCACAGTGAGAATCGTCTTTTGTAAATCGAGTGTTACTTCGGAGAAAACCTATACTAAGCTAACTTTATTTATATCCAGGATAGCTTTTTCAGTTTTGAACTGTGGTTTCCGGAAATCCTGTTAGAATCGTCTGTTATTTATTAAGTGTCACAACTGGAGGAAACCTAAACTAAGCTAACATTTCTTACTCTGTTCAATTTCAACCAACCTTGGTTTTTGATAAAGAATATACTTTTTGTCGTTTCTGTATTCGCTACAGGAACCATGCGAGTGCCATTCCCAATGATCATACTTCTTCCTTGATTATCCCTCGCAGTCCATTCATGTACTGTTCGGCTTGTGATCGTGACCGCTTGCTTCGGAAGGATTTTCGTAAAGTACGTCGGTCTCCCAGAAGAACTTACGTCTCTCCAGTACAACTGTAAGATAACTAGAGTGTGAACCATTGAACTATTTGTGTACTGGATGGGTACATTGTGGACAGTTGTGTTAAACATGCCCGAGCTTGCATAACGGTAAATATTGCGTTGGCCTCAATGTGTTGACTGGAGTGTGAACCATTGAACTAAATATACAACAGTATATTTTGTCGCATCGACCAATGGGCTCACTGTGCCTAAAGTTTTTATTTTGACAACGAGATTGAATTTAAAGAACAATAATAAGATACGAAAACCAATGCAGTTTACTGTATTTAATTGCCATCGCAAAGAATTTATTGTTTGAGGGGAGAATCTTTACGCCAGCCAATGCAACTTGATAATGTTTCATTATTGAAAAGTCATTGTTGTTATATCACTTACACGCTTCAATTGATTGAAAGCTTAAAGTTACATGCTTTGAGCCTTCTCAGTCATAGATTAATACAAATGCAACTGTCGAGAAAATGTGAAGCAAAAATGAAATCCGCTAGCGTAGTGTAAAATAATGATATGGGGGGCCCAAACTCTGTAAGTGCTCAGGGGCCCAAAATACCTCAATCTGGCCCTGGCTGTATGGCTACCTTGTGGTAAACATGCTCTAACTTGCGTAAAGCCAATTATCGCGTTCAATGGTGTGAGCCATATTATCTCAGTGTGTTAACTGGAGTGTGACAGCGGTAAGCGAGGTTTTTTACAGTCACGCTGTGTACAGGAATGTAAGATAAATTATGAAATTATGGAAATGAACATTTTTGCCTATTTGATAGTACATTTTAGTGCAGGAGAATAATAAAATGGCAATGAATGCTGGTCATGTCTTTGTTTAGATGGTTTACGCTTTTAATGTCAAAAAGGGTTCTTGCGGGCGGTTGTGACCATGTGTGCCTTGATGAAAAGAACTTTTACTTCAAGAACAGTGTTAAAATGTGATAAGGCCTTTCTCTTTCTTTAAATTTCCAGAAAAATTTACGTGAAGCTTCAGTCGCTGTTGAAATAATACAAGGACTGAATATATTGATTTTAGTTTGACGTGAATTGTCACATTTTCCCCCCCTATGGTGCATTATTTTTCTAATATAATTGCAAAGACAGTTATAAACTACGGGGTTTTTATGGCAAATGAAACCGACAGTGCCACAGTAAGATAATGACGGATGTTGTCGTTTTTGTTGGATTTTTCGTGCTGTGATTATATTTACAATTGTTTTGTTCAATAATATGTTTGAAAAGCTTATTAGAAAAGACTTTGAAATTCAATCATATTTTTAGAAAAGACCTCCTATGTGTGACTTTGAAATTCAATCATATTTTTAGAAAAGAGCTCCTATGTGTGACTTTGAAATTCAATCATATTTTTAGAAAAGACCTCCTATGTGTGACTTTGAAATTCAATCATGCTTTCAAAAAAACACATCCGATTTCTCTCTATTGATGTTCTTAATTGATATGCAATGCAATGCCCTACGCTTGCCTTAAATATTTTGTATTATATTTGCGAAAAATAGGAAAGACAGTTATTGCTTTTCCCATCCAAGAGGAACCCTAAAGTCTTTAAAATTCTTAACCTTAAAGCCCTTACCGAACGTTCAAAGTGAGAGAGAACATTCCAGTAAAAACATAGGTGTAAAGTGACATGTAAATACCGATGATTTTATTCGAGAATTTAATCAATCATTTGGTTCTCGTTAATTTTTTTAAATCACGTGTTCTGCTTTGTATTTTTTTTCCTGCATTGTGTTTGACCTTGCTGTTATATGCATCTTTGTTGACCTTCCCTCGTTTGCCAAGGTTTCCGGTTCATTTTGACGATATTGGCTAAATTTAATTGGCAAAATGACAAATCGAGGCAAATCTAACTGCACCTTACAGACTCTTATACTTCCTGTACCTTCTCAGAAAATTATACTAGAGGACATTTAATTTCACAGACCCTTACATTTGCTGTTTGCTTTGTTTGTTTGTTTTATTTTGATGGAGAAGAGAAAAGACACCATTTTAAAGCCGTGTTTTAAATAAAACAGGTCCACACGCAGGCTATTTACTGCAGCTAGAGAGCCAAGTCTCTGACCACTTTGGCAAGTGGATCCATTGTTAATTTCCCGCTTTGAAAGATAGTTTAATTGTTTTCAAACCCACCTTGGCTGTCTTTCCACTTCTGTTATCAAAGAAAATGTAACTTTTCTTTCTGTTTGTCGATCTTTTCGTCCTTGAGATGGATTCTTGCGCTAAAAGTAATTGTGGTAATAACTGTTTGTGATTGGCTAATGGGCACAACTCGGGTTCGTCTACATTACATCTCTAGACTGCAAACAGTAAAAAATCGATGAAAAGCTTTCTTGGACATCTTGCAGTAATACAGGCTCGATAAGAGATGATCTACTGGATATACAGGGATATCTTGCTGTAACAAAGACTGGATAAGAGATGATCTTTACTGGATATTTAGGAAGAACCGTTTAGAACTAACAAAGTCATTAAAAATAGAAAACTTAGTTTAGTTTGGGTTTTATTCTTCTGTAACACAGGCTCAATAAGAGATAATCTTACTGGATCTTTAGGAAGAACAGTTAACAGTTGTTAACTGTTATCCAACTTGAAAGAGCTAGCTTATTTTAGCTGTAGAAAGACAGACTCAATAAGGGATGATCTTCAGCGGTTTTTAGGAAGAACTGTTTTAGAAATGATAAGGTTACTCAACTTTAAAAAGCTAGTTTGGTTTAGGTTTGTTATGTTGTAACACAAGGCCAATAAAGCTGATCTATGCTGGATCTTTATGAAATACAATTGTAAACCAACAGAACTATCCAGAATAAATAAAGTTAGTTTGGCTTAGGTTTATGCTTGTGTGCTAGTGCAAGGTCAACGAATGATAATCCTTCCTGTCTCTTTGGCGAAAATAATCGAAGAAAATTGTGCAGCCTAAACTAATCAGTTTTTGTTTCCTGGCTTTATAAACAAAAGATTATCCGGGTAGAATGCCAGGATGTCAATACAGACAGTAGATTATAATTGGTTATTTTTGGAAATAATTACAAAATCGCTCAGTCACTGACACACTTAAATGCTTAATAATCGCGTATTCTATCTTCGGTTGCAAAAATCTTAGAAGATGCCTGAAACACATCCTAGAAGATTTTGCGAGTTGTGATAACTGACCGGCAATACCGACACATATAGCTTGAACTGAAATACATGGAAGTTGATCTCTCATACTTCCAAATTTGAGTATGGATATTATACAAAAAGGCCATATTGTTGAAACCACTTTAAAAACGGCCTGTCTATGGCTCTTCAATCACTCATCTCTGTTTTCAGGTATTTGACAACGGTTGAACTCGCATTCTTAAAATGCTGATCTAATTACATAGACTTGTGCCAATCATTTATTGCAGACGTGCGCATCTTATGCTAATTAAATTGCCCTATGGAAGTGAAGAAAGTTCATAAGCATTTAACAGTCGCTTGAGTTTGCTGTTCACTTACATTGCTCGACCGTTTCCATTTCGACTCTTCTTATCGCCTAAAAAATATACCAGTTAAATTTAAGTCGCACGAGAATGCGTTTAAGAAAGAACTGTTTCACAAATTTTTTTTTCAGCGCTTCTCGAATTCTCAATGTGCCCTCACTCATACCATTGTACTCGTGTCATACTCTACATTTACCTTTGAAGCTGAAATTTTTTCAAGTGTGAGAACAAGAGAAACTCTGACGAGTAGGAACACAAACAATCTCGCCATGATTGTCGTTTGCCAACGAATACTTGAGGTTACCGTCCGAACTCTTATGTAGAACGGAGGTGGTTGTACATAATGACGTTATCAACGAACACCGCCGTTTGTGTATATTGTGTCTTTTGATGGATTAATTTACGCGTGAAGATGTGATCACCTGTCATCAAAATCAGTCAGCACAACCTCGTTAATGCCACGAATGTTTATACTGTGGTGGAAAATACTTCCGCTGAAATGATAAATGTCGGTGAAATGCGATCCGAACAGAGTAAAATGGTAGCTTTTTTTTGTCTTTGGGAAATGGCCGACTGGAAGTGCGCGCATTTGGAAATATTGTTTCGTTTATCAAATAGTTACTTTAGTCAATTTAACGCCCAATTTGTTCGCACCACTGTTTTTGAGAGACTTGTCCGACACAAGCTCTGCGAGAGGTCACTTAAATGTTGCTATCTTTAAATTCTATTTTCGAACAGACCGGTAAATTTATCGATTGTTCTTTAAGCTAAACGCAACAAACTAAGCCCATCAAGGTCGAGGGTTTGGTAATATCCTGTAAATACAATACATTAAATACAATACCATATTGTTAAATTCGATAGATTACTATGGAGGGTATATCCAAATTTTGTGCTGAGATAATTTCAATAATCTCGGACACATCTCTGTTATTTTGTGCAAAATCTTTTCTGCTTTTTATGAATTTTACAAAACTTCTAATAGCAAAACATGCATAGTAATGTACCAATAGGATTAGCATAGTGTACACTACAGTAAAATAGACAATATAATAAAATAGACACTGCAATAGAATCTACAGTACAATAGAATAGACAATACAACATATGCAATGGAATATACAATACAGTAAATTATACAATACAATATAATAAAAAATATAATACTATACAATACAGTCAGTAAAGTTTGTATGCTTTCTTATATTATGAGGAGAATCGTAATGAAGCTTACTACTTTCAGGGTCGTACCTAGAACATTAATTGGGGGTGTATAATCATACATTTAGTTGTACTTAAGTGATTTCTTTAGAAAGCCAAGTCCTCTAGACATGACCGACTGAAAAGTGCGCGCATTCGAAAAGATGGTGTTTTGATCAAATAATGACTTTTATCTATTTAACGCCTCATTTGTTCGGAAATCACTTTGAAAGGAAGTCATTCGGACACAATTGAATATATGAATTACCTCCCACCCCCACCCACCCCTCCCCCTCAATTATAGTTCTAGCTACGGCCCGGGCTATTTTATTATAAAATAATTTTCACCTTAATCTTTTACGTGTATAATCTTTCACGTGTAAAAAATGCGAACTGCTTTGTTCTTAAGCGCGTTTTGATAGCAGTAAATAATCAGCTCGCAAATTTCAGTCCCAGCTGTTATGTAAATTTTAGAACATCGCGATTTTCTTTAGAATTCCCGTTGTTTCTACTGTAAGTGAACAATGAAAAATTTTGCATAGCAGGATTAAATTAAGGTGCTTGTTACGTCACTTGTTAACTTTGACGTCTTTTTTATTACGAGTTAGGCCTGTGTCAAACGTCGCATTTTACATGAGCCGAGTGCAATTAAAACAAAAGATAATGAGGAATTTTATCTCATTTTTTTTTGTCTTTAATGCATTCGACGCATATAAAATGTGACGGTTGAAACAGGCTTTAACAAAATGATGGTTTGTTTATTGTGAGCTTCGAAGGCTTTTTATGGTGATTTAGCTGCAAGCCTATGACGTTCAGTCATACATTAGTTTCGCGCTGCTTAGACACGTCATTTTCATGTGACATATCTATTTCCTGCGCTTGAAGATCCTGAACTTATTTTTTGTTTTTACTTATAATATAAAGACATGTGTCATAGATTGGTTTCCTTTTACGTCACTGGCGCCATGTTGGTTGAAGTGAACAAAAGATTTTTCACGTTTATGATTCAAATTTCAACCAAAATTGCCAAAATCTCTTTATCACCTTGTGGTGCAAAATCTTTTGTGGTGCAAAAGTGATTTTGCGCCACAAACAATCAAATGACTCCTTGCGAAATGGTTGCAAATCATCTATTGTTAGATCATTTGAACTTCATCTCATACTTTTAGCTTAGTTTGTTTTGAAACTTAGTTTGCTTATCATAAAGTATGATTCCGTTGCATTTTATTGCATTTCGTTTATTCTTGTTCAAAAAAATGCTGACAAAAGAGGTTTCTTTAACATCCTGATAGTGAGAGAAGAAATTATCAACGAAACTTGTGTGACGTCATATCGTCAAACTCGTCTCATTTCGCATCCTGTGAGCGTGCGAGCAACAATGGTCAGCGGATTATGTGTGACGTCTTGTCATGAATCTCTTCTCGTGCTTTTAGATTAAAATCATGTAATTTAGCATCAGAAACGTAGCTATGATAATTTTCGGGGGGTGGCAAATTTTCATAACATGAAAAATGAATTTTTGCACCTCAAACAATCAAAGTGAGCGTGAACATAGTCATATTCTTACCTTTGATGAGTGTGTGTCAACCATGATGCATTGCGGCGCGATGTTCCTTTAATCCAGTATGCCGCAGGCTCAGGAACTCAAGATATAACCATAAACAAAAGCGCGAAGTGTATCTTGGAAAACAATAGATTTATAAATATAACGACTGGCAGAAAGTATTTCAATAAAACACAGCAAAACAATTGACAATCCGTATAAAGTAAACATTTTAATTTGTTTTATTTTATTTTATTAGTTTATATTATTTTATCGTCGCAATTATGTCATTTGATTGACTGTTCACCATGTTTATAGGAAAAAATTCCTTGGATTTAAAAGCATTTATGATTATTTATGTTCAGTTCACCTCTAGTTCTCGGAGTAACGTACAAATATGGCTGCTTTGACATCACACGAAAACACATCTGTACTGAATAAACACAAAACATGAAACTTTAGGTTTTACATGTATAATTAATTTAATACGTTTTGCAAATATCTGCAATACTTGCGGTATTCTTTGCATACCCAACTCTTATATGAATGAAAGATAGAAATATTTACAAGTCTTTTATACGTGGTATATTCTCAAAGTATCTTTGTACAAGTTTTAACTTAACAATTTTGAGTATTATTAACTATAGGATTTGTTGTCTCTGTTCTTGCTTTCTTTCACATCTTCCTTTTATGCACCACTGAAATTTGAAAGTACAAATAAATTCAGTATAATCACTGATTTCATATAATGTGCAAACTCTATCAACTATTCACTACACGCACTTTATAGAAACTTTATACTATTTAAAGATTTATCTTACTATGCTGCTCTAATGTCTTCATTAATAATGATCTGTTGTGGAAACTTCATTCCTTACATATTCCAACATAGTGTCTTCTTTATGTGTGATCTAATGTTGAAACTTGAGTCCTTTTATACTTCACTCTAATGTCTTCATCAGGAGTGATCTGATGTTGAAACTTGAGTCCTTATATACTCCAGTCTAGTGTCTTCATCAGAAGTGATCTGATGTTGAAACTTGAGTCCTTATATACTCCAGTCTAGTGTCTTCATCAGGAGTGATCTGATGTTGAAACTTGAGTCTTTATATACTCCAGTCTAGTGTCTTCATCAGGAGTGATCTGATGTTGAAACTTGAGTCTTTATATACTCCAGTCTAGTGTCTTCATCAGGAGTAACCTGATGTTGAAACTTGAGTCTTTATATACTCCAGTCTAGTGTCTTCATCAGGAGTAACCTGATGTTGAAACTTGAGTTCTTATATACTCCAGTCTAGTGTCTTCATCAGAAGTGATCTGATGTTTAAACTTGAGTCCTTATATACTCCAGTCTAATATCTTCATCAGGAGTGATCTGATGTTAAAATTTTAGTTCTTATATACTCCAGTCTAATGTCTTCATCAGGAGTGATCTGATGTGCAAATGTTTGACCACTCACCTTATTAATACCACAGGACGTACCATCCAAAGCTGGCGAATCGGGGGATTGTGTGAACCCAGACATTTCCCCAGGCATGTTGCATACTAGCCTTCCACATCGGTCGTTACTCGGGTTCTATTAACAAAAGGAAAGAGTGTTTTATAGCTGATTGTTTGTAAACTGTTTATGAAATCTGCCCCCTCCTCTGACCTGTCTCCCGCTTTAAATTAAAGCTTATGTTGAGGTTACTTACCTCGTATTCATCAGGGATGAAAGCAGTGTAGCCAGAGTTGTATTCCAAATCACATTGGTCCTCGAACGTGAAAATTTCGCCTGGATATGTGAAATTTTTTGCTTCTGTGTCTCTTGTTATATTCTTTAACGTTGTCTCTTTAAGGCATCCAAATTCTCTGTAAGTAAATTTTAGTACATTAACTCTAGCTTTAGGCTCTTCCCAGACCTCTTGCCTTAAGCTGTTCCTAAACCTCTTGCTTTAATTTTTATTTAAGAAATTTTGAAAAACAATTAAGAATATCATAGCGGCTGCCATGTTGATCAAATAATGTAATTGGAATCTTTGTGCAAATCATTCTGTATAGATGGTTTCATTTCACGTTAGCCTTTCAAAAAATGGTTTTATGAACTTTAAATTTAAAAAACGACGACTTTTAGAAGGACAGTTTCTTAATGAGATTACACAGTAACCAAGGTGGATATTAGTGGAACCAGTTACGGCCTGGGACCGAGTAAGGTAAAAAGGTATATAAGTTACTATGTTTGAGGAAAGTGGGTACTGTCCAAAGTATACGAAAGCAGAGCGTGGAAAATATTTTTCTCGACATTTCTATCGAAATATTCGATGTGATAAGGTGGAAGTATGTGGTGGTCATGTGGAAGTACGTGGTGGTCATGTGGAAGTATGTGGTGGTCATGTGGAAGTATGTGGTGGTCATGTGGAAGTATGTGGTGGTCCTGTGGAAGTATGTGGTGGTCATGTGGAAGTATGTGGTGGTCATGTGGAAGTATGTGGTGGTCATGTGGAAGTATGTGGTGGTCTTGTGGAAGTATGTGGTGGTCATGTGGAAGTATGTGGTGGTCATGTGGAAGTATGTGGTGGTCATGTGAAAGTATGTGGTGGTCATGTGGAAGTATGTGGTGGTCATGTGGAAGTATGTGGTGGTCATGTGGAAGTATGTGGTGGTCGTGTGGAAGTATGTGGTGATCAGACCCAGAATGCGAGTTATAGTTGGGACCTGAACCACCTGAACTCCAAGTGACCCAAAACGTGTTCCTGGTTGCTCATGCTAGTACGTAACCATCCATGTGGTAAGAATGATAACGATGGATATTAACATAAATAAATAATACTTACGTTGTATATCGAACAAGATCGTTTCTGCTTTTTGCCGACCAATGGTGGTTGCTGATCGTAGCATCAACGATAGGGGACATAATTTCCTTTGAATGTTGAACAAATTCATCATGATCAGCTCCGAATCTGAAAAAATGGTCGTTGAAATTGTGAATACGAGTTTGGACATATTTTATTGCTGTTAAACTCCTCCCTCTCTCCCAGAATTATTGTTAAACTCTCTCCCCCAGGATCCCTGATAAACTCCTCCCCCCTCCAAGGATCCCTGTGAAACCCCTCCTCACTCCCAGGATCCCTGATAAACTCCTCCCTCCCTCCCAGGATCCCTGATAACAAAAAACGCGTATTTGAAGACACAATTTCAATTTTGATAACAGTTTCAGGAAGATTTCTATTGTATGTGTCGAGTCTCTCAATAAAACAGGAGTTGTTTTGTTGCTATACGAAATAAGCTTAGCAGCTTATTTAGTGTTTCGTTTGAGACGATTGTTTGTGCGTTGTTTCCCTTATTCGGAAGATGTTTTTGAAGAACTCTAATTTGGTTTGAGACGATTGATTGTGTGTTGTTTCCCTTATTCGGAAGATGTTTTTGAAGAATTCCAACTGCATAAGACTTGAGATTTGAGTGTGCTCAAAGAAAGCTCTCAAAGTTGAAGTGCTGCTTCAGTGCCGGCCAAAAAAGGGTTTATAATATTCCGCAGATTCTGATCCATCCACAAATCAAATTGGTGATTTTGGTGCTTAAGTAGCGAGAAATTCTACTCATTTAGTTGCTGTTCTCAAGCAAACTTTATAAGCTTTTTAAATGATTTGATTTCCTGAAAAGTTGGATTGCAAAAGTGATGCAAGTATACGGAACGCTGAACAAAAGCGTTGGCTCATCTTGTCGCCATATTTGCGCAATGTTCGCTATAAGATACAAACTTACAAATGTGCTATTTCGTGAGCAACCGTCATTGAGGATGTAAAACCACGATCCCTAATGATGGAACAACCGACTGAACGACACATGCCTTTCCAGCGGGCAAAACCTTGAAAAATAGAAGATATGATGTTTTCCTAGCTACAAATCGAGAAGCGTTTTGAAGTTTCTAAAACAGCTATTCCCCGTCGTATGAAGATTTCTTTCGGAAAAAAATTCTCACCTCCTGCTCCAAATCATTCCTAAGAAAAGATGGAGAATTTCGAATTGGTTTGGTTTTGTCGTTTGAAAAGAATTAAAACATATCTTTGTTCTGCATGACAAGTTCTTTCTGTACCTTGTCAAGAATAGTTTGTTATCGAATTTTCGTTTTTTTTTTTCAATTTCATTCATGATTGGACAAACAACGTTAAGATTATCTCCTCTTGATGGGTCCTTGAACAAAATTTCTTCCTAAAACGAGGATTTTTTTAAAAATTGAGTTAGAAATTGTTTAAATCTTAAAATTGTTTTATTTGACAATGTCATCATGCTGCAATTTTCTTAATCCAGAGATTGATGTGAACAACCTTTAAAAAAACTCTTTTTATCAAACTTACCTTTAAAATGACGATCTGACTTGTAAGTAAGTTGATCCTCAGATGATGTCGAGTTAAACTTTCGTGAAGGAAAGCTTTTGAAGCCTAAAACCATAAGAAATGAGAAATTTTATTTTCGTTAGTTCAGTTTGAAGTCTGAAAATTTTTGTCAGTGTGTTTACACTTACGAAGTCCATCATTGTTTTAACGTAAGTTCGCGTTTTAAAATCGCTATCAAACAGATCACGAACTGATTTGTCGACTACCACCAACGTTTCAACGTATACATTCTTCGTAGAGATCTCTCCTGTAAAACAAACAAAGAATTGTATCCATTCTTTATGCACCGTTCAAAGTTTCGCCGAAACAAAACACCGCGGACTCAACTATTCGCGATTTAGGTAGCTATTCTGAGAAAACATGTACAGCATACCTTTTCTTGTGATGATGTAAAGATCTCTGGCCGTCGGCTTACTTAGCTCGGTTCTAATTTTTTTCTTGTTGTTAATGTCCAAGCGTTTGTTCCTTATATCCCTAGCCTTCCATCTGTCATTGACGAACGTGTTCACTTCCATAAACTGGTCTTTCTTTAGTATTAGAAAGAACCTCCATTTTTTTTTGTTCTTGCCCGTTTTGTCTTTATAGTACAACTGTAATAGTATGACATTCATCAATATAGGTCCCACACTTGCACAGCAAGATGCTTCTTTCGGACATGTTAGACATGCATATGTTTTTTGTTCGAGATATATTATGGAAAGGGACTTAATTCTGGAAATTTGCGGTAGCATTTATCCAATAGCAAAAACTTGCGCTCTTAACTTAGTACCGTCGCAATTAGCTTATAAAAATCTTTTTTGATAAACATGATAGCAATCGCAATCTTAGGTCATCACAATTATGCATCAGCAACGACATCAAAAATGATTCTAACAAAATCAGATAAGATCCCGTACTTGTTTCCCTTGCACTATTTTTATATTATCAAGTGTTTATTTTGTCTTTTTATCAATCTTCGTGCGTCACCGCAAAAAAACTTCAACATCTGTTTTGTAAAAGCTCGCTCACACTCACTGAGTTCATGGGACTTTAAAATCACCTCATAACTATTTGCATGATGGTATTTTTACGCTGCTGATTGCTTGATTTGAAATATATCAGCAAAAATCTTATCACCGATGGAGAAGTAAGGTTTCCATTAATTAGTGGGAGAACATTTTCTGTGTCGAAATATGTTGGTATCATGTGGCAGTGTGAGTAAGCTGTTAGAAAACAGGCGTTAGTAGCAGACTTTTCAACACATTTTTTCACATGTCCAAATATTGCATCACTTGAGAAATAAAAGATGTTTCCTGTGTTTGCACAGGCTTATGCAAACCGGGGAGAACTTTGGGAAAACTTGAGAGCAGATCAGTGCAAGCTCGAGACCGAAGATAGAAGGTTGCACATGCTCAAGAGTTCTCACAAACGTCTCCGAGGCTTGCCTAAGCCTGTGCAAACACGAAAAACATCTTTTATTTCTTTTATAAAATATTAGTAATGCGAAACAGACAAATTTAAAGTAAACATTTAAATTTTTTCTCTAAAATGTATTCATGATCGGTTTGCAAATTCTCTTTGACTGATTGATTGTTATGATTGATTTGATTGGTTGAGCTCAGATGCGTTTTGCACAGGCTTATGCAAGCACAGCTCTAGACCAATCAGCGCATGCGTTTCATTGTGTTTATTTTATAATTAGTTATAAACATCAGACGAAATTTGATGATGTGAACAAATGTTCACTTTGAGATAGAAGTAAGAAAGTCATGTTATCATCTCAATGCCGAATATGCAATGTATTTTTTACTTTGATTTGATTGTGTTAGACTTGTTTCCTTCGACGCATTTTACATGAGACGAATAATGTATGCCCAGTCTGAATACACATAGCTAGATTCAAAGTTATTAGTTTTCACAGTCACCTACCTTAACATCGCCACCGCTGCGGTTGTCGAAAGCTATATAACTCTTTGTTTTGCTTGTCGATCGACGTTGTCTAGAGCGAGCTACACCTGTGGAATACAATCATACAAGTAATCTATCCATCATAAAGAAATTGCTTTTTAAGCAGTTTACAAATGCCATTTTACAATAACGATATACGTCAAAAGACCTTTCTTCTTTTGACAAGTGATAATTTTGGATACGTTTGCATCATGATAGGTGAGCATAAAAACGCGTGAATAGGAAGAGTATATTTACAATGATGCTCTAAAAACTGCAGCTGGGTATTAGCCTATGAACCGAGGAATGAACAGAGAAATGTCCGGTAGGAGGCAAATCAACGTACACGATGCGTATTAATAAAAAAAAGCGATTAAGTATTCTTAATGCGAATATATTTGTGTGTTCATTGCTCTTACACTAAATCCATCCTTGTATCCGTCACGAAGTTAATTTCATTTGGATTTTTCAACAAAATTTATGATTTGCATAGGTCATATCTAATTGCTGTTGACATTTTTAGGAAACGCTACACTGAATAATAAATGGTGATAAATAAACAATGTTTTTACAAGAATCTTTTGTCCATACAAAAGACAGCACTTTCTAATAGCCGTCCGGTTTATCATTTCTACAGCTGGAGGGCATGTTAACGCAGATTATTCAAATGACATCGTGCGTCTTATATCTTTGATTGATAACATATGTACATCTCGCACGGTCCTACTTAGTTATCTGACATGATTTCTGACATACCTTTTAGTAACTTCGGACACAACGGGCACTTTATTTCCCTCTAGAAATAAAAGATTCATAGCACAGTTCAGTACCAGAGCTCTGCACTGTTTGAGATTCTGACACTCCTCGAGTTAACTACTACCCCTCGCTGTGAATTGTTTGTACAATATATTAGCTCTGAACTATTTCATGAAAAGCATTGCGTTTTTTCAATCATAACCTTGTTGTCTAGCCAGTATAGAAGTCAACATACTAGCGATTGCATGCACCATCTTAGATGTATAATTAAGTTGCGTTAGTCGCCATAAAGCATTTATAATCAACACGTTTATGCGCACATTATCTGGTGCAAAGATTTTGCGGCTTACTGATCTATACGCAAGAAAGTATATTAACCTTTTCCAGATGTTCCGTAAAACTGCGTCCGTTCGCCCAACAAGATATTGCGCATATAAAAAGCGCCATAACCATGATGCAATTCATCTTTCTTTCCTGCTTTTAAGTCGACACTTACTTGTTTCTTTAACTCAATTGCTTGTGAATATAATTCCACCGTGGATTGAAATCGTTTAAATAGCCACCACGCTGTTGCTGTCGTCATCGGAAGCGTTGCGTAGCAACACCGTAGAAAGGAAGTAAAAAAATGAGTACGACTCCAGGAGGCCCTACATGGCGAGGGTGGAAGCCACCAGGAAAGAAATTTCACCGTAATTAAATGAAACAATATAAAAATACACTCTTTGTAGTTGTGTATTGTTGTCTAACACTTTTTGTTGAGAAAATTCATTGTGATTCATAAACTGGTTCGAAAAATCCTGTACTTTTTGCGAAACTGTTTTGTGCTTTTTCACAAATGGCATCTTATGCAACAAATTGCAGTGTTTTCCGTTTTTGTTTTCTCATTAAAACTCCGCTATTTTTCACAAAACGATCAGCGTTAAACCTTCTCCTCTAACAGTTGATGACATTTCAATTATCAAACATTTATCATTGCCAATTACAGGACGAAAACTTTGTTTAGCAATTACAAATTCTTTCTTTACTTTAAATTTCTTCGATTGACGTTTGGATGTTCGCCATGTAGCTATGTGATGTCTTATACAAAAGAATAATTTATTAATGATATTGCGAGTTCCTTCAGACGTGGGCGAACATCATAGCTTTGTAAATGTTACGAAATATGTTGCAAATTAAAGATAGTGCATGATTCAGCATTATGCAGTCTCTCTAAACACACATCAATTTCATGCCACAAAAATTCCTAGGCATTTCCCAAACACGAACTGGAATACATTTCATTCAACAGCCTCAAAGAAGAAAGAAGTTTTCTCAAAGTTACTAGTAAAGGCTCTTTGTTTGAAGTATTGGGTCGCGAGACAACTAGGTACTTCTTGAAAATTAGACAACTACGTTAAATGTTATCTTTTGGCGTCGCAACACCGACATATTGAGTTTTTTATGTATCGTGGTTGACGCTTTAACCTCAAAGTGTTTTGTCACAAGACAAAGTGTTTTGTGTTTTGTTTGGGCTAACTCCGGGCACTCCTGTTTCCTACGAGTCGTTATTTTAGGATAATTTAGGGCAGGCTAATAATTGCAAACAATTAAAAATAGCACTATTTATATGTAAATGCTTATGACAGCATAAATAGTTTAAATATGAATTACTAAAAAGGAAAATTGAGAATGTTGATACCATCTAAAGCTTCGTCTACATCGAACTGTATTTAGTTTCATAAAGTTTACATTGTATCAAAGTACGTTTCAACTATGGCGTAGCAAATTCTTTCATTGGAGTACCACGAATTCATATATAGACGTCTTAATCGGTAGAGAACAATGCATTTCGAAGGCATTTAACAATGCGGAATATGAATATATGAATAAGTCCCCCCCCATAAACACGCACACACACAAATCATCGAGAAGAAAATGCTGAACAAATTTCTGATTTACAGTTTCGCGTTTGTTAGAACGCTCAGTCTTTGTGAAGATTGCTTGCAAAATTTTAATTTGATTTGTTCGTATAACTGGACACAAATACTTGTTTGTGTCGTGTAAAGTTTCTTTGTTTTGACGTTGATTTTATCAACACAAAGCGTCAAACAAACAGAGGGAAACCACGTTGAATGACGCGCAAAAATGTCACAAGATCATAAAATCCTAGAATCATGCATCAAGTCACTCTGGAGTTTTTGTTATTTATTATAGAGGAAAAATCACAATATGATAAATGGTGTATTTTCTCGAGAGTTCATTAAGTCTTATTAGCCAAGTTAATCTTTTCAGCTGTCACAGATGTAGAACGAATTAAGAATGCGTAACGATTTTGTAAGGATTATAACTGAAATAAAATCGGTTTTCTTTTATGAGTACGTTGCCATAGAAGCTGTACTACATAAACATCATGAGCTGCGAGCAACAACTAGAAGCTGTACTACATAAACACCATGAGCTGCGAGCAACAACTAGAAGCTGTACTACATAAACACCATGAGCTGCGAGCAACAACTAGAAGCTGTACTACATAAACACCATGAGCTGCGAGCAACAACTAGAAGCTGTATTACATAAACACCATGAGCTGCGAGCAACAACTAGAAGCTGTACTACATAAACACCATGAGCTGCGAGCAACAACTAGAAGCTGTACTACATAAACACCATGAGCTGCGAGCAACAACTAGAAGCTGTACTACATAAACACCATGAGATTCGAGCAACAACTAGAAGCTGTACTATTGCACACCAACTGGAAACTTGTGGTTACGTAATTGCATTAAATAAACTTGTGTTTCATTTTTTTTAAGACAGTTGATAACGAGATTAACACACTCTTAAGAGTTATTCGTCTCTTCGATTTTTTTTATGCTGGCTACCATCAGCTTGCAAGATTATTTCCTTCGTCACATACTAAGAATTTTCAACACAAACATTCTTTCCTAGAAGATACAAATTTCACTAGTTGGAACATCCAGAAATGTTGAGATGAAAATTATATTCCTCAAAGCGATGGTAAACACTTTCCAAAAATCCTGCTGCTCTTGAAATCTCTTATTCTTTGGCTTGTATACGTACTTTCGATGTCTAATAATGTGGATTAAAACAGTTTACATCGATGACACATATTGTTAGGTTAATGTTCCTTGACGTAACTCAAAAAACAATTAGCTCTCCCATTGCGCAATTATATATTTAAGAAAATTTTTAAATTCAGGGCCTCTGGATTGTCCAAAACAGCCTTTTCAGACTCTCGTTCATTCATCTAACAAATTTTCCCGAAAAAGCTGTTTCCTCACATGTCAAGGCTTATTCATACCGAACCTTTTACGAGTGAATACAAATGATAATTTCCTTTCACCTTCTAAACTGGCTATACCGGTCACAAGCCCGGGACTTGACTATGTCAAGGACAGTGAGTGGAAGAAATAAAGCAAATGGTTTGGTATGATTGTATGTTATAATTTAGTACTTGTAAAGTTTTTTTCTCTAAGATTATTAGCATATCTTTGAGTGGAATTTCAAACACCGACATTAATGTAAAATGGTCACGATTCCGGTATGGACAACCTTGTGCGAAGCTGAAAGGGCAGCTTAGTTTTCAGGCGCTAGACACTCGCCATATTTACACCTTTTCAAAAAAGGATTGAAAAGTTATCGTTATTGTTGACGAAACTACACTTAGTGATTGATATAATTTTCATCCTTCATGCGTAAGTTTTACAAAAAGCACGCTAACAACGAAACATGGTACTTTATGATAACGGCATATTGTTGTTGACTCTTGTTGTCACAAAATTCATAAATATACAGTTTAGTTGCTAGTTTCAACTGTCGCAGAGTTTAAAGAACCTTTGGAGGAAATATACTACGTTTGAAACTAACTGAGGGAAAATTGGTTTTCGATTCCTAACTTCTCTTTAGACGAATTAAGAAATGCCCTAATTGCATTTGCGTTTCAGTGTTTGTGTCGATCCTTTGGAATTATTTTAAGATATTTTAATGCCATTCCGACAGTCCATTTAGCCCAACGAGACAGTCTATTTGTAAATCATCGGGTAAATTATTATCGTACTTCTATTTATGTCACACTGATGAAACTTTTTTCTTCAATATGACGGAGGGTTTTGATCTGATCATTATATTTGTTTCCATTATTAGAGTAGTATGGCAAAACGTTAACATATACGCGTAACATATGACGTAATGATTCAACTGTACATTAATTAACCAATCATTGTATCGCAATCAAAATGCTACAATTTACTAGTGTTTCTAACACTTGTTATTTCCTTGAGGAAGCCTTAAGCCTTGGATAAACTACTTACGAGTTTTTAATATTTCTAATCCTATTATATTCGAAACGCTAATTATTTAAAAAAAAACAGCTTGTATTTCTTGTTAATTTGCTTATGGTGAACAAGAGCTTACAAACAATGGTTTTATGATCGATTTAAGTATTCGACGCGTGAATTTTTGATTTCCTGAAGGACATTTTACTAGTCAGTCATAAAGTTCTTTACGAACAGCAAAGGGCTCAATGATTTCTAACAAAGTCCCTCTTTTAAATTGAAAGATATAATGTTTTCGTCGACAAAGAATGTCAAGCTTGCATTAAAGCTTGATATTTGATTCTACAAAAACGTTGACCTTGAAAACTGCTTTATATAATGGCATTTTTAATGAAACATAAGCATGACGATAGCTGTTTGAAAACATTGCTATTTTTCTCGCAGTTGTTTTATTGTAAAAATATTGTAAAAAAAATTCTTACAAATATCTTCTGTAGACCAATGGCTGATTTGAAACTGATCAGACGTTTATTTGATCTAAGTGTTCGAATACAGAACACTAAAGTCTCGTCGTATGAACATATGAAATATTTACATGTCTTTTATACGTCGCGTATATTTATGTACAAGTTTTAATTTAACAATTTTGAATAATAATAACTATAGGTTTTGTTTTCTTTGTTCTTGCTTTTGCTGACACTTTCCTTTTATACACCACTGAAATTTGAAAAATATAACTATAGTCAGTAGTACTTATATACTTCAGTCTAATGTCTTCATCTGGAGTGATCTGATGTTGAAACTTGAGTCCTTATATACTCCAGTCTAGTGTCTTCATCTGGAGTGATCTGATGTTGAAACTTGAGTCCTTATATACTCCAGTCTAGTGTCATCATCAGGAGTGATCTGATGTTGAAACTTGAGTCCTTATATACTCCAGTCTAGTGTCTTCATCAGGAGTGATCTGATGTTGAAACTTGAGTTCTTATATCCTCCAGTCTAGTGTCTTCATCTGGAGTGATTTGATGTTGAAACTTGAGTTCTTATATACTCCAGTCTAATGTCTTCATCAGGAGTGATCTGATGTTGAAACTTGAGTCCTTATATCCTCCAGTCTAGTGTCTTCATCAGAAGTGATCTGATGTTAAAACTTGAGTTCTTATATACTCCAGTCTAGTGTCTTCATCAGAAGTGATCTGATGTTGAAACTTGAGTCTTTATATACTCCAGTCTAGTGTCTTCATCAGAAGTGATCTGATGTTGAAACTTGAGTTCTTATATCCTCCAGTCTAGTGTCTTCATCTGGAGTGATTTGATGTTGAAACTTGAGTTCTTATATACTCCAGTCTAATGTCTTCATCAGAAGTGATCTGATGTTGAAACTTGAGTCCTTATATCCTCCAGTCTAGTGTCTTCATCAGAAGTGATCTGATGTTAAAACTTGAGTTCTTATATACTCCAGTCTAGTGTCTTCATCAGAAGTGATCTGATGTTGAAACTTGAGTCTTTATATACTCCAGTCTAGTGTCTTCATCAGAAGTGATCTGATGTTGAAACTTGAGTCTTTATATACTCCAGTCTAATGTCGTCATCAGTAAGGATCTGACGTGAAAATGTTTGACCACTCACCTTATTAACACCACACGACGTACCATCCAAAGCTGGCGAATCGGGGGATTGTGTGAACCCAGACATTTCCCCAGGCATGCTGCATACTAGCCTTCCACATCGGTCGTTACTCGGGTGCTATTGGTAAGAGGAAAAAGCCGTTTTTAAAGCTGTTTATTCGTATTACCCCCTCCTCTGCCCTGTCTTAAGCTTTGAATCAAAGCTTATGCTGAGTTTACTTACGTCATATTGATCAGGGAAGAAAGCAGTGTAGCCAGAGCTGTATTCCAAATCGCATTGGTCCTCAAACGTGAAAATTTCGCCTGGATATGTGAAATTTTTTACTACTGTGTCTTGTCCTGCATTCTTTAACGTTGTCTCCTCTTTAAGACAGCTGTATTGTCTGTAATTTAGTGAACGTTTTAGTTCGTTGACTTTTGCTTAGAGCTCAAGCTTCTTTTGCTCGTATCCCTTTCTTTGAACGTGTAGTAGGAAATTTCCGAATATTTTTACTCTCAAATTTCACAGAAGAACTGAAGAGTGTCAGACACAAAATCATGCAGATTCTGCAGATTCTAAGCTTTTCAAATATACTGCATTCTTCGAAAGTGAATAATTAGTCCATGAGATTTAATATTTGTGCTGCGAAAAAATGACGGTCTTTTCAGAGGCCGCCATGTTGAAATATTAATGTAGCTTAAACAAGGCTTTTAACGACTTTGTGAATTTTTTATTCGCGGTGATCAATTTAGTTCACCATGCTATTTCTGAAAATGACATTTTTGCTTTATCTTTAAAAGTTGAAGAAAGGTTGAAAAAGATACGAGTCGCAACCACCAAATTGAGAAGTTTCTAAATTATCTAGCTTATACCTTGCGTATCGGACAAAATCATTGCTGCTTTTAATGGACCAATGGTGGTTGTTGATTGTTGCATCAACAATTTGTGACATGATTCTCCCTGAGTGTTGGACAAATGGATAATCATGGTCCACTCCAAATCTGAAAAGTAATAAGGTCATAAAATACCAAAATATTAAAAGTTGCGTGGAGCAATACAATGGTGCCAAATCATAGAATTGTGAAAACAGCAACTTTTATCACTTTCCACCACCCACCCATCTTTAGTATCCCGGATATCGGAAAACTTGTACTAAAGAACGGGGGTTCAATGTCGATCACAATTTCCATGATCGATTCTGTATTTTCTCTCTAGTTTGGAAGATGTTTTTTGAACAATTCTATCTGCTTGAGCCCTGGAAATTCAGTGTGCTCAAAACGAAAGTTCTTGTAGTCAATGTGCTGTTTCCATGTTAGTAAAGAGAGAGTTTATAGTTGTCTACATGTTTTGATCCATCCACAAATCTCAGTAATTTTGTGAGCTAACTTAAGCGTCAATAATGAACCGTCTGTTTTTTTGTTTTCTTTGGTTCATTTAATTGAGTAAAAAGTTTGAATGAAGAAGTGACTCTAGCTTAGGATCAAGGTGGCACAAGAGTTAACTCATTTTGTCACCATGTTTGCGCATTTTTTACAATAAGATACAAACTTACATGTGTGCTATTTCATGAGCAACGGTTATTGAAGAAGTAAAGCCACGATCCTTAACAATAGAACAACTGAGAGAGTTGCTACACATACTTCTGGGTTTTGCAAAACCTTTAAAAATAAGAGATAACATTTTGTCTTTTTAGCCACAAACTTTAAAATGGAAAAGTGATTTCTGAAAATAGCTATTTCTGCGATGTCGAGATTTCTTTTAAAAACACAAATCTTACCTCCCGATCCGAATTCGTTTCTGCGAAAAAATGTTGGATTTTGAATTAGTTTGGGATAATCGTTTAAAACCATTTATCGCAAGTTTATTTTGTACCTTGTTAAGAATAATTTATGATCAAATCTTCGTTTTTCCATTTTCTCAATTTTATTCATGATTGGGCAGACCACGTTAAGATTGTCACTTCTCGATGCGTCGAACGCTATTTCTTCCTAAAAGGAGGATTTTTTAAAATTGAGTTGAAAATCTCAGACATTGTCATCATCCTGCAATTTTTTAATCAATATATTGCGTTGAACTGCCTTTAAAAAAATTCTTTTTATCAAACTTACCTTTAAAATGGCGATCTGACTTATAACTAAGTTAATCCTCAAATGATGTCGAGTTAGGCTTTCGTGAAGGAAAACGTTTGCAGACTGTAAAACCACAAAACATGAGAATTTACAGTTTACTTTGGTTTGAAGTTTAAAAATTTTGTCAGTGTGTTTGTACTTACGAAGTTCATCATAGTTTCAACGTAAGTTCGCGTTTTAAAATCGCTGTCAAACAGATTACGAACTGATTTATCGACCACCACCAACGTTTCAACTGAGAAGTCTAGGTCATGTGTCTTATCTGTAAAAAAAAAATTTAGAACTGTATCCAGTCTCCCAGCAGCGCTCAATCTAACGCTGACGCAAAATAGCGGGCACTCATTATTTATAAAAATATAAATACTATAAAAATACGTACTTTGTCGTGTGATGATATAAAGATCTCTGGTGGTTGGCGTGTTAATCTTTGGGTAAAATTCGCTCTTGCCATTAATAAACAGAGGTTTGCCTGTGATGTCAGAAGCTTTCCATTTGTCACTGATGAATGTGTTCATATCCATGAACTCATCCTTCTTTAGCACCAGAAGGAACACCCATTCTTTGTTCTTGCTGTTCTTACTTTGATAATACAACTGAAATGGAATGGCATTCATGGATAAGTTTCTGTTAACTATTGATTTTGTTTGAGAGCAAGGTGCTTTATTTCTGTTTGTGTGATATTCTTTTAGGAACAAAATAAAACTGATCACAATGCAAAGTGCACAGCATATTTTTTACTTTGATTTATTCACGTTGTCTTTGCATTTACTTGTTCGATGACATAAATTATTGTTGAATATTGAATAATCAATGCCCTGTCTAAATATCATATATTCAAAGTTCTTAGTCATTGTCACTTACCTTAACATCACCACCGCAACGGTTATCGAAAGCTATATAACTCCTTATATTGTTTGTTGATCGACGTTTTCTAGAGCGAGCTATGCCTGTTAGCAACAAGTGAACTATCCATTACAAAAAGCAATTCAAACAAATGCGTTATTACAATGTTGATTGCCCGTTAAGTGGCGTATATTATTTTGAGAAGAGATTTCGGGATGATGCCAGAAATGAGCGTAAAAAAAAACGTGAATAAGAAGGTCGTGATAACAGAAATGCTGCAAAAACGCTGATGGGGATTAGCCTAAATCTAGAATTAACGAGAAGAGTCTGTTTTGGAAAAACTTACAAACAAAATATCGTCATTCTAGGTCCTTATAAAAATGAGTTAGGAAATATTTTTCCAAAATCGCTTATTACTTGTCGATAAAAATACCGCGTTTTCTAAGGATAATTTTTTGTCCTGCTGCAAGGCCAGTTCTTAATTCATTGAAAATATGGCAGTCTTATACTAAAATTCTTTCGTATGTTATACCTTGGAGTACAGAACTTCGAAGGCAACGAACTCTTTACTTCCCTCTAAAAATAAAGCATTCGAAGGTTGAGTACGAGACCTCTGCACTGTGTGAGATTTTTATATCCTCATAATTAATCACTCCCCCGCCCTCCCTCGTATTAGTTGATATAGAAATGGATACAACACGAACGGCGCCGAAGGGGGGTTTGAGGCCAAAGTAACGCGCAGTAAATTTAGTAAATATTAGTCGTAGCCTCCAACCGCCCCCCCCTCTCCGCTGCATATAATTTCGTGGTGCCATCCCTGTATGATATTCTGGTAAGCATTGTGTTTTTAAATAATCTTGTAGTCAATCCAGTTTAAAAGTCAATATACTAGTGACTGCATGTACGTTCTTATTCGTCATACTAAATGTATTAAGTAACGTTGATGAAACTCGATATATAAAGCATTTATAATCAACACGTTTATGCGCACATGATACAGTGTAAAGACCATGCGGGTTGTTGGTCAATACCCAGTGAATTATATTAACCTTTTCCAGATGTTTTGTAATACTGCGTCCGTCCGCCAAACAAAATATTGCCCATATAAAAAGCGCCATAACCATAATGCATTTCATCTTTCTTTCTTGGTTTTAATTCGATGCTGTTTAATAAAGTCTTCTTTGTTTCTTGAATTGAATTGCTTATAAAATAATGATTGTGCGGGTTGTTGACGTTTATATAGCGACCTCGCTGTTGCTGTCGTCATCTAAGGCATTACGTAGCAACACCGTAAGTAGGAAGTAAAAAAAATTAAGTGGGCTTGACTCCAGGAGGCCCTGCATGGTGGTGTTGAAGGCCATCAAGGAAAGAAATTTCATTGTTGTTAAATGAAACAGGGTAAAATTTATCCCTATATTTGTGTGAAACCTTTTCCGTTGTAAAAATTCATTGAAATTCTTAAACTGCTTTGAACCACCTTGTACTTTTTGTGAAGCTGGTTTGTTTTTCGTCTTCAGTAACTTCCAGAACAGTCTTTCTTAGAGCGAAACTCAACTGCGTAAATGTATAATATGACGCAATCAGATTTATAAATAAAAGAACGAAAGCTTTGGTTTGACATTCAACTGTTGCAAATCATTTGTTTGTTTATAAAATCATTTAATAGTGAGTCAGCAGTTGGTCTCAGTATTGATCCACCCCATTGACGAAAACATACTGTGCTCTTTGCTAGCTCTAACAGGATTAATCTATTGCAAGCGTAACAGCTTGAAAGATTAAAGGAGTGCTAGCAATGTTAGAGTAAAGGACCTTCGTTAACAACAAATTCCGAAGAAGCAAGACATCTTGAGATTGGAAAATATGAATCAAAACAAGACGAGAAGTAAACTGTAAATTTTCGACATTATTTCAAAGACAGAATTCTGTCTGAGGATGACTTTGAAATAAAGTCGAAAATTTACAGTTTACTTCTCGTCTTGTTTTGATTCATATTTTGCAATCTCAAGATGCCTTGCTTCTTCGGAATTTGTTTTATATTATACTTCTTAAAATTGTCGGTTGGTCATGGTTTTTGTTAACAACGACGATTGTTTTTGTCGTAAAAATTGGCTTCGGTATGTCTGCGGATATTTTTACCTGAGTCAGAGATTGCCAACACTTTTCTGAGAGTTATTGGTTCATTCCGGCCATTAGAATTTCCATCAATGAAACGTTAAAGGGTGGAGTTAGGATTTATTTTGTAGGATGAGGCTAACCATGACGGGGAAAGAATATATCACTGCCAATTAGCTATGAAGAGTATTTGATATTTTTGTCTTGCACTATGAAAAAGTAGTATTGCTGGTGTTATTTTTGATAGTATTATATTCTCAATACTATGTTGTTCGCTTCTGGTTACTTTGCCTTTGTGATATACAAATCTTGAATACATCTATAGTTGCTTCAAGTAATGTGAAGTATAGCCTAATTCACCCAAGTTCGAATCAACCTAGGTTATTTTTTTGCGTGTAAACACTACTAACCCAGGATTAGCCAGTGTCAAACTCCGCGCATCTCAAGAGCTAGGATGAATTAATAAACCCAGGTTAAATCTAGATTAGTAGTGTTTACTCGGAAAATATAACCTGGGTCAACTTGAACATGTGTTGAACCCAGGTAGTTTTCGTCGTCGTGTGAATGGGGCTTATTCCAAAGTATTTTGGTATTTTGTATTTTGGATGGTTTCTTCCATGTTGCCACGGCAACGCTGGGAGACAAAGGGTTAATGTCAAAGTTCATATTTGGAAATGTTCAGCTACTGTCTGGCTTAGAGTTTCGTGTTTGTTTTTAGTACTCGTGGTTTTGATTAGTTTGGATGTTCGTAATTTGATGTACATGTTTGTTTGTGTAAAATTGCTTTGTGTTGATTTGATTAACGGGAAATGGAGCAAAACCACGTTTATTCACGCCCAAAAATGTCACGAAATCATAAAATCTGAGAATCGTGCTTCACATCATTATCTCGTTATTCTTTTTTTATGATTGACAGTGCATTTTTTGATTGTGTGTTAAGTCTTGTAAGTGATCTTGCCTGTCTGCATGATCAGACTCATTGTGGATTTATGGGGAAAAAAATGTTAAAAAAACTGCCGTCCGTGTGTCTTTTCACGGCTTATCAGCTGAATCATATTTTAACAATTCCATGTTTACAGTGTTTACATATATGGTTTAGCCGCTTGGTTCAACTCTCACTAACTTTGAAGGGCCATTGGATGACTTAGGCTGGTTTCAAAACCCTATTTGTTAAAGATTGTGTTTGATTCTTAATATTTCCTTTAGATGAAATGCGAAAATTCAACTTATTACTGTTGCGTGTCAGTATTCGTACATATCCTTCGGAATTATTTAAGTTGCTCTGGACTTCTTGTACCATTGCGACAGTCGATTCAGCTGCATTGGACAGTTTATTTTCATTCATCAGGCAAATTTTCTTTATGCCAGTATGTGCGTAAGACTTGTAAAACAAATTTTACCAAAGGATTTTTGACCTGATCGTTTCAGATATTGCCAATGTTTCAATTGCATGACCGACCTCGGACAATAACTCATTGCATACGTCACGTACTTAACAATGTGACGTATTAACTCACGTGTGCATTATCAACAAATCATTGAATCCCATTTTTTGATACCATTTCAGCAGCTAACTTTGTCTTGTGAGAAAGCCTCGTCTTTAATCATCAAATAAATGAACGTGTTTGAATGTGCGCCAAATGGATTAACTTTTTTTTGGAATATGACAGAGAGTTTTAACGAAGTTGCAAAGTGACCAAGGTTAATACCGAGAGGAAATAGTGGCGGTCTGGGACAGAGGAAGTCGTTTGCGGTCAATGACATAATGACTTATGTAAGAGGTTAAGTGTGAATAAGCAAGTCTTTTCCAGGGTATTCATAAGAAGATTGTCAACTTTTTTGAAATATATCAGTCAACAAAAGCAGAGTGCAATCACCGACATGACGCAATTGCTCTTCTGTTTTTCTCTTTTTTGACAGCAATTTAAAAGCACTCTGTTCTAGATCAACAATGAAGCGTACTCATAGTAAAATCTCTTTATGTGAAACGAGAAATGGATTTTAAAAGGGCTTTTGTGAAGTGTCTGTAAGTGGGATGTCGGGGATGTTGTTGTAAATGTTGGAACAGCTAGTGCATGTTTTTATATAAAGGCAATTCATAATCTGCAAAGAAGATGAACAGTAACTTCTCTCTCCGACCTATTGTTGACATTCTTTGCTACCTATATGATTCATTCAGATTGTAAACCGAAGAACGAAAGTATTGGGTTGTTATCGGTTATACCAATTATTTGTCTCATGCACCTTAAATAAACTTGTCTACCATTTTTTTAAAGACAGTTGACAACAAGATTAACGCATTCTTATAAATCATTCGACTCTTTCCTTTTTTTATGCTCTTTACTATAAGCGTGCAAGATTATTTTCTTCGCCACGACGCCACATACCAAGAATTGTCAACACAAACAGTCTTTTCTAGAAGATACAAGTTTCACTTGTTAGAAACATCCAGAAACGTCGAGATTGAAGTTATATTTTGTCAAGACGATGCTCAACACTTACCGAAAATCCTGCTGCTATTGAAATCTCTTCTTCTTTCACTTGTACTTACTTTCGATGTAAAACACAGCATGAATGTAAATTATCCCAAAATTTCCTGTTCTATACTTATGTTTTACGCCTAATGATGTGGATTATAACATTTTACATCAATGACACATATTGTTAGGTTAATGTACCTTGGCGTAACTTAAAATGGCGCAATCACACATTTCAGAAAATTTTAAATTCAGGGCCTCTAGATTGTCGAAAACAGCCTTTTCAGACCCTCGTTCATTCATCTAACAAATTTTCCTGAAAAAGCTGTTTTCTCTCATGTGTCAAGGCTTATACATTCATATCGAACCTTTTACGAGTGAGTGTAAATGATAATTTCCTTTCACCTTCTAAACTGGCTATACCGGTGACAAGCCTATACTACACCTCTTCCGACTCTGCTTTTGTAAATATCACACTATTTAATTTTTATTGCTTACTTCCGTTTACTTAATTCGTGCGTTGTAAATATATATGTGTATGTTTGGTTTTAAATATCATTCTGTCTGAGGATGACTTTGAAATAAAGTTGAAAATTTACAGTTCACTTCTCGTCTTGTTTTGATGCATATTTTGCAATCTCAAGATGTCTTGCTTTTCCGGAATTTGCTTTATACTATATTTCTTTAAATTGTCGGCTGGTCATGGTTAAAGGCATTTTATGATAACGGCATATTGTTGTTGACTCTTGTTGTCACAAAATTCATAAATATACAGTTTAGTTGCTAGTTTCAACTGTCGCAGAGTTTGAAGAACCATTAGAGGAACTATACTACTTTTGAAACTAACTGGGGGAAAAGTGGTTTTCGATTCCTAACTTCACTTTAGACGAATTAAGAAATGCCCTAATTGTATTTGCGTTTCAGTGTTTGTGTCGATCCTTTGGAATTATTTTAAGATATTTTAATGCCATTCCGACAATCCATTCAGCCCAACGAGACAGTCTATTTGTCAATCATCGGGTAAATTATTATCGTACTTCTATGTATGTCACATTGGTGAAACTTTTTTCTTCAATATGACGGAGGATTTTGATCTGATCATTATAGCTAGATGTTGCCATTATTACAGTTATATGACAATAGTATATAGGAAACGTTGACATAATACGTGTAACGATATGACGTAATAATTCGTGTATTAATTAACCAATTATTGTATCGAATTCAAACTGCTTCATTTTACTAACCAGAGCTTGAAATGCATGGTATTTTCCACGAGAAAGCCTTTTAAGCCCGCTTGATACAATATATTTGAATTTTGACATTTCTACCTTTGAAATTCGAAACGCTAATTATTTGAAAAAAAACAGTTTATAATTCTTTATCTATTTGTGATCAGCAAGGCCTTAAGCCTAGTTCCATATAGAACTACAGTTCGCGTGACTACTAAGACCTACGAGCCTCGTCCTTTCGGCGTCATTACCCATAAGGCTTATTAATGAAAGACCATATGTCGCTCATTAAAACAACACCCGCCATCCACACAGCAGCATATAAGTGTTTTTTAAACTGTTTGCTCATGCAAAAATTAGCAGACTATTATTATCGAAACGAAGTTACTCGAGAAGATTGTCACACTTAATGGCAAAAATAATAATACTCAGACACATACTCATGTATAAGAATATTTAACTATGCACATGAAATAATTAAATATCCAGAATAATAATAGCAAAAATAATAATACTCAGATACATACTCATGTATAAGAATATTTAACTATGCACATGAAATAATTATATATCCAGAATAATAATAGCAAAAATAATAATACTCAGATACATACTTATTTATAAGAATATTTAACTATGCACATGAAATAATTATACATCCAGAATAGTGGATCGGAAATGCGAATTGTCCCTTTGTTCATTTCTCGTTCAATTTTCATTATCATTGGTGTGAGAAAATGGCTATTCACTGGATGGGTCTTAAAGTGCTTATGCAGTGAAATTTTTATAAATTGTTTTATTTGCTTATTCAAAAGTACTTGCTCTCAGCATTATTTTTATGGAAGCAGAGTAAATTTTGTCTTTTCAGAATTTATAGACGTCAAAAGTGACGGTTTTTCGTTCTTTTTGTGCGAACTTTTTTGGCTGCCATGTTTGCTAATTTGACGTCATAAGTAGTACACATTTTCAACATGGCAATAAAAATTACTATTAGTTTGGCGACTTCCGTACAACTTATGACGTCAAATGAGCAAACATGGCGTCAAAAAATTCACACAAGAGAACATTGAAATTAGTCAACTTCCACTCAATGTAAAATGGACATAAATATATTAAATTGCTTGAAAACATCTGATAATTTCATTAAGGCTATAAAAAAGAATATAAAAATTTCACTGCATAGAAACTTTAACAACTAAACGAATACAAGGGACTAAGAGCCTGCGAAATTTGTATTGATATAACTGACGAATGAATGACAAATTATTATGTAACAAGCCTATGCTATAGTTGATACATTCAAATAAAGAATATTTTTGTGGAAGAAATTTTTACTATATAAATCACATTATACAATATTATCATGAAGTAAAAATTTATTGCATAAGGAGTTCATAACTTTGTTTTTTAAATATCCTTTAAGTCCTATATCAGTTAAATAGATCATAAATTTTTCAGCTTCAAAATTATCAGACACATCGACATGAATAGTGAAATTTCCAACAATTCTGAATTTTCAACTAATCTTTCTGGGATTAACCAAATGATAAAATGTACTAAAATCAACAACGCCATTTGGAGACCAAAAAAGCATAGAAAAGAAATATATATGTTATTTGACGGCTGGGATGTCCGTATTGGAAAAATATTTTCACGAGGTCTCCATAGCTGCCAGAGGTTAAAGATAAAGAAAGGACTTTTAGTGCAAACTCTACTTTTAGTCTTATAAATCTCTGTATTTCAATCATTAACGTTTGATAATTGATTTTATAAAAACGTCGACCTTGATAACTACCATATAAAATGGCAGTTTAGTGACATAAACAACACTGAACGTTGTCGTATGATTTCTTACAAATGACTTATTTAAATACTGTATGAAGTTTATTGTTAATATTGTTGAAACAGATACAACATTTGTTTATTATGAAAATACCTTGCACTCACATGAAAGTCTCAGATAAATGAAGGAATTATTTACATTTCTTTTATACGTGATATGTACTTAGAGTATCTTCGTGCCATTTTTATATTAAAAATTTTCAAATTGTTATGAACTAATGCAAGGATTGTTTGCTCTAAAGGAGTTAAGTCTTTGGTTTTTGTCGTTTTAGTTGACATTTTCCATTTATGCACCACTAGAATTTAAAAAATACAAATAAATTCAGAACATTCACTTATTTCATTTAATATAAAAATTTTACTTCTCATATTTACTTCAGTTTAATGTCTTCATGAGGAATGATCTGATGTTGAAACTTAAGTCCTGATATACTCCACTCTAGTGTCTTCATCAGGAATGATCTGATGTTAAGTCTTAACATATATCGGCTCTTTGTTAATTGTCTCTAACTACGTTAATAGCATCATGCTCAAACGTTTCGACTACTTACCTTATTAACACCACAGGACGTTCCATCCAAAGCTGGCGAACCGGTATTTTCTCTGAATATTCCTCCTTGCTGATAGCATGTTAAAATTGCACAGCAATCTTTTATCTATAATTGAGAGATAGCAGTGTTTTTTTAAGCTGTTCACTGGTGCAACTGTTTCTCAAAGTATTTCATTCAGAACATCTTAATGCTTCAGTCTCACCCCCACTCCCCCTCTTCTCCTCCTCCTTTCTCCCTTTCCGCCACTGCCTTCACCTCTAACCTGCCTCCACCCTACCGCTAGCCTTCATTCCTGCCTTGAATCAAACTTATGTTGAGTTTACTTACATCTTCATCAGGCTGACAAGCCGTATAGTTACGATTGTATTCCAAATCACATTGGTCCTCGTAGGAGAAAATCTCGCCTGGATATGTGAAATTCTTTGTAACTGTGCCACGTCCCGTATTTCTTAACTTTTTCTCCTCTTTAAGGCAGCTATATTGTCTGTAATTTAGTTAACGGTTTAGTTGAACTCTAGCTTTAAAATCTTTCTAAGCTTCTTGTGGTCGTATTCCTTTTTCTACACAACTAATGGGAAACTTCCAAATGTTTTAACTCTTAAATTTTAATTAAAGAATTTTCATAAAATAAAACAATGTCGGAAACTAGATAAGATTCTATGCTTTTCAACAACATAGCATTCGTCCTATTTGGGTGATTTGTTAAGATCGTCGTTTCCCTTTGAAACTTTGCTAATTTCACTGCTAATAAAGTGAAAATATCATTTTCTGAAATGGCAAAGTGAGCGAAAACGACCTCAAAAATTAGATGATTACAGCAATAATTTAAAATGGCGGTCACATATTGGACCATAATTATTCGCTTATTGAAAGAAACGCTTTGAAATTTATAAGCATACCTTGCACGTTGAATAAGAGTATTTCTGCTTATGACAGACCAATGATGATCACTGATTGTGGCATCAACAAATTTTGACATGATTTTCCTTGAATGTTGAACAAACGGTTCATTGTGATTCACTCCGAATCTGTGAAATAAAGAGTAAAAAAATATTTAAAATAATTTGAGCACCTAAACATAGATTTTTTTACAATTATGTCAATGTAACAGCGATTTCTAACATCGACATTTTTTAACGCTAATAATAAATATACTCGAAGAACACAATTTCAATTTTTATCACAATTTCAATTAAAATTTTGCTCATTAATTTTAAATCAATCAATGAAACACGAGTGACTTCGTTGCTGTATTCAGCAAAGACGTTTGTCTTGTCACTTGGTTGCAAATTATTGATTCTGTATTTCCCTCGCTTTTGAAGAATGTTTTAAAATTTTCTCCGAAGAAAAATTGTTCGTGCAAAATGGCTGCTTTAATGTTAGGGATATTTAGTGGCGCAAGGGTCAAACTCAATGCCTTCCCCAGGGGAGTTCGATCATTGGTCAAGTAAAAACTTGATCTGCGATTGGGGGCAGCTTAATATGAGATGAGTTAATCGACTCTCAACTAAAGGCTGAAACACACTAGGCAGTCGCTTTAGTCGCGCGTCTAAAACTACCGCTTTGCGTGGTTACTAAGCTAGTAGCGTAGTCGCGTCAGCTAGTCGCTTTACCCTGATTGGCCAATAGATACATTTTAACTTCCTAAATGCATATCATATTTCCTGTCATAGGCATCATACGAAATTTATAGATTATACCTTGGAAAACGAAGGCAATATATGGTGAATTATGGGAATCTTTCAGTTTTTATATGACTTATCAAATAGGGACAATAGGAGCTACAAACTGGAACCCTAATGCACAACCTAAGTGCAAAGAATAAGATTATCCATAATATACGCGTAATGGACTATGATCATATTGGCGTGTTTTAACTGGCTTGTTCTCTTTTCTCCACATAGTAGTTTGTACTGAGTAAATATTCATATATTAGTAGCTATAATAAAGGCCAATAAAGGCCAAAATAAAAAGTTTAAGTGATATCTGTGTCTGTAACAAACTAAAATCACCGCCATGTGCAATAGACGCCACGGTAAAAGTCGCGATGGTCGCTGCATGTGCGTTTCTAGCGTTCAAGCGACTGACGCGTGCGCATCAATTCGCTTTGGACGCGCGACTGAAGCGACTTGCAGGTTTTCTCCGTTTGCTTCGGTTTCCTCCCGCAGTGAAAAGTTGTGAAAGTGGAGATGAATATATAAATATAGCTGACCTCAAGGAGAACAGCTTTATTAGTTGATGTGGTTAAACGGGGTAAACAAATTTTGAAAAAAAACGTTTCTAAAAAGGAGGATTTATAATCGTCTGCACGTCAGATCCATACACCAATTCAATCAAAGAGTTGCTGTTTGTAAACGAGTTAATAATGAACTGACTGACTATTGTTCTTTTTACTTTAATTAACTGATTGAAAAGTAGGAATGACCCATGTCGTGGCCTATACAAATGTCGCTTTAAAGTAAAAACTTACGCATGCGCTATTTCGTGAGCAACGGTTGATGAAGATATAAATCCACGATCCTTAACCATGGAACAACTGAAAGAACGATCGCACATACCTCCCAATCGTGCAAAACCTTGGAAAATAAAAGATTTGATGTTTTTATTTCACAAATTCCTAAAATCAAGGAGGAAAGTTGTTTTTGCTATATTGTGAAGATGCAAGCTTCCTAATCTTACCTCCCGATCCGAATTCTTTTCTGTAAAAAAATGAAGGATTTTAAATTAGTTTTTTTGTTTGTTCTTTCAATAAGAATTAGATACAATTGATCTTTGTTTTAGATGACCATTTCTTTTTGTACCTTGTTAAGAACAATTTATGATCGAATCTTCGTTTTTCCTTTTTCTCAATTTTATTCATGATTGGGCAGACCACGTTAAGATTGTCACTTCTCGATGCGTCGAACGATATTTCTTCCTAAAGGAGGATTTTTTAAATTGAGTTGAAAATCTCAGACATTGTCATGATATTACACTTTCCTAATCAATACATTGCTTTGAACTGACTTTAAAAAAGCTGTTTTGTCAAACTTACCTTTAAATGACGATCTGCTTATAACTAATTTAATCCTCAGATGATGTCGAGTTAGACTTTCGTGAAGGAAAACTTTTGCAGACTGTAAAACCACAAAACATGGGAGTTAATTACAGTTTATATTAGTTTAAAGCTTAAAAATTTTTGTCAGTGTGTTTGTACTTACGAAGTTCATCATAGTTTCAACGTAAGTTCGCGTTTTAAAATCACTGTCAAACAGATTACGAACTGATTTATCCACCACCACCAACGTTTCAACTGAGAAGTCTAAGTCATGTATCTTTTCTGTAAAAAAATTAGAATTGTGTCCAGTCTCCCAGCAGCGCACAATGTAACTCTGACGCACGATATTGTAGACTCGTCAAAGAAAAAATCATATCGATTCATTCATTCATTCAACACTTTATGCAATTTTATTTATCTTAGCACTAAATTCACAACTACTAACAAAAAAAAGTCAAAAAATACGTACGTTTTGTTGTGATGATGCAAAGTTTTCTGGCCTTCAGCTTATGGAGCCCTATTCTAATTTTTTTCCTGCTATTAATGTACAAACGTTTCTTCATTATGTCTGTGGCCATCCATCTTTCATTGAAGAACGCATTTACGTCCATGAACTGGTCCTTCCGAAGTGCCAGAAAGAACCTCCATTTTTTGTTCTTGCTGGTCTTATCTCGATAGTACAACTGAAATTGTATGACATAAATCAATATAGATTCATTCAACACGCTTGAAATTTGTTAAATGTTAGACCTGCTTTAGTTTTGGATGAAATAGCCTTTCAAAGGAGCAAAATGATACTAATCACAATGCCAAATGGGTAACATAAATTTTTTACTTTCATTTAATCGCGTCAATTTAATCGATTAAATTGGGGAATATTAAAATGTGTCACCTACATAAACACCGCCACCGCTGCGGTTATCGAACGCTATATAACTCTCTGTTTTGCTTTTCGATCGACGTTTTCTTGAGCTAGCAATACCTGTACGATATAAGTGTACGATCCAAATTACGGTCTTTTTTAAGCAGTTTGAAAACACGATTTTACGACATCAACTACACGTCAAACTATGAAGAAAGATTTCAATACAAATGCAAAAATCTTTGCATTGTGAGCGTAAATAACCCATAACAAAACAAAGATACTGCAAAATGCTGTTGGGTATTAGCCAACAGGTAGAATGAACGAGAAATATTTTAGTTAACATCAGAAAACAAAGTATCGTCTTTCTTGCTAATTATAAAAATTAAAAAATGGCTTGAAACAATAGAAGATACCGCGGTTTTTCAACACCTGTCCAGCTAATCATATGTCCTGTTATATAGCAATTCCTTGTTTCATTAAACATGTAGAGATCGTACTATTGCCATTTATCTGACATGATCTCTGACATACCTTTGAGAAACTGTGAACGCCATGGACTCTTTATTTCCTTCTGAAAATAAAGCATTCGAAAGTTGAGTACTAGAAAACTACACTATATACGTGAGATATTTTTATCGACGTATTTAATTACCTCCCCTCGTCATGGTTTATATGATATTTTCTGGAAAGCAGTGTGTCTTTAAATAATAACTTGACTGTCTGTTCAATATACACTAGTGAACGCATGCGCGTTGTTTAAAACGTTCTCATTCACCATCGCATATTAATACTTCAGTAAAGCTGGATATTAATCATTTCTAATAGACAAGTTTATGCGCTCATTATCCGAAGCAAAGAAATTGCGGTATGCTGATCTATACGCAATAAAGTATATCAACCTTTTCAAGATGTTCCGTAATACTGCGTCCGTTTGTCCAACAAGATATTGCGCATATGAAAAGCGCCATAACCATGATGCAATTCATCTTTCTTTCCTACTTTTATTTCGATGCTGTTTAATAATGACTTCTTTGTTTCTTGACCTCAATTGCTTGTGAATACAATTCTACCGTTGATTGAGATCGTTTATGTAGCGACCTCGCTGTTGCTGTCGTCATCGAAATCGTTATCTACGTGTAGCAACAACGTAGAAACAAATTAAAAAAATGTGCCATTTGTCTGACTCAATGAGCTAAGAATGGTAATCCGTCAACGAATAATTTGATTGTAATTGATAAACCAGTCTAAAATACGTGCTTTAAAATGTTTCAAATTTTTTCCTTCTGAGAAATTCGCTCAATTTCATAAACTTGTTTGAACCATCTGTATATTTATTGTGCAACTGACTTTTGTACAACTTTGCTTTTGTTATGTGCAAGTCTTGAAGTACATGATTAACTACAATCATGGTATCAAAGTTTATATCTGAGCAAAACCACGCTGAATTGAAAAATATTGTCAAGTCATGTAGATTCCTAGAATCATGCATCTGGTCATAGACGAGTATCGTATTGATGGAAACATAATGAATCTGTATGACTATGAGCTACTAACATAACATACATCGTTGAGAACTTCGGAAAACCTGTGATTCTTGCATGGACAAACTTTTACAAAGCTAAGGCGAGCAATCTTGTTTTAAGGTGCCAGACACACTTTTGCAAATAAGGATTGACAGGCTATTATTAGTGTGTATGAAATCAGTTTAGTGATTGATTTAATATACCTCCTTCATCTGTGAGTTTTCCAAAATCACGTTAGCTAAAGACAAAAAAAAACATCAAAAAACCATAAGATATCGACTCGTTTGCGTTGATTCTCACCGTGGCGAAATACGTTTGTGTAAACTGTTTCATATGTGGCTTAGTTGCCACTTTCAACTGTCATAGATCAGAGTTTAAAGAACCGCTGGATGAGGTATTCTAGTTTTGAAACTCAATTGGGGAAAAATGGCTCTCAATTCTTAACTTCTCTTAACTTCCCTAAACTTCTCTTAGCATCTCTCAAAAATCTCCGTATTGCAGTGGCGTTTCAATGTTTGTAGCAATCATTTGGAATTATTTTAAGATATTTTGGTACCATTAAAACCGTTTCAACAATCGAGACAGTTTGTTTGTCAATCGTCAACCAAATTATCTTCGTACGTGTCGGTGTGTGCGTCAGACTGATGAACCATTTTCCTGAACGTGAAAGACGATTTCAGAGCTGGTTATTACAGATGTTGACAATATTTCAGTTACAAAGCAGAAGTCATAAAATAACAAGACATTCGTAGAAATATGACATAACAGAGCAAATATCATGATGAATGGTAAAGATAATATTGTAATAGTATCTTTAAAAAACTGTTCAAAATCAGAACACTAACCCAAAAATCTATGAGGACTTTTTTTAAAGCTAAAAGACTCTGCATTTCGGCAGTTCTCTTTTAAAAACAGTTCTCTTAGAATTGTTGTGTTAGTGATCTGGTTTTAAACAATTCTTTTAAGAACCATTACGATATTATTTTATCATTCACCATGGTATTTGACCGTTTTAAAACAATTTTTATATTTGTCAACACAACAAAGTCTCTATTTTACTACGACATAATAACTCACGTGTTTTTAATTATAGCCAATCATCATATCGCATTTCTGGTACCATCCCTACAGTCAATTAAGTCCCGTGAAACAGCCTCGTCTTCAATCATCAGTTAATTTATGAACGTGTTTGAATGTGCGTCAAACGTTTGAACGTTTTTTTGAATATGACAGAAAATTTTGGCGTTAAGTTGCAAAGTAACCAAGGTTAAATATGGGGAGGAATTAGTTGCGGTTTTCGACAGAGGAAATTCGTTACAGCAAGTAGAATAAAAACATACATAATTAGTTCAAAAAGCGGGTCATTACCTCACTTATTCCTAAGAAGATTGTTAACTTTTTTGAAATTTAACAGTCATTTGACGTACTACCCATCTTTGTTTTAATCATCCAATCATTGTATTGTGTACATCTGCTATTTTACTATCGCATGACCGTTTGTTGAAAATTTTTTGTGGAAAATGAAGCTCTGAAACCTTCAACATCTTTTTCAAATGCCCGTGATGAAATATGTTTGTGATTGTAACGGTTCAAAACTTTAAGTTCAAAACGGTTTTATTAATCTTCTTATATTTGATAAAAGCTTTTAAACAATGTTTTATGCTTCATTTATTTGTTATTTGACGGGGGGTCTCGATTTTTATTCAACAAAATGCATTAATTTTAGTTTGTTCTACTATAATCAAGGATTCTGAACACACTGAACATTTCAACTTTTGTCTATTGATTGATTTTCTATCATAGACAGAGTTTTGTATTGCTTCGTAATTTGATAGGTGACTTTATGAAAATGTTGATCTTCGCAATTGAAATGACATTTCGGTAAATGTGGCTTAATAAGTGTTTAATAAGCCTAGTTCCCATATAGTTATAGCTGTTGTAATTCTATCGGCGATGAAGGTTTACAACAATTACAACGAACATTATCGGAGATAATTAAATGGCAAGCGTCACTTCCGGCAAAATGGTGCGCTTTGATTGGCTCAGAAACATTTTTGCCCGTCCATTATTTTCGCGTAATCGACCACGGTCCAAAACGCATAATTTTACAATCAAACGTAAACAAACTTCGTAAAACAAACAGCAAAACGCAAGAAAAAAACGAAACAAATAATCATTTGGGAATGTGAGTCGAAGGAAAAACACTCTAAAACAGTTTAACTATCCAGACGATACAATTTGAAACGATTTCTTTTTTACTGACAAAAACTAGAAAAGTGAAAGGCAACCCGTACAAAACAGAAAAGACGAGAAAGAAAGCAAGCTTCGTTTCAGGTCAAATAATGCCATATAATAATCCTTTTAATAAGCTCGCTTTCTCGGTCTTTACTCTGTCTTTTTGCACAACACCTCGCCCTACGTGCTCGGTCTGTACAAAAAAACTTCGGTCCGATATTTCTCAGTAAAGACCTTGATCTTGGTTATTATACCAACGTGTGTTTAGTGTCATCTGTGTAGAACATTATTGATGAATGCTTGAGACAATGAATTCGAAAGGACCTTATTTAATATTTTTTGAATTAGATTTGGAGATCTATCACCTAACCCGAAATGGATTTCTCATATGAGCAAAATCTTTATTACACATTTCTTGCGTACGTATTTACATAAAGTATCAAATAAGTTGTCCATTGACAATTTTATTTATCACAAGTTTTCCCTTTTCATTTGACATATCTTCCATTCGTGTATAACTGAAATTGGAGAATACATAAAGTCAGTACATTACCTTAAGTCTACATGTGAACTTGAGCCAAAAATCTCTCACAAGTCTAGTGTTTACATCAGTAATAATCTGTTCTTAAAGTGCATAAAAACCTTATAGGATTTTAGTATAGTTTGAAAGAGCTGTTATCGAAAACTACAAATTTAAAAAAACAAATGAATTGAGATCAAAGCTTTCTTTGCAATTATGGTTTAAAAGTCCAGATCTTTACTTTACTACATTTATTTCCCAATGGGGTCTGGTATCCAGTACATGTTGTGACTTCATGTAAGGAATACAGTCGCATTATTCAAAACGAGTTACTTGGTTTTTAAAATAATGAATATTTTTGGCGATATTTCGAGTTTTACGTCGTTTTTTTTGAAAATGTCTTCATCTGGGTCGGAAACATCTTCAGATTCATCAGAAAATGCAAATTATGATATAGAGTTGGAGGGCAGTGTTTTAGTGGTGTCTGTCCTTACAACTTGGTATATCGCCTTGCGAATACATGGGCATTTGGCATGATTTGACAGTGGTAAAGAAAATAGCGTTTTAAATTACTATAATGTTCAGGAAGCGATTGCTTGCATGACGTCACCCAATCGTGTAGGCCCAGTCCTTTAGCGGTAAGACCGATCGATTAAAATGGTATATTTTTGCAACTTTGATAGACTGTACAGAGCTAAATATTCGTCCGACTACATCAAAATTTTGGAATATGGCTTTTGACACAACGTACATTGGATAATGTTAACAACCACGTAAGATTTATGTGCACTTTAAAATTTGCGTCCATATATATACTCCAGTCTAGTGTCTTCATTAGGAGGGATTTCATGTTAAAACTTGAGTAATTATATACTCCATTCTAGTGTCTTTACCAGGAGTGATCTGATGAGGAAACTTGAGTCCTTATATACTCCAGTCTAGTGCCTTCATCAGGAATGATCTGATGTTGAAACTTGAGTTTTATATACTCCAGTCTAATGTCTTCATCAAGAGTGATCTGATGTTAACAATTTTATACATCCTCTTTTTAAATGTCTGTAGCATTCAGAGACGGCGGAGCAACATATAAAGTGTGGGGGCTAAGTCTTCAATTCTACTATTGTGTCTTAAAAAACACTTCTTAACAACAACTTCAGCTAGGTCTAAATATCTTTTTTGCTTTGCTATTACATAAAGTGGGGAGGGAGGGGGCTTCAGCCCTCACAGCTCCCTCCTCTGGTTCCGGCGTGCATGAGTCATTTGACAACATCTCACGCATATTTTCCATTTTACCTTGATGTCACTAGATATTTAATCCATCGTTGTTATAGTGCCATCCATTTGACGTTTTCGTCTTATCAATGCAACTGTAACGTCTACAATTAAGTCAACGTATGAATCAAACTTTAAGATCTCTTTATAATGCTGAATAAATTTACTGTCAAGTTTTGGAAATGTTAGACCATACTTTGCAAGTCGTATCAGGGAGTTTCTACTTTGAATTGACCAATGAGGATCACTGATTCTGTTGTTAAGTTCCGGGGACATGATTTCCTGTGAGTTTTCAAAATATTTATCGTGATTAACTCCGAATCTGCAAAATAAAATGTAAAAAAAATAAATGCTTAAAGTGAAAACCTGACCTCCCAGCGTCCAGCGCCCAACGTCGCCTGCTTTTCAGTTATACTGAAGTGTTGAAATCGGACGATTGTAAAGTGGAATGGAAACATCGACACTTTTCATCCCTAAAATCCTCCGATATCCCAGATAGTGAAATATATGTTGAAAATGTTGAAATCGGTACGATTGTAAAGTGGAATACGTTGTGTGGGGACTTTGTAAGTCGACAAATATCTGTATGTTGAGAGTACGTGAAAAGCCCCGGGAAGTCTTTACTGCATGTGTCTGACAATTGCAATTCATTTTCAAACTTTTTATTCTTGCCTTGCAAAATTGCTTTCCATTGCCTTGTAGAACGAGTGCTGGAGCATATTGCCGCCATGCACTAAAGCAGATCCAGGAATGGCATGAAGATAAATCATAGCCATAAGTTTCAAATTCGAAATACCTCTACCACATTCATGTACGTTATGAATTTCCGAAGAATAAAATTCAACCAATCAATTGGTTGTGAATGTAATAATTTATTTTGATTTTTGTTGCATCCTGCGTTGATTGCTGCTATCTTAACTGCGCATGGCAACCAATCAGACTATGGGAATGAGACTTAAGACCGATTTCCATTCAGTGCATATTGTCACGCGATCGACTCTTTCCGATCACTTTCTTTTCAATTGTAAGCTCTCGACCGTAAGCATACGATTCAAAAAAGTGAGCGCAAAAAGTCGATCGCGCGACAATTTGCACTGAATGGAAATTAGGCTTTAAACTTACGTATGTGCTATTTCGTGAGCAATTATCACTGAGGAATAATCATCACGAGCCATTGAACAACTTTGGTTTCGATCACACATCCCATTTCCTCGTCCCAATCCTTCAAAAATAAAAGATTTCCTTAGAACGTTAGAAGCGACTTGAAGCTTATGAAAAATACCTATTCGCCCGTATACGGGAGTTTCTTTTCAAAACAAAGACCAGCCAAGCTTACCTCCCGATCCAAATTCATTTCTGTAAAAGATCAAAGCATACGGATTTGTGTAATTTATCGTTTCAAATTACAATGAAACAAAACAGGTCTTGGAGCTAGTAGTTAACTGTTGATCAGTATTTATTTCTGCACCTTGTTAAAAATAATTTATGATCAAATGTTCGTTCTTCCCTTTTCTCGATGCGATTCATGATTGAGCAGGCAAAATCGAGTATGCCTTCTTTCGAAGGATCGAACTTTATTTCTCTCTATAAATAGCGGATTTGTCGAATTGAGTCATGACCTGTTGCCTCGCTGTATTTCATTTTGAAAGTCCACAAACTGGGTTCGACTTTTTACTTCATCAGACATACCTTTAGAAGGACAATCTTACTTAGAACCAAGTGAATCCTCAAATGATATCGAGTCAGGCTTTCGTGAAGGTAATGTTTTGCAGCCTATATAAACAAGCAAGAAATGTTAGCGCTTTGACCTTAATGGTCACTTTCTTATATAGTGATTAACAAAAATGATGCCAGGTTTGCTGGGGTACAGCCCAGTCGTCAAAAACTTTATCCAACCCCACTCGAAAAATGGAAAGGAAAAAATGAAATTTCCCGAAAGTTGTTGCTCGCTTGTAGTTTTATAGCCTCCGTATCAATTTGTTTATACGCATGTCAACAATGAAGAATGAAATCTTTTTAGTTTGTCATCAATAGTTTTAACAATAAGTAAACCATATGCTTTTTGAGATGTTGGTGATTAAATGTCCCGCAAGCCGAGGAGATTTAGTAGAAGATAGATTTAGGCACAGCCAGAGGTACTTCGACTAAACCTCTCAAAGTTTTAATGTTAAAACTCTCAAAGATTTTCACTACCTCGTGAACATTTTGATGAGTGACATTTTGAAGTAAACTTTTGAAGGGAAATATATCAGTAAATTGTGGCAAAGAAACTGGGACAACCATGTCATTACAAACATTAAATATTGCTGCTTCAAAGTGTGCGTGTTTCAGTGGCTGCATTGCATAGTGTCGATTTTTGACAACTGCACTCGACGCCACCTCGCATTTTACTCGACCCGCATTCCTGTGTTGATGAATTACTCCTGCCCTCTTTGGGTTTTTAAGTTGAAACTTACAGATTTCATCAAGGTTTTAACATGTTTCCGCATTTTGTTCACGCTGCCAAACTGATTTCGAATCGACTTGTCGACAACAACCAACGTGTTTATATATAAATGTATGTCGTGTATTTTTCCTGTAAAACAAAAGAATGGTGTCCAGTCCTTCTGCGCCGTTCATTATACACTGTTATTTCAGACTCATTTCAGACTCATCTATTCGCGGCATGGGAAAGGGAAATCTCATCAATTTAAATTACTCTAAGTAAATCTATTTCATCTTCGCACTCAACAACTTTGTTATGACAAAAATAAAAGAAAAAAAAATGAAAACGCACGTTTTCTGCTGATGATGTAAAGATTTCTGCTCAATGGCTTGTTGCTGTTAGGTTTAATTTTTCGCTTTCCGTTCATGTACAAACAAATGTTTCTGTCATCTGTTGCTTTCCATCTGTCGCTGACAAACGTATCGACATTCATGTACTTTCTTTCGGCAGTTCTTCAAAGAAGATCCATGTTTTGTTTTTGCTGGTCTTATCTCTATAGTACAACTAAAATAGTATGATATTTATCAATAGGAGACGGTCAATACTTTTTGTTAAATTTGCTGGCTGTTAAAACATCTTTTGTTTTTGATCTGTTACGATGCAATGCGTGCAGTATACTTTTTTACATTAAGATGCTCAAGTCGTTTTTGCATTCAGTCATTGCATAGCAGGAACTGTCTTGTTAAATCATGTTGAGGAGAAACTAAATGCATTGGATGAAGTCACACACCTTGACTTTATCACCGCTACGGTTATCGAAGGCAATATAACTCTTTATCGAGTTCTTTGATGGTCTTTGTCTTGAAAAGGCTTCACCTGTTCGAAATTAATGTCCGATTCGTATTTCCTACTGTTTGCAAGCTGAGCATTAAGAGAAGCGGATGACAAGGTTATTTATGATGATAAAGATGTATCTAAAACACACAGCAGTTAAAAGCAACGAGAACAGTGGGTGTTTTAAGATAATATTACAGGCAAATTACAGTCGGTTTTTTCCTAAAAACAATAGCTAGCTTTGATAGAAAAACCTCGAGAAATCAATGGACGATAGCCAGCTATATATTAATCTTTCACGCTTAACTTCGTTACAAATTAATAACGTATTTTGGAGAGGTCACTTGCCATTGTTGAAACAATTTTTTCTCGGTTAAAAAAGTATTAAATGGATATACAAATGAAAAGAGAAGTCTTGGAAAAATAATTTCACAAGATTCATCCACTTGTCGATTTGAAATATCACGATTTATCAACATCTTTCAGCTAAACATTTTTCTACTGAAGTTTAAGTAAAGACGCAATTTATTTATGTAAGATATCTACATAACGATATCTTACACATCAACACATATGAAAGTATAATGGATTTTTTTTTACATGCCTTTTGTAATGTACATACCTTCGAATATTTTCGAAGTAACTCCAACTAAAAATAAAAGACATGATATCTTCTGAATAGCAGTGTGTACTTTTAAATAACCTTTCCGTACGAGGTAAAGATAATTCTGACGGCATCTATAGACTGCGTTCTCAAACACAGTCTAGACGCGTAAAATTAATGATTAGACTAAGGTTGTTTAAAACACATTTTTATGTACTTTATACGGTGAGTTCTCTCTAAATTTGAAGCAACTCCTTTATGATGATGTTAGAGCTAAATATCACATCTATCATGAATCTTGTGAAAAAAACTGAAGTAGCTTCATCAGCATGTGTAATTCAGATGATCTGATGGCTCGATTCTCAGTGATTCAAAGCAAAAAAATAGGATGTAAACGAAAGATTGAAGTGCATGACATACCTCTTTCGAAACGTGCAATCGTTGATCTGCATAACAGCACATTGTGCAAAGGAAAAGCGTTATCAACATGCCGCAATTCATCTTTCTTTCTAGATACTTCGTCGATAGCAGATCTGTATTGTTGTCTCAGTTCTTTGAGCACAGTGTTTCCAGAAAATACGAATGGCCTGGGTTTGAGATCCTTTTAATATAGCGACTGGTCTGTCTATGTCATCATTGCATCACGTATCTGCAGCAAAAAATGGGAAGTAAGCATGACATGTTAATTATATGACTGCATTGGTGAAGACGGATTTCTTTTATGAAAAAAATTTCAATGTATTTAAACATAATTTAGACAGTTTTAATTACTTAATTATGTCTCAGCTTTTTCGGTGAACAATTCATTCAAGCGAAAATATCTATAGATTCAGTCGCTTGACGCAGACCGTTTAAAGTTAAAGATATAGCTCAATCTGTATTGAAATATTGGGCTGACTCTTGTTTTGTTGCTGTCTGTGTCTTGTTAATAGAAGCTAGCGACGACCGTCCTGCTGAGTAAAGGCTATTATTGTATAAAAGTCTCTTAGACAGCTCTCCCATGCTGTTGTCATCTAAAACTATGGCATGTTTATGTAAATATTGCAAATATCGATCTTTTAAGAACAAAACATGAAATTTAACCTGTGGGAAACTGTCTCTGTTTTGTTTTATAAACTGCACGTACATAGTATTTGTAAAACAAACATGATAAAATTGAGAATCAGAGATAAGTCAAAATTGGGGTTGATGCAGTCAATTGTTTTAGTCCGCTGTGAAATTATTTAGTGTTTACTTGCAGCAAAAAATGCTTTCAAAGAAAACAATAGTAAAAGTGTAACATGTTTGTAGATGTAGATCGTCCAGGTTGGTATAGTCCTGAGAAGGACTGTTTTGTTGTTGTTGACTGACGTTTCGACAACCTTAGCGGTAGTTATCTTCAGAGTCAAAAAGGCTTTTTTTACTTTTTTTTCTTTTTTTTTGAACGCTATACCTGGGTTCAAACCATTTACTTAGTAAAAATATAAGTGAGACGATTTTAATTAAAAAAGTTTTGTCAAAGATTTTGGTTCAACAAATTCAATCACAGTTAAGAAATGAAAGATGTTTACTGTGTTTGCACGGGCTTATACAAACCGAGGAGACCTTTAGGAGAACTCGAGAGCAGATCAGTGCAAGCTCGAAACCGAAGGTCGAGGGTTGCATCTGCTCGAGAGTTCTCACAAACGTCTTTGAGGTTTGCATAAGCCAGTGCAAATATGAAAAACATCATTTATTATTTTTATAAAATAAAATAATGCGAAAAAGACAAATATTTTAATTTTTCCTCGAAAAATGTATTCATGATTGATTTGCATATTCTCTTTGACTGATTTATTGTTTTGATTGATTTGATTGGTTGAGCTCAGATGCGCTTTTGACAGGCTAATGCAAAGTCAGCTCTAGACCAATCAGCGCACGCGTTTCATTGTGTTTATTTTATAAACTTGTATGAAACACCTTTTTTGAAAATGATTTTGGTGTTTCCTTTCGGTTCACATTCATTGTCCTTCTTTTGTGACGTTGGACACAAGCAAAAAACCTAAAGCAAGATATGGCCATTCATTTATGTAGTGTCATACCTTGAAAAGCGGGAGGCCATATGGTTTAGCTCATAGCTCTTTCTCTCTTTCTCTAAAACGTTGAAAGATCACAGGGGAACATAACTGGCTGTAAAAATTTAATTTGTACCTAACGGATAGAGTTGTGCCTAACTGTTATCGCAGCTGTTTGTCACGGTAATAGAAGCTGACCCTGGCGCACGTTTTATGTCCTGCTAAGTTTCAGAATTTATGAATTTATTGTTTTTACAAATTAAAATATGTACAGAAAAATTTTTTTCGCTGAATAACAGCAACCGTTTGAACTTCTTCCAGACATGTTTTTGTGCTGAGCTCCCCCCTGATTTTGTCAATCATCAGTTAAAGCAAGCACGCGTTGTCTCTGCATGAGGCGTACGATCAGTCTAACCTTAGCAAATTTTTATAATCATCACAGATGTTGCGGATTATCACGGGTTGAGTAAGACGAGGCCATAAATTAAACAATATTTACAGTGCCACGTACTTAACTATTTTTCTTCCAATTAGTTTCAGATGGCTTCCTTTAGTGTAGTTCCACATTTGTCTCACCATTGTAGTATCATTAACTTGCTGTTCATTCGCACTCATTTTTTCTAATTTTTCTGCTTGTCTTGTGATTGATCGAATCGAGATCATTTCTGATATTTTTCATGATAGAGAAGCTGCTTGATTTTTATTTCGAATCAGAGAAATTCTTGTTAAAATCAAATAACAAAAGCAACCATTATGTAATAAGAATAGAATATATTTTACTTCTTTCTAAAGGACTCATATTTACATTTATAAGATGGGCGACTCATTTTTGTTGTGTCGTATCTTGAAAAGCGGCAGACCTTGTTTAAAGTTTAAGGTTAAATAGCTTAGCTCATTGTCCTCTCTATCTGTCTCTAAAATATTGAAATATTGCAGGGGAACTAAACTGACTGTAAACCTTGTTTTGTTCATAACTGCTGGAGTTCTCTCCAACTGTTATCGCAGCTTTTTCTCGATGTTAATAGAAGCTAGCCCTGACGCACATTTTACGTCCTGCTGAGTAAATTGCTAAACATAATCATTATTCGTTTCTTTATAAATCTTGTGGAGTCTCTTCCAGACATGTTTTTGTGATGAGCTCTCCCATGCTGTTGCCAATCATCAGTTAAAACTTGTATGTGTTGGTTATGGCATGTTTATGTAAATATTAGCCTCTCCCATCCCAAATATCGATCTTTCCACGCCCATAAGCTAAAAACAACCAACATGAAATTTAACCTTGTGGGATGTGATTTTGTTGGTGTACTGTCTCTGTTTTGTAAGTAAGAGACAAATTAAAAATGCTGTTTAAAAGATACGTACATATTGCTCTGCCGCTGGTATTTGTAAAAGCAAACATTACAAAATTGAGAATCAGAGATGTGTCGAAATTGGGGGTTGATGCAGTCAAGCGCCTTTTCAGCCAGCAGGTTTTAGTCCCGCTGTGAAATTATTTTATTGTTTACTCGCAGCAAAAAAATGCTTTCAAAAGAACCAATAGTAAAAATGTAACATGTTTGTAGATGTAGATCGTCCAGGTTGGTATAGTCCTGAGAAGGACTGTTTTTGTTGTTGTTGACTGACGTTTCGACAACCTTGGCGGTAGTCATCTTCAGAGTCAAAAAGGCTTTTTTTACTTTTTTTTCTTTTTTTTTTGAACGATATACCCGGGTTCAAACCATTTACTTAGTAAAAATGTAAGTGAGACGATTATAATTACTTAGTTTTGTCAAAGATTTTGGTTCAACAAATTCAATCACAGTTAAGAAATAAAAGATGTTTACTGTGTTTGCACGGGCTTATACAAACCGAGGAGACCTTTAGGAGAACTCGAGAGCAGATCAGTGCAAGCCCGAAACCGAAGGTCGAGGGTAGCACCTGCTCGAGAGTTCTCACAAACGTCTCTGAGGTTTGCATAAGCCAGTGCAAACATGAAAAACATCATTTATTATTTTTATAAAATAAAATAATGCGAAAAAGACAAATATTTTAATTTTTCCTCGAAAAATATATTCATGATCGATTTGCAAATTCTCTTTAACTGACTGATTGTTTTGATTGATTTGATTGGTTGAGCTCAGATGGGCTTTGCACAGGCTAATGCAAAGTCAGCTCTAGACCAATCAGCGTACGCGTTTCATTGTGTTTATTTTATAACCTGGTTTGAAACACCTTTTTTGAAAACGATTTTGGTGTTTCCTTTCGGTTCACATGCATTGTCCTTCTTTTGTGACGTTGGACACAAGCAAAAAAAAACCTAAAGCAAGATATGGCCATTCATTTTTGTAGTGTCATACCTTGAAAAGCGGGAGGCCATATGGTTTAGCTCATAGCTCTTTCTCTCTTTCTCTAAAATGTTGAAAGATCACAGGAAACATAACTGGCTGTTAATTTGTACCTAACGGATAGAGTTGTGCCTAACTGTTATCGCAGCTGTTTGTTGACGGTAATAGAAGCTGACCCCGGCGCACGTTTTATGTCCTGCTAAGTTTCAGCTTTTATGAATTCATTGTTTTTACAAATTAAAATATGTACAGAAAAAATTTTTTCCCCGAATAACAGCAACCGTTTGAACTTCTTCCAGACATGTTTTTGTGCTGAGCTCCCCCCTGATTTTGTCAATCATCAGTTAAAACATGCACGCGTTGTCTCTGCATGAGGCGTACGATCAGTCTAACCTTAGAAAATTTTTATAATCATCGCAGATGTTGCGGATTATCACGGGTTGGGTAAGACGAGGCCATAAAGAGAAGAATATTTACAGTGCCATGTACTTAACTAACTTTCTTCCAATTAGTTTCAGATGGCTTCCTTTAGTGTTGTTCCACATTTGTCTCACCATTGTAGTATCATTAACTTGCTGCTCATTCGCACTCATTCTTCCTAATTTTTCTGCTTGTCTTGTTATTGATCGAATCGAGATCATTTCTGATATTTTTCATGATAGAGAAGCTTCTTGATTTTTAGTTCGAATCAAGAAATTCTTGTTAAAATCAAATAACAAAAGCAACCATTATGTAATAAGAATAGAATATATTTTACTTCTTCTTTCTAAAGGACTCATATTTACATTTGTAAGGACACATTTCTGATTTACAACGACGCTTTGCGTGTAAAAACACACTTATTTTAATGCTTGTATTTGACATTACAAAATTGGGCAGAAAACGAAGCTGACAAAGTTATTATAATGGCCATGCCTTATCAATGACCTCTTCACTTGCCAAACTGTACAAACTAGCAGACATCAGTAATTATTCGATCTTTTAAAGGCTTTGTGTTTTTGGTAGTTTATAAAGACAAAATCCTTTAACATCGATCAAAGTTTTGACGAAAAAACTGACTTTAGTGTGAACACAGGATGTATATTTTAAAAACAACTGAAAACATCGACCTAGATTGATCGATTATTGGGGTGGTGGGTGGGCTGTTGATACATGCATGAAATGCCGTATTCAGTCTATCACAAAATGTTATTTTGCCCGAAATAATGGACAAACTAAAATTCAACAAATACGATATAAAATTGTTCAGCCATACAATTATCAAATTGAACGACACACCAAACAAGTCTCTACAAACAAAGACGTGAAAATTTAAAATATGACAGGCACATGTAACTGTATAGGCATGCAACAGCAACACTGTTGCGTCCTGAAATGTATTGGTCTGGGTCAAAGTCTGTATGGACTGGGACCGAAAATTTAGGCCAATAAAGACGGAGAAATTTTGTCCACGGTTTGACGCATGCGCAATGAGTTGAAAACAAGAACCCTCATTGAAATTTTAATGGCGGGTTTCAATGAAATGACCGACGAAAATTGTACCAACAAACGCGTATCTACAGAAGAGACACTAGCGAAAAGTCCCGAAGCTGAATTTGAATCATCCAGTGAAAATGTAAAGCAACCACCAGGAAAGAAAAAAAAGAGTTTGTTTGGAAAAACACTGACAAGATCAAAGCCTTTGCAGGCGCCTGCGCCATTTTCAACCGAGCTGTACTGTATGTTTGTGAAGGCGATAAAAAATGGTGGTGCTTCGTATCCATCCTCAAGGCAACTGATTAACCTCAAATTTTGGTCCGGGCCTGGTACGTCTCACAGAAAGCGCTTTCGACGAGTACTACCGAAGCTAAGACTTCAGCGAGTGGAAGGCTCTGTTGTGTTCAGTGCTAATCTCGAGGAAGATGTTCTTGTACTTGAAAAGTCGAGAAAAATCATTCTTCCGAACGAGCTGGTTGAGAGGGCTATACTTAGAGCTCATCACTATGGCAATAATACAGCTAACGAGCATTTGCCACAACGTACAACTAGTCTGCACCTTGGTGTTTTGAAGACTTTTCAAATTGTATGTATGATTCCAACATTTAACTATGAATTACCCAAGGGAGGGAGGAGTAGAGTGTACTGGGTTCTAGCAGGATTGACTAATTTGTGTGCAGATTTAATTCATTACATCATTAGAGTCACTATTTCACCCCCCCTCCTGCTAAGCTTAACCCTTTGCAAACACCCTTAATCCCCAATATTTATGAATTGTCAACAGACATCTGTCTTATGTTTTTCGGCAAACTAACATTTGGTTATGTAACCTATGGTTGGGTAAACTTACTAAATTGATTGATTGTTAATTACGGTTGAATGGTAATATATATTTTATAAACATGTTAGGTTCTTCATAACTGCATTTGTTTGATTTAGCTTGAGAAAACTTTCACGACTGTCAAGAGAGAGTATGGCATTGATTTAAGCACTGTGCAAGATGTGATTGCTTTGTGTCCAACATGTGAGGAATTTCATCTTGTTTCTAATTGTTCTAATTCTAATAATACTTCAACAAATGAAGTGGATGGACAGCATCAAGAAAATGGAAGTGCTGTTAATGAATCACCTACAGATACTGTGACATTTGATCGACAACTCCCTTCAATGGTTATTCATGTGCCAGATGCTAAATGTATCTGGTACGACCAGACAAGTAAGTTTGTGGTTATTTTGTCTATGGTCACATGTTTGAGTTTATGGTGGTGTAGTCTATGGTCATACATGTAAGTTTATGGTAGTGTAGTCTATGGTCATACATGTAAGTTTATGTTGGTGTAGTTTATGGTCATACATGTAAGTTTATGGTGGTGTAGTTTATGGTCATACATGTAAGTTTATGGTGGTGTAGTCTATGGTCATACATGTAAGTTTATGGTGGTGTAGTCTATGGTCATACATGTAAGTTTATGGTGGTGTAGTCTATGGTCATACATGTAAGTTTATGGTGGTGTAGTCTATGGTCATACATGTAAGTTTATGGTGGTGTAGTCTATGGTCATACATGTAAGTTTATGGTAGTGTAGTCTATGGTCATACATGTAAGTTTATGGTAGTGTAGTCTATGGTCATACATGTAAGTTTATGGTAGTGTAGTCTATGGTCATACATGTAAGTTTATGGTAGTGTAGTCTATGGTCATACATGTAAGTTTATGGTAGTGTAGTCCATGGTCATATATGTAAGTTTATGTTGGTGCAGTCTATGGTCATACGTGTAAGTTTATGGTGGTGAAGTCTATGGTCATACATGTAAGTTTATGGTAGTGGAGTCTATGGTCATACATGTAAGTTTATGGTAGTGTAGTCTATGGTCATACATGTAAGTTTATGGTAGTGTAGTCTATGGTCATACATGTAAGTTTATGGTAGTGTAGTCCATGGTCATATATGTAAGTTTATGTTGGTGCAGTCTATGGTCATACGTGTAAGTTTATGGTGGTGAAGTCTATGGTCATACATGTAAGTTTATGGTAGTGGAGTCTATGGTGATACATGTAAGTTTATGGTGGTGTAGTTTATGGTCATACATGTAAGTTTATGTTGGTGTAGTTTATGGTCATACATGTAAGTTTATGTTGGTGTAGTTTATGGTCATACATGTAAGTTTATGGTGGTGTAGTCTATGGTCATTCATGTAAGTTTATGGTGGTGTAGTTTAAGGTCATACATGTAAGTTTATGGTGGTGTAGTCTATGGTCATACATGTAATTTATGTTGGTGTAGTCTATGGTCATACATGTAAGTTTATGGTGGTGTAGTCTATGGTCATACATGTAAGTTTATGTTGGTGTAGTCTATGGTCATACATGTAAGTTTATGGTAGTGTAGTTTAAGGTCATACATGTAAGTTTATGTTGGTGTAGTTTAAGGTCATACATGTAAGTTTATGGTGGTGTAGTCTATGGTCATACATGTAAGTTTATGTTGGTGTAGTCTATGGTCATACATGTAAGTTTATGGTGGTGTAGTTTATGGTCATACATGTAAGTTTATGGTGGTGTAGTCTATGGTCATACATGTTAGTTTATGGTGGTGTAGTCTATGGTCATACATGTAAGTTTATGGTGGTGTAGTCTATGGTCATACATGTAAGTTTATGGTGGTGTAGTTTATGGTCATACATGTAAGTTTATGGTGGTGTAGTTTATGGTCATACATGTAAGTTAATGGTGGTGGACTCTATGGTCATTCATGTAAGTTTTTTAGCTAAAACATCATCAAAAGTTTTTGATTACTATGATGTATTTTACAGCCATAGCAAATGAAAGAGATCGTTTAAAGAAATTTCTTATGGTCATTTCTGAAATGAGAGGGGAGCTGGGCTTGGCTGCGCGTGGTAACTGCGATGCAAAGCATAGATTTGAAGCAAGTATGAAATTGTTTTTTTGCTTTTACACACATTTAAAAGTTCTTCCTGAACAAAAATGTTTCGCAACCAAGATTGAAAATGTTTCACAATTATCTTTTAAACATGTTTGAAAGACAGAATCGCAGCAATGTTGGTAAATATTTTCAATCTTTATGAGACGAAATTTCATCACGATATTGTTTGATTGCACTGCAGAGAACATACAAAATGACTTTATAGCGTCTAGGAGAAATGGCTTATTTTCGTTTTTCTAGAGTTATTCGACTTTATTTATTTTACAAATATAATCGTTATGACATCACAGAGCATAATAACATTTCAAAGATCGTCACTTTTTTATGTTGTTAGAATGTTTTACAAACAAGTACATCGATTTCATGATTGCGTTTGTAGATGAAGATTTGTAAAGATGCCAAAGTAACTGTTGACAAAAACTACAATTTTCCGTTACTTTGATGCCATAACAATGTCATTTAAACATTGAAGAAAAGTTACATATCGCCAAAAAGAAATAAAATATTTGCATTAAAAAAGTTATAAAGTCATTTTTAAATTGCCTTTAAAATGCGACCAGAAAATACTATAATACCGTTTGGTGTATTATAAACACTTTGAAAAAAACTATGAAATATAACAACATTAAAATTATATGCCAAGATTCAAGCGGTTTGAAGAAATAATTCTGTAGTCACATTAGTTTTCTGTTCGGTTTTCCAATAGAACTCTATTGTGCTCAAATGTTGATCAAAGAACACTCAAAGGAGATACAGAAGGCTTTAAAGAAGGATTGTTCGCCAAAGGTATTTAGGCTTGGTCTGGACGAGCTGAGATTAGAGTACGAGCGAAGTCGTCGATTGTCAATATTTCGCAGCCATATTATCGAACTTTTGAAGTATGTTCGCGAGCGAAAACTTCAACTGTCGCCACTTATTGTTAGAGAAATTGAACATTACATTCAACGACTAGACGACGAAGGATGACGTAATGTTTGTATAAAAAATTTTCAAGAAATATTGACAATTTCAACCATTCGATCGATCAAGCAAGTATACTTGTATATATTTGCGTTGAAATCCAGGGAGTACAAATATATCTTAGTGGGTGAGGTTCTTTGCATACTTTTATACCAATATTCGACGAAGCATGACGAAACGTCATGCACGTCGCGTGCACATCACGTGCATGTCACATGGACATTACAAAACATGCAAACAAAGAACAAATAAGGTGGAAAGTTTGTTTTGTGTGGACTGAGTTGCAAGCAAAATGTGAATCGCTTTTTGGACAAGAGCTTTTTTGTCTTTCACATTTGTTTTTGCTCAGGATGTTTGAGGATATATCGGAATACATGGGGATGATTGGGGATATTTAGAGTTTTTTTGGATATTTGGCATACGTAATAGCAATTGTGAATATTTGGGGATTAGTTAGGTTTTGTGAGGCGGTTTTCAACAGATTTTAGTCTTTGTCAAGAGTCAGTAGATTTAATGGATGAAGGATGTGCAATGCAAAGAATCTGTCAAGAAATCAAGAAACAGTAGACTAAATAGATCTAGAATGTTGTGCTATGCAAAGAATCGTAGTCGTTTCTTTTTGTTATCTGTTATTTGTAGTCAAAGGAATTAGAAGAACTTTGAACCATATGAGCAGGGGGGTAGTTGGTATTGTTGATATATTTTGTTCGTGATATGTGAAATGGCCATGTTTCGGTTTCTTTTATAAAAAACACTTGTGTGAAGTAGCTCTTTGCTGTGCAAAGCATCTTTACACTTTAACCAACACAATTTCAGAGAATAAATGAGCCCGGTGCCCGGTCAGCCGGGGCTCAGCGAAGCGTTAAATAATTTTAGCAAATAGAAAAGGTTAAATACTTCACAACAAAAAAACTTATTTCAGCAATTTCTCTACGCTCTGACCTTGCAAATTCACGAAGCATTTAAAATGGAAACAAATAATTTAGCAAAATTTGAAAGTTACAACTGCAATGACTTATAACGGTTAAGAAAAGTTTAAGTTTTGCGCTTAAAGTTTTTACTCCTTTCAATGTCTCAAAATCATTTCGCGCCTCGCCGAATCCCGGTTAGCCGGGCTCGTATGAACAGCCCCTTAGTTATTCTTTGATGTTCAAGAGGGTTTTTGATAACATATTACTGCATGCGAACTCTGATAACTTTAATCTTTCGATGATTAATTCCTGTTTATGTCACGAGATGTGACGAAATGTAACGAGCATGCGCGAACGATTTGTTAATGTATGTAAATGTGCTATTATTGTTATCAGGTGTTGAACAGGTGTTTTGACTTATTTGCATGAGAATGCTTATTGTTAGTCCGACTTGAATTTGCTTCGGCCTTTTAAGAGAATCATCGTGCACTGAGTTGGATTTCACATTTAAAAGTTCGTTGCTTTTGTTTGCTGTTCTCATATATGGTCATTCGATCGTTTGAAGTTGGATAAAAATCTACAACCTGAAATAAAAAGGCGTTGCGTTATTTGTGAATGAATTGAAGAAGAAGAACTCGCGTTTTTAGTTCTCTTATAATCATTTCCAAGGAATCGAGGGAACATTTTTAGAAGCCATCAATTTGCAAACGAATTTTTTTATGAGAAAGTCATACAAGTGATATCACGGGAAAAACAATTCAAAATCTACGTTATATTTACGGCTTCAGACCAGTTTCCCAAGTCATCTCGAGGGCGGCCAGAAAGTATATAATATCATTTAATCTGAAACCTTTGAATATGCTTCTCGATGCTTGTGGTTTGAACGAAGGTTTAAAGAAGGAAAATGGAGAAATCTTATTGGCTGCTGAGACTAACCACAGGAATATGAGAAGAATTTCTGGAGAAGAGATTCGTGAAAGGTCGAGTTTGTGGCAATATATGAGGAAGAGACGACAGGCCATTTGTGGAGAAGGAGAAAAATGTTTCGTGAGAAATGGTGTTTCTTTAAACCGTTATCGTAAATGGCTTGTCGAAGGACAATAGTCTGAGTTTCTCGAGACTCGACAGAATCGTCATCTGTCGACGCCTGTTGATTTTTCTCAATTAGCCTATGCAATTTCTGCTCATGCGTGATTTCAGACTGGTGAATCACTATTGTTTATTGTATACTCGTATGGTCTTGTACAGGTTTCGTGCAGCAAGGTCCAATTGCACCGAATTTGAATAACTTCATTTACTGAATAGTCAATCACTGACTTGATGGAGCGGCTAAATTTAGAAATACTAAAATTGTTATACCAAAGAACAACTACGTTTACATTGTATATCAATTTAACATATACATTGGATGGTGCTATTCCTAATAAATCAGATCATGTGATTTACCTAAAACAAACTGCTACAGCACGCATATTTTTTGATTAAAGATTATCGATGAACGATCTTTTAACCGCGATACATTCAATAGCTCAAACTATTATCTTCTTGCTTACATGCTGGCTGATCAAAAGAAGGAAGACCTTACGAAATTGTACTATTGTGAATTTCAAAGTTTGATCACAATGCTAATGCCACTAGTGCATTACTGTGCATGTTTTGACGTTATACAAGTTTTGTTTAAATTTCATAAAGTTTGTCTGATATGTCATTTATTTATATATGAACTTAAAAGAACTGTTTAGCATACTGATACCACAGTATAGGAACCATACAGTAGAGCCACTGTATTAATTTGTTTTCGTCACGCATATTTTAACGCGCATGTGATTACCATCATTGCAGCCAGTCAATCGGCTTTTTTTTGACCTTGATAGGAATGATAAAATGGCTAACTAACAGCAGCCAGTAATCTACTTTTATGTAGAGCATCAAGTTTCTAGGTAAAGTGGACTTATACTGTTGGTTCCATGTACTCTATGGTGATAAACATTAAAATCATCATGTCTGTTTTTTTTGTACAACCTGTTGTAAATGTTTATCTCGTAGTCAGTTATTAATTTTAGTATTAGTATTATTTAATATTTCAACAAAAAGCCTAATCAGTAAATACACGCTGTTATTAACTAGGGTTCTGTATCTGAGATAGTTACAAAATATACTAATTATTAAGGAATAAAATATAGCTACGTCATAAATATACTAATTATTAAGGAATAAAATATAGCTACGTCATAAATATACTAATTATTAAGGAATAAAATATAGCTACGTCATAAATATACTAATTATAAAGGAATAAAATATAGCTACGTCATAAATATACTAATTATAAAGGAATAAAATATAGCTACGTCATAAATGACAATGTCTGAAAACGGTAGTCGTCCATTTATTTTCCGTCTCAGAGGTAAAAGTGATGTTGGGTGTTGATGGTTAATGTAGTCTAAAAAGAGAGGAACGTGATCAAGTGATTTAAAAAGGAGGAAGCAATCATTTTGCCAACATATTCATGTCTTTCCATGAACAAAACTGGCTGAAAAACTGCCCCCACAAATTCAAACTTATTCTCTACAGACGATATGTCGATGATTGCTTCCTCCTTTTTAAATCACTAGATCAAGTCCCTCTCTTTTTAGAATATATCAACCATGAACACACCAACATCACTTCTACTTAATAAAATACGTATACGCCATTAAGAATCACCATATTATCAAAGAAGTTCTGTAAGTTGTTTTGAAACCGTCCAAGGATTCAACATTTCGATTTTCAATACGTAGATCGTTAAATGTAGAAATTTTTTCACATTCAAGGCGTACTTTGGCAGCCTTATTAAGCCCTTATTATCGTAGCATGCTTACTATCAATAATTTCAAAAAAAAATTTCAAAGTTTTCACACTGGTTCTTTTTGAAACATCTATACATCAATGTACACCTTTTTTTTCACTTGACTACGAGCTATTTCAGAAATATTGACTCAGTTATCTTCAAAACTAGAAACTTAAAAAGATGTTAAAGTTTGATTCTAGCTGTGTTGAACGGCTAATGATGCAAACCTGTAAATAATTGTCCTTCGTTTTTAAACAAACTCCGGGGTTTCTATCAGTACCGTAGCAGCATGCAAATTTGTTCTTGTTATGTAAATTTCAGATCATTATCATTATTCATTTCTTTAGAAACCTATTGTTTTTACAGTGAGTGAACACGCACAAATTAACATAGCACATCAAACGTGGCAGGATGGTTTTATGCTGCTGGCTTCGCTCTTTAAAGTTTTTTCTTTCCATATTTCATAACGAAGTCACGTGTTTTCCACTTTGTGAGTTTGAACAGGTTGCTTGAGCAAGTTATTTATTAATAAGTGATAACCTCGTGTATTGTTCTTTAACCTATGACTTTGTTTCAAAAATATTTGTATTTACTCTCTTTCCTTCTGAGCTCATCGTAAAAGAATTTATTGTGACGTTGCCGAAGTTGTAGAATTGCATCGCGTTGGGAAATTTGAAATACTTTTACAGTGAGGTAAGAGTTGTGTGCAGTTTTGCTGTTTTAACAACTGGTTAAACTGCTAACAGTGATTTTGTTTATTTTGTATTTTAACAAGTAAACATTTCGATTCTGTCTTAATATAAGATTTGAATTTTACATAAAAACACTAGATTATAGCATTTGATTGTTATTCAAGGATACATCAGTACATTTATTGTTAACTGTAGATAATGAAATGAAAGCGGCTAGATGTTCGACGAAGACCCTTTAAATAATTACATCGAGGGTCGTTCCCTATACTTTAAAATACGTTTCCATTAAATAACTGGGACTTTTGCACTGTCGTATTTAGGATTTTCAAGAAATTGAGCGAAATTTCCGCGTCATCTTTAGTTAAATGCACTTGGTTCTTGTAAAAAGTTTTGAGAAAAGGCCTTACCCTTCAGGGGCAACCGTCTAAGATTCTTGAGAAGATTCAAGAAAATCTATTTGATTAGTGTTCTGGTTTTGAACAGTTCTTTTAAGAACCTTACGTTATTATTTTGACTATTCACAATGCATTTACTATTTTCAAAACAATTTTTACAATCTGCTTTATTTATATATTTTTTCATAATGGATCTCTCAAACTTATGCACTTAATTCCCTTTCATGATCTTGCACTTGTCCTGGGGCCGGTTTCACATAGCCTGGATAGCGTTATCCATTGGATAGCAAAAATTTCAAACTTGTAAAAAGGTGTTTATATTTTTCTTACGTCAAAGAAACTATGTAGTCTTCGAAGCAATATTCTATTTAAGTGATTGCACCGTTCAAATCTTTTATTTTTCTCTTAAAAGAGATTTATGAACGATCAGAAAACTATTTTATCCAGTGGATATCGTTATCCAGGCTTCGTGCAACCGGCCCCAAATTTACAGTATCTTTCTCGTAATTTAGGATAGCGTCTATTTCCTAGGTGGGCAGTCCGACGGAATTGATCAATATGAAAAAGACAACTTGCATATTTTTGATTTTTCTTCATCTGGTTTATGGTGCAACCGGTGAGTTTTATTGTGACCATACATATTGAAGTTGATCTTATTTCTGAAACTATTTGACCAGTAGCGGTATAGTAACAAGATAATCATTGTCTTCTATGTTCTACCAACTGAACTACAAGATCAACTGTGGACTATGATGATATTTTAAAACACATTTCTAGTTTCTTTCATATCTTAATATCATAGATAATAACATCACGTTGTTGTGATGTACTTAGGTATAGTAACAAGATAATCACTGTCTTCTGTGTTCTACCAACTGAACTACAAGGTCAACTTTGGACTATGATGATATTTTAAAACACAGTTCTAGTTTCTTTCATATCTTAATATCATAGATAATAACATCACGTTTTTGTGATGTACCAGGTATAGAAACAAGATAATCATTGTCTCCAATGTTCTACCAACTGAGTTACACGATAAAATGTGGATTACGATGATATTTCAAAACACAGTTCTAGTTTCTTTCGCATATTAATATCATTGATAACAACATCACGTTGTTGTGAATTTGTGATGTACATTGGAACCGTAACATGATTAATCATCGTATTTTTTGCATTTCAAAGTCTGCGTGTTACGGAATCGTGTCTCTTATACTAGACTGACTCATATTTTAAACTGGTATCTTCCTGTTAAAATGGACAAGGGACTTCAAAATTTCGTTTTCATTTAGAGTATCTTGGTTGCTACAAAGACGGTTCCCCACGTGATCTGTCGCAGCGATTACATCACAATAATATGACTGCAGACAGCTGCGTCAGCGGTTGTCGTGAACAGGAGTACGAGTACGCTGCCCTTCAGTTTGCTTATTTGTGTTTTTGTGGCGACCATTATGGGACATTTGGTAAACTTCCCGATGAGATGTGTGACAGCGTATGTAAAAGTCCTGGGGACCAGTACTGTGGCGGGGACTGGAAAAACTCTGTGTACGCAACAGGTAGGAAAAGGAGAGGGAGGGCTGGGGAGAGGTGCTTTTGCCTAATAATAGTTGAAAACTTGAGAGAAGATTTTGGGGAACTCTTATGGTATAAATGTGGAAGGAGGAGGATTATAAGGACTATATTTTAACGGAGTATAGTTGGAGTAGTGACCTGGAACCCAATCTACTGTAGATATCTGACTCCGCCAAAATTCTATAGTTAGGGCATGGTTACGAGTGAGGCAAGCCGCCATCTTGAAATTTGGCAAATGGCAAAATTGACGATATTTAGACTCATATCTGGTTTTCTTTAGTTGATAGACAGTTGCGGAGCTGATAGTCTAGGTTTGGTTTTTGAAATGTTTCACAGAATTAGTTTTTAAACTTTCTTTTAACCTAATTTTCGATGGAGAATTTTGCCTTTTGCCATCTTTCAAGAAGGCGTCCTTGCCTTACGTTGATAAGGTAGTTAGATATCCAGGGTATTGGGTTCTAAAATCATTGGCTTTAAGTAATACGTTGTATATCTATAAAAATCTTATCGAGAGAAACTTTACAATAAGAATTAGCGGTGTAAAATCCTAATGTCTGTCATCAGAGGGAGAAACAAAAAAATTGATGATTTGGTAACGACAATCCAATCAATAGAAATTTCCACTAACTAAAAACTTTTTTTCAATTAAGTGTTTTTCGTGCAATTTTTAAATATCAAAATCGCTTTCCTTCCTTTCAGGATTCAAAAGCAAAAAAAGAAAAGACAAAGAAACAACGAAAACGCGACCAAATAGTATTATTCGATGGACCGAAGGAAATAAAAACATCTGGTGGGTTTCGTTTGGACAATCCATGAAGGAAATTTACATATGATGAAGTATTTCATTTGTGAAATTTGCCTTTTTCCTTTCCTCCGGTGTTTCCACTTGATCGTGGTATCTTTTAAAAGTGGACATTTTCCGTTGTTTTAAGTTTCACCCCTATGTGTTGTAAGGTGATATTTGTTTTGATGTTTAAATTTGAAAATACATGTTGTTAAAAATCATTTTTCATTCCCGTCTCCTTGAATACAGGATAAATCATTTGCACTCTTCCTTTGACATTACGTAATCAGATGACGTAGACAGCGAGCCCGCAATTTTGCTCATGCTATCTACGTCATGAGTATGAACACCAAAAAGCTTACATAGCACAAGCGCAGTTAATAAATCGAATCCCTAATCCAGATCTTAAACCACTCAGGGGTGGATTAGGAATTCGTTGTTTAGGCTATTATCCCCAAGATTATGTTTTTCCGTGAAGTGAATCACAACTCTGGTTATCTTAAGAATTTATCAAAGACGTTGACAGTGATGACGTTGTTGGATCGGAGAAATCTGACGTCACGACATTATCTGCTCACGCGCGGTCTGAAATTCCAAATCCTTTTGATGCACCACATGTTCACATCAATCCCATCGAGTACAACACGGAAAACGTCCCAGGATCTCCGGGTGAAAGCATCAGTGCTTTTCCTCTTGCCACAAGTTCCCCACTCGAACAAACCCCAGCCTGTCCCGATGAGACGGTGTGCGCCCAGATGCCCCCACAACAAAATGTGGGAGTTCCCCCTACCAATTTACCTTTGGAAACGACGCCTATGGGAATAAGTACATACCCGGACATTTACCATCACCGGTGGACGTCGCCTCTGGAGGAAGTGTTCCGGTAGGACAAACCATCGATAGTGCTGCTATACCACCTTCACTGGGAACCAGTCCACCGATAGTTACTCCCCCCGTTGTAAATGCTCCAATGAATCAACCTTATCCTCCTGCCACAACTTTGGAAAACAAACCAGGACCTACTATCGTTGTTGTCCCCTCGTTGAATGCAGGAAACATTGATAACAAAGGAGGAAGCGTGCTTGTAAAACTGCCTTCAAAAGATTTACTTTCTAATGATGTGGAAAGCACCGAGTTTAATTCAAGTGCGAGCAATGATACAGTTTTGAAAATCAATGGTACACTTTACCTTTTAAAAGGTTCACTTACTAAGCTTCCTCAAAGTAAACCAGCTCGCGCTAATCAGCTTGTCGGTAGTCTTTTGGCCGGGGTGGCACCCAAGGAGTCTGGTGATGACTTGATTAATGGATCAGAAGTCGGGTTGACCCAAGGCAAACTGATGAGTTATGAAGGAAAGACATCGACTATCCTGGATGACGATTTGTCTAGTGTTAAAGCTCAACGTAATAATTCCAATACCGATGATTTTGGTAGGTGCAAAAAGTAATAGTTGAATCTATCTTTTTGGAACTTAAGTTTGCTTTTCAATATCTAAATAATTTGTGATTAGTATATAATTAATATCACTGCTGTCATCTGCGTAGGAAGTTTTGAAATATATGTAATGAGATATTTTCCCCTTTTTGTAGATGAAAATCGTTTACGATTCGACAATTTTCAATCAGTTTTCAATCCCACTGTTTCGGAAAATCTTGTAGCAAGCAATGATCTTCCTCCACCTCCACCGCCTCCTCCACCACCAGCTCACCCACCACCTTCTCAATATCTTACTCCACCTCAACCGCCCCCTCCACCACCAGCTAACCCACCACCTTCTCAAGATCTTACTCCACCTCAACCGCCCCCTCCACCACCAGCTAACCCACCACCTTCTCAAGATCTTACTCCACCTCCACCGCCCCCTCCACCACCAGCTCACCCACCAGCATCGCAATATTATCCACCATCGCCCCTTAAAGCTCCTGCAACATCTGATGAGGATCGGTTGATGAACAAAGCCATTGCTTCTGAAGCTGTTCAATTTCAAGACCTATTATCACAAGAGCCAGTGAAAAGTTAGAAAATTACGTTTTCCTTCCTAAAATCTCTCATATATCTTAGGATCGTGTGATACTAGTTTTCCACAACGATATTTCTCACTTTTCTAGCGTCGGCATGTCTCGTAGAACGACAGATGGCGATAGACACCGAAGATAGTTTTATTCCTGAATGTGAAGGCGATGGAAACTATTCCCCAGTGCAATGTTTTGAGCGTTCCGGCTTAAGCAAGCAGTGCTGGTGTGTTAACGCTAAGGGTGAAGAAATTGGAGGAAGCAGAACCACTGATGGCAACATACCAGTTTGTGAGAAAAGTGAAAATGAAGGCAAGCCAATGTTTTGCTTTGAAGGACTATCTATAATTAACATTACATGACGTATGTCGTATGTAGTTTTGATTTACAACCCTATGAGAATGAAGGCCTTCGAAAAGTAGCCTTCGGTCTGTCTGTCAGTGCTTAAACATCCTAATCTTTGTTTTTTTCTGTGTTCGTGTTTTTGAAATTCACATATATTCATTCTTTCCAGACGGTTTGTCAGCGTTAAAGTCGTGTTCGACGTCACAGCATGAATGTTGTACAGACAAAGAAAAGCTCGAGACAAACGTAAGCAAATTGTCGAAGTAGACATTTTCACTGCTTGATTATTTATAATATATTCGAAGATTATTATGAATGGCAGTTTTTTTGAAAGTTTTATAAAACCTTCTAAAGCAAAAAACACAAGATTGGAACTGAGCAATCACTGAAATAAAATATTGTTTCGAAGATTACAAAAATTTCTTTGTCGTAATTCACCTTTTTCTCAAGTTTGAAAATTTTTGCTATCCAATGAATAACGCTATCCAGGCTTCGTGCAACCGGCCACTGTATATTATCTCATACCCGTATACTTCAATAAAAGAAAAATTGCATAAATATAGATTGGTTTGTCAATGGTTAAGTACGTCAAATTTTTTTTTGTGTTGGGGAGGACCACAACAGCATGACAAATGCAGGGGCTAGCAATCATTATCGACGATAATTACTGATCGCAGCACCTATAAATGCGTGCGCATGAAGAATGTGTCGGACAAAATATGGGTAAACAAAAGTCGACGTCAGGAGTTGACTTATAAAGCTCGTCTACGAAGTCCTTTTTTATTTTTTCCATTCTTGAAATATCTAAAAAAGTTCCCTTTATCATTTAGGAATCAAATTTTACAAATTGTCCAAAGGAAGTAGAAGAAAATTTGCCTTGTACCAAAATGTCGTGTGGTTGTTGTCCAGATGGTGTCAGTGATCAATCACGATCCACAAATGTTCCTCCCTATATCCAACAATCCCCATCCAATGTATCTACTCCTACCTATATCATTCCAGATGTTCCTTTCTTAACCCCAACACAGAAACAAACTCTTACTCCCTCACTTCAACCTACAACTTTATCTTCACATCTTGAAGCATACCTTACCCCTCCACCTACGATATCTCCTCCTACGATATCTCCTCCTACGATATCTCCTCCTACGATATCTCCTCCTACGATATCTCCACCTACGATATCTCCTCCTACGATATCTCCTCCTACGATATCTCCACTTACGATATCTCCACCTACGATGTCTCCACCTACGATATCTCCACCTACGATATCTCCTCCTACAATATCTCCTACGTCATCGTTTAAGTCGGTCCTATTCCCTAATTGGGACTTCCTTGCCCTGTACTTTACCTTTGATAGTCACAAGTTCCCATACGTCATCGATGTATCGGGTCACAATAACGTGGGGGTAATGTCCGCTGGTGTAAATATTGTAGGTGTTCAGAATGGTTGCGGACTCGCGGGCTCGTTCATTGGTGGGTCAATTTCGGTAGATGGTCGTCAATTTCAACCCAAACCTATTGAAGCTGTGACGATTGCATTGTGGGTGAAATTTCAGAGCGTTCAGGACGAACAGACTTTGTTTACAACATCAACTTATACTTCAAATAAGTCCAATTATTATTTGGGATCCACTGATGGGAACATCATTTGGCGGCACCAGAACGAAAACGAGGAGACTTTGTTTGATTTGACTACAGATGAGCCTTCGTTTGCTCCCGGCCAGTGGACTCATGTTGCAGTAACATACGACAAAAATAAAGGTTAGAGGTCAAAACTCCTATACTAAAAGATACCGTGAAAATGGTTGTTCTTGATGCATCTTTCAGTTCTTATATTTCTGTTATAGAGATATACTAAGATTTTCAGTTATTGACTACATTTGTATATTGAATTAAGATTTAAGGCTATTCTTACTTGTCTAAAACAAATAATATGGATGAAGACAACGAGCTTCTCGTTGCATTGAAAATACATCATGGCATTCCTTGCAACCAGTGGGGTAGCTAGCCCTTAAGTTTTGGTCCTGCTATGAAAATTTTAGAACAATAACATTATTCATTTCTTTAAAAATCTGTTGTTTCTACAGTGAGTGAACACAGAAAAATTAACATAGCACGACCAAATTTGCGAGCCGGCAACGCAACTGCTTCCATTTGTACACTAGCAATTTTCATCTAACACTCTTAGTCCTTCGATGTACTTTTATGTACTTATAAGGAAATTTCAATATTATAAATTCCATCTTAGTCCTTCGATGTACTTTTATGTACTTATAAGGAAATTTCATTATTATAAATTCCATCTTAGTCCTTCGATGTACTTTTATGTACTTATCAGGAAATTTCAATGTTATAAATTCCATCTTAGTCCTTCGATGTACTTTTATGTACTTATCAGGAAATTTCAATGTTATAAATTCCAGTGGAGATGGATTTTCCAGGCGGGAAAACGTAATCTTATAATAAAAATAAGATTATAAAAGCCTAGCTTATTGCAGGAATATGAATTGCCGTCATAATAATATGAATTGTTATGAATTCCTTTTGTAATTTCTGTCTTTTTAGAAGAGGCTGCAGTTTATATTAACTCAAAGCAAATCAACAAAACCAAAGCGACGGGAAATTTGACTCAAGATTGGGGCGGACAAACAGAAATAGGTTCCTGCAATGGCCACTATCAATTTCAAGGCTCTCTCGATGATTACACCATCTATACGATTGCCTTAAATGTGGAATCTATTACAAAGTTATCCTGTACTTGCACAATGAAACCTGGTAGTCATTTTGTTTCGTTTTCGAAATTGAGTCATGTGAGCGATGGAATGCAGTTTATAATAATATCTTTGTTTGTTTTTAGGTCCTCGTCTTGAAGTAAAGTATACGAACATTGCCAACGTGGGTTGATTCCCTTTAGTCCTTTGACGACAAAAGCAACTAGCAATGTACCAGCAACGTCATCCTCAACTACACCCTCTCCTTTACCACCTACATCAACTACACTTCCTCCTTCAAAACCTCCATCTACTACACCCTTTCCTTCACAACCTCCATCAACCACACCCTCTCCATCACAACCATCATCAACCACACCCCCTCCTTCACAACCATCACACACCCTCTCATCACACATCTCCTTTCACAACTTCTTTAAATCCCTTCCATTCTATTTTCACACTTTCAAAACTTCCACACTACCCTTCAAAACCTCCATCAACCATAGCCTTTCCTTCAAATCCATCATTAACCACACTCTTCCATTAAACCTCCATCACACTACACCCTCCTTCAAACCTCCATCTACCACACCCTGTCCTTCAAAATTCCATCTATTATAGCCCTTCTTCAAAACGACATTAACCACACCTCCATCCAAGCCTCCTCAATTCACATTCCTCCTCTACTACAGCCCTCCTTCAAAACCTCCATCAACCACGCCCCGTCCTTCAAAACCTCCATCTACTACACCGGCACTCCTATCACACCACAGTGAGTATCCAGACGTATTCCTTGCTTATCAAATTTCAAATTTCATTACATATGGTCCCTAGACAAAAACTTTTGTCTGGGGGGAGGACAGAACCTTACAAAATGGCATTTATATTATACATTTTCTTTGACCACAATCGTGAAAGTATTCAGGGTGATGTAATATTGCTCTCCCCATTTCCTCTCATTTGCTGGTGCCAATGATTGCTTTACGAGTTGGTTTGAAAAAATTTCATCGAAGTAAATGTGCATGATATCATCTTTCACGTAATGAAGAAATGTATACTCATGTATCCCTTAGCATCCCTGTCAATCCAATGTTTGCTCTACATCGTTTTCTTTAGTACACCAAGTGTCATGTATCCCTTAACATCCCTGTCAATCCAATGTTTGCTCTACATCGTTTTCTTTAGTACACCAAGTGTCATGTATCCCTTAACATCCCTGTCAATCCAATGTTTGCTACATCGTTTCTTTAGTACACCAAGTGTCATGTATCCCTTAGCATCCCTGTCAATCCAATGTTTGCTCTTACATCGTTTTCTTTAGTACACCAAGTGTCATGTATCCCTTAACATCCCTGTCAATCCAATGTTTGCTCTACATCGTTTTCTTTAGTACACCAAGTGTCATGTATCCCTTAGCATCCCTGTCAATCCAATGTTTGCTCTACATCGTTTTCTTTAGTACACCAAGTGTCATGTATCCCTTAACATCCCTGTCAATACATTGTTTGCTCTACATCGTTTTCTTTAGTACACCAAGTTTCATGTATAATTCTACTCACTTTTTTACTAGTGTTTTTTTCTATTACTGCTGTTGCCTTACACATTTTGACGATTATCTTTTTGATTATGTAGCCATTTGTAAAGAGGAATGCTTCAATAATGGGGAGTGCGTTGACTCTTTGAAGAATCTGTGTCGTTGTAAACAAGGATTTTGTGGAAGTCGATGTGAAAAAAGTAAGATCCTTCTCTTCTCTATGGACTATGCAGAAGATATCACCGACTATTTTCGGGGAATTTACTAATCAAATCTTTTTTCTAGGCGGGGAAGCTTGTGAATATTTCGAGCTCTACTTCCGCATTACGAACTTGGCGAGGCAAAGCGTCGTATTATTTTCAAGTGATGGCATTCCCGCTCGGGGATCTGAGATCGGAGCGCGTCGTATCGTAGAGATTCGTAAGAAGACGTCGAATCAAACTCCTGTGACGTTTCAAGTCAAACGAGGCAACACTTCGTTTCTTCTCAACACTAAACCCAACGTAACATTACTTCCAGAAAGACGAGTAAGACAGCCGACATCTTTGACTATTATAGGTAAGATCAATATTCTTTGTTTTTTTTACTTACAAACATAACTTTTGTAGGGGAAATTGTCGTATTACATTGATTGTTGTTTAACATCCCGGGCAGGGGTGGATCAGTGTTCATCTGACTTGAGGTGTCAGTGAAAATTCCCAAGACGAGGCATCTATGTGTTCTCAGAAGGTTACACAAGGTCTAGGGCTATTGTATGTTCTTAAAGAGAGCAATCTTACTCAATCATACTGTACAACTTTCCAGTGTATAATAATTCTTCAAAAATAACCTATCGTATTGACGCCATTTTAATTCTTAGTGAAAAATTTTCTTCTAATTTTAGGTAAAAATTTGAGTCCATTTCTATGTCGTTATTTATAGCATTTATCACCTGTTGTTCACATGTTGTTCATATGTTGTTCACATGTTGTTTACATGTTGTTCACATGTTGTTTACATGTTGTTCACTTTTGCTTACATGTTGTTCACATGTTGTTTACATTTTAAATCCGTGACAAAGCAACTAGCATTTTCTGTCATCAAATGCATCTCAATTGTCCTTTTTCTCTATTCAAGATCCCATTCCATCAAAACTCTACGTCATAAATCTTCGCGTTATTAATTTGGCAAAAACAAACATAACACTCAAAGCGAGCGACGGAATTCCAGAGATAGGCTTCAACATCAAGTCTAACGTTATTGTCGAGATTACGAAGAAGACAGATAATTCGAATAATATTGACTTCGAGGCGTACGATACAAGAACGAACAAACGACTTTTGGTGAATGGAAAACAAAAGTTTAGTGTTACACCAACGGAGACGAGAGGACGGCCTGTCTCCTTGACGATTAAATCAACTGGTTGGTTGCTATTTTATGCCTTTTTTTTCAATTTTTGCAATCGTTTGATTTAGTTTCTATTAAAGATTGCCCACAGCAAATAATTCATTCCAATTTCTTTTTTTATCAACTGTCCTCTCTTTTATACCTTACCTTACCTTACCTTACCTTACCTTACCTTACCTTACCTTACCTCACCTTTTGTACCTTTTACCTTTACCTTACCTTACCTTACTCCATCTTTTGCCTTACCTTACTACCTTTACCTTTACCCTTACCTTACCTTTTACCTTTACCTTACCTTTACCTTTTACCTTACCTTACCTTACCTTACCTTTTACCTTTTACCTTTACCTTACCTTACCTTACCTTACCTTACCTTACCTTTACCCCTTACCTTACATTACCTTACTTTACCTTTACACACCTTTACCTACCTTTTACCTTTACCTTGCATCTTACCTTACCTTACCTGCCTCCCACCTTACACATCTTTACCTTTACCTTACCTTACCTTACACCTTTACCTTACCTTTTACCTTACCTTGCATCTTTACCTTACCTTTACCTTACCTTACCTTACTTCATCTTATATATCACCCACCGCACCACTTACCTTTACCTTACATACCATCATCTTACCTTACCTTATACATTACCTTACCTTACCTTACCCACCACTTACCTTAATTCCTTCCTACCTTACTCCATTTTACCTTTTACACCTTACCTTACCTTTACCTTTACTTTTACCTTTACCTTACCTTACCTTTACCCACCTTTACCTTTACCTTACCTTTTACCTTACCTTTAATCTTTTACCTTACATTACCTTTACATTACCTTACTGTATTCCACCTTTACTCCACTTTTACATTACCCACCTTACCTACCTTACCTTACTTTACCTTACATTACCTTACCTTCCTTACCTTACTTTACCTTACCTTACCTTACCATACCTTTCAAGCAATCTTGAGCTCCTTTTTTTTAACTTAAAACTTCACAGCACTAAACAACACTTTAATTTAACAAGTTCTAATAAGGATTTTCTCTGTAGCACCTTCAGTAAAGAATTATTACTTGACTTTTCAAGTCACCAATCTTGCACGATCTGACATCATTTTATTCCCACATGATCCAACTTTGAAAGAGGCAGTCAATATCAGTAGAAACACGATCGTGAGGATAAAAATGACGATTCAAGTATTTTCAGTTGTCACTTTAACGGTTCTCGATGCTAAAACCAAAGAAGAACTGTTTATAAATGGAACGAAAACTTTTGAAGTTATTCCCCAACCTGTGCTTGGAGCTCCTGTGCCTTTGACCATTACTAGAACACGTATGGTTTTTGATATTATAGTGATGTTTGCTGCTTTGCCATTTTAGATTATTTTGTGCTTTCATAATGTGCATTAACTCATCACTACACACAGCAAGCAAGACACATCTTTTCATTGATCCAGAATTACAGAAGAAGCAAACCTGTACTAAAATCTCGTATAAAATCCTTTTTCAGAAGGCTTTTTCATGAAGCATAGCGCAAAGCCATTTCCAAATTACAACATCATCATTGCTGATAATAATAACATAAAACAATATTGTTAATATTTTAACTTTGTTTTGAAAACATCGTCAGACCAAACTATTCTGAATAATTGTATTCTCGTTATTTTAATAAGTCGAAGCTCGATTTGGCAAAATGGTGTTAGTTAGTGATTTCTTCGCACAAATTCCTTTTTAAAAGCTAAAGAATTACAGCTTTGAAAACCGGCTTTAAACTCCCTTTATTTATACTAAATGTCTTCACTAGTTTAATTAATTTGACGAGGATTTAATGCATTGTCTGTTTTTCTATTTCAGCAAATGAAATCCAAGCTTCTACAAATTACATCGTGGTTCTAGTGCTCAATAAAACACCCAGAAAGATTGTCTTAAAATCAAATGACAGCGAACCACCGGAAGGCATTGAGTTTGCTCCGAAAACTATCTCCCTCCTTACAAAACCCACGCGCTTAAAGCAGCCAATCATTTTCACGGCAATTGACGCAGAGAGTGGTATGGATCTGCTCATCAATGATGGAGCGAATGTCTCACTTGTTCCCAGTTCCAACAAAAATAACACTGAGAGCTTGACAATTTCATCAGGTATGTGTATACTCGTGTAACCCCTTACATCCCAATCAATCCAATGTTTGTCTACGTCATTTCTTTAGTAAACCAAGTTTCATGTATAATTTGTTTCTTTTACAACAAGTGTTTTTTCTGTATGAAATTTTTGAATGCGAAGAATCCGAGCATGTTTCTCTTCTAGCAAGCAAAAATTCATTGTAGTTTATCATTATTTATTCAAATTTTTGATGAAATGCTAGGATAACAAGGTTGCTTCTCACAATCACATTTTCCTCGCGCGATATAGGCTCTACTAAAATCAAGCCGTACCTTTTTTGGTCATTTTCCACTATCATAAATGGAAGCATTCCTGGTCACGTGCCCTTTCATGTTCATGGTCACGTGGTGTTGTCCGACGGTGTATTATACTTTGATGGTGAATCAGATTACCTTTCTGCTCAACAGAAATCAACTGATATCCTTGTTGATCCCACAACAGCCATACAAGGACTGGCGTTTGGGATCAAGTTGAAGATGGAGGGAGCAAAGAAATTTTTCGATACGCCAAGATTCGTGATGGATACTGGAGCGACTAGTTCAAAGACAACAGGTGTGTCTCTTTACATTCTCAATGGCCACTTGATCGCAGAAGTTGCCACGTCGACAAAAAAATGGAAGGTGAGATTTTAATGTTTATGTTTTCGCCTGAAAAGTCGGTCTTGCGCCCGCACTCTAAAAGGTTGATTACGCTCACTGAGGGAAACACAGAAATCATTCTCTCGTCAATCAATGGAAAAGTTATTTCTTCTTCGATGGCAAGATTTTTGTAGAAAAATCTTGGCACGAATGCCCAAGAAAATTGCATGTTACCTTTAGGAGTTAAGATGCTATAGAGGGTTATCGTGCCTCTAAAATCTATTAATATTTTTGAATGTTTGTTAATTGGTACAATGTAACTATTTATGTATACATTTGTAGACGTTCATCGACCTTGTCTATGACAAATGGCTATATGTTATCGTAAACTGGAACTCAACGGCTGGCCTCTATATGGCATTGGATGGTTATCCAAAATCCTATGATCTCAATGGCGCTTCCGTTACTGGACTATTATCTCCGTCAACGAATCCCAGTTTGTACATCGGTCGTAATGCCTTGGGGCCTGGTTTCTACTATACCACGTTCTATCTCGAATCTTTCGTGGTGTTTGACAAGTTCCTCTCTGAGGCACTCCTCCTTCCTATATATTTTCACTATAAGAATAATGGTAAGACAGTAATTTGGTAGGAGAAAGACATTAGAGCCCTCAATGACTGATTGTCATCATGTCATGAGGTTATTGTTGCCTTGACGTCACGTAAAGATAAATTGTTAACTTCTTAGAATGGTCTCTATTCAAAAGTAATCTCTGCATCAGGAGCTGGTTGCACGAAAGCCGAATTGTGTTATCCACTGGATGGCAAATGTTTTTGAACGCTCAAAAAGCTTTCAAAAAGGGAAAAATAAGCGATTTGAACTGAGCATTCGCTTAAAATAAATATTTCTTCTAAGATTACAAATCTTCTTTGTCGCAAGGAACACTCTTTGAAATTTTTAAATCCATTAGATAACGTTTTCCAGGCTTCGTGCAACTAGCCCCAGAATTCTAGAATTCAATCTAGAGAATTCTCTCGTCAAGTTAAAAACCTATTTTCTCTCTCTTTGTCACAGTCTTGGTTCAGGCAAGCAAACTCTACCACATAAACCTCGTTGTCTTCAACAAGTTTCACGGTCCTGTAGACATAAAGTTCAGTGACAATATTCCACCCGAAGGCTTCCGACTGCGAAGCGATGTCATAGCGAGGATAAAGAAGAATACAAGCAATCCAAAGGCTCTCTGTTCATGCTCAAGATTCTTTATCAAGGAAGACTCTTTATGTCAATAATTTACCAAAGATACGAGTAACGCCAACGAAATTTGACGTAGAGGATATCAGTGTTGTCATCTCTGATAAATCGAACATCAAAGGTATGAAAATCAGCTGTAAGTTTCGACATAGTGAAACATCTTCAAGCGAGCTCATCATATATACGATGTTTGTGCTTGCTTTGAAGTAGCGATGATATTTTAGTTTTTGCTTGTTTTTGTTATTCTCAAGATTATAGCTGCATGTATTTTTCAGAAAATTAAAACAACTGCTAAAATCACTGAACGAATAAAGCTTTTTTAGTACTTGCTATGTTTGTAGCAGAAATAGTTGCGTGAAAGACAGTATACATTCTTAGTTTTGCTTTAGGAACTTATAATGCTGCATTGAAAATGTAAAAGTTATTCTTCCATTTCTAATATCTCTGTATTTATATGTTCCCAGGTATGTCTTCCTTCGAAGCAATTGGTTGTTTCAACGACAAGGAAAATACTCCACCGTTTACCGAACTGTTGGCTGACTTCAATGTCTCAACAGAAGACGTTTCAACGAACAGGAATATCATAATGAAATGTGCCCTACTCGCCACAAGAAAAGGCTACAACTTGTTTGGTGTCCAAGACGCTGGTAAGTGCTGGAGTGGTCCTGGTAACGAGTCCAGTTACTCCAAAGGTGGAAAATCGTTAAAATGTGGCGATGGTATGGGGAGAGCCGACGCGTTTTACGTGTACAAGTTTAGTGATGAAGGTTTGTTTTTCTTAGTGATTTCATGTTCATTAAATTTTTTTAAAAGACATTATTTCAAAGGATTTATTAAAGAGCATTGCAGTGAAAGGTCTAAACGTCAATTTCGGTGCTCTACTTTATTTCTTATATTTTTAGTACCAGAACTTCGCGCAATGTTCTATCTTGCTGCTAATATTTACAACAAATACGGAAAACCGGTGATATTAAAATTGTCTGACAGTCAACCGGTTGATCAAGTTATACCGGTAAATGGCGTGGCTCAACTCACGAAGGATGTTCCTAACCAATTCCCAGTCCTTTTCGAGGCGTTTGATGCGAACATGCCCACACTAAAACTGAGTTTAAACAACAAGAAAGGAGTCAGTATTACACCATCTATTGTTAAAGGGGCTCCACACACTATTGTCATCAAAGACGGTATGTTATGGTTTGACCTGTTAAACCCCCTTGTGTCAATGACTTTCAACCTCCCCCCGTCCCAGTCTTGTGAGTGAGTTCTATTAGGCAAAAGGCGTTTATGATATGAAGGAACTGGGTCAAGATTTTTTGATTGGTAAAATCTCGAATTTACCATGAAAGAAATCAATGTTATCATTATCTCCCACCTACACAAAGGACCACTTAGTACTTTGCTTGAAAAAATAGGATATTTTTGTGAGAGTGGTTTTGTTAACTCGTTGTAGATTTGTTTTATGTAACAGTAAAACACGTCATGATGTTCTTTCTCAATTTTTTAATCAACAAGTTGGTTGCTTTTTGTGCGCTTTTATTTTGCCTGTTACCTGGCAATAAATTAAGCATTATTCTATTTATATACTCATGATTTTTTAAAGTCACTATCCCTTCTTCACCATCCCTGTACCTATCCCACCTTTCTCTCAATCCCTTCCCTTCCCTTCCTTACCCTTCCATTTTATTTCAACATTAAAAAGTTTCAAATGCTTCTGACCTTGGGACCTGAAGAAAACCTTTTCTAATATGATCGTGATGTTATGGTCAATGATTTGATGACGGGAGTGAATCAAAGAATGTTTTTGAATGAACTGTATTTCTTTTGTTGATCTTGCATTGAAGATTATGGTCTTTAATGGATACATAGGGATATAATTGTGTAAATGACCATCATTTATGATGTTATAGGTGAAACAGCACATGGAATACAAAGTTTTTCATCAGCAATGGGTTTGTCATCCTTGTTTCAATAACTTTTCCTTCGTAAATTGTATTCAAATGTAATTTACTTTTACCTAGGTACATCTTTGTCGACACACACGACAGGTATGTCAGACATTCGCCCATTTTTTCATGTTCACTTACAGTTGAAACACTATGCTTTTACAGAGGGACTAATGTTTAAGTTAACAAAGTTGCATAGCACGATCAAAGCGTACGAGCTTAGTATGTTATAGATACCAATTGTCGCTACAATTAGATGTTACGATTTAGTTGTGGGTAAGTTGAGCCCAAAAGATGATATTTCAAACTTAAAGCCCTTCTAGAAAATATATCTAAGACAAAGGCTTAAATAAGATGACATTATGACAGTATTGAGGTTATTTTGATTTGTTGAATTCTGCAAAAGAGTTAAAAGGAGGGAAAATTATTGCATGCGGGATCATATATGAAAATTATATGAGAACACACTTTGACCTGTCGGTTCTGTACACGAAGTAAATATAAATGTATTTTCTACTTTTTGTACTCGATGAACCAACCATAGCGTAGCAAGAAGTTCTCATCTTTTCATTTGAAAGTCTAAATTTTTTCCCTCTTTAGATTTCATGCTTTCACCTTGGACCATCAGGTTGAAAATTACCAACAAAGTTCACCGTGATATTATCTTATTTTCCGACGACAATGAGCCGCCTCAAGGTTTCAAGATCAAAGCAAAATATGAGGTGACATTGACTAAGGTACTCAACAGCAACCAGAAAATAAGATTTCATGGCATCGAGGAAAAGAGTCATCAGTTAGTGTTATTGAACGGTCAGACGTCAATTAAAGTAGAAGCAAAGCAAAGAACACCGATGGCTGTTTCAGTCACTATAACTGGTATGGAATATGTTTTGGAAACGTGCAGAACAAGCCATATTTTTTGAGTAACATCTTCAAAATTTCCATGTACTAGAATTTCTTTAATTCGGAAAGCTTTTTTGGTAAAACGCTTTTTATCCTTAGCGTTTTCTCGCCTATGTTCAGGGTTCAGGAAGGGCTTGGAGCGCCGTGTGTGTGTATGTGTGTGTGTGTGTGGGGGGGGGGTGGTCTGGAAACCTACAATTTTTAGAATGTGGGTGTACTTTACAACGAGCCTTTTTACCTGACGTCATGGCCGCCATGTTGGTGTACCAATTGTAAAAAATTTTAATAATGTTCTTTGTTAGGAACACCGATATGGTCATTTGTCTATTGTAATGTTGACTCCTAGGAAATGAGTGAAAGCGCTCTATAGGAAGAACACTCACAAGTTTAGTTTCTCGCTTAAATGTTTATGATATAACGGATGCCAGTTTTTTAACAAGTGTACCAAGTTTTAATATCAGTAAAATTATCTTTTCGCTTCGATCTGATGAAAACAGACAAAGGAAAAGAAAATGAAGAAAAAACTAATATTAAGCAGTTTCACAACTGGTTTAACTACAGTTTGTGATCACAAATTGTGTACAAAAAACGCACAACTTATAACAGCTTCCAAAGCCTCTGCTAAGTTCACTCAATATTTTTATACTTTTGTAGAATTGAAGGGAGAAACGTCAAATATAGGTGAGTGAGGACGAAGTATATTTACATGTTTGCAAATGTAGATCGTCCAGGTTAGTTGAGTCCTGAGAAGGACTGTTGGTGTTGTTGTTGACTGACGTTTCGACAACCTTAGCGGTAGTTATCTTCAGAGTTAAAAGTCTTCTTCACATTTTGACTCTGAAGATGACTACCGCTAAGGTTATCGAAAAGTCAGTCAACAACAACAAAAACAGTCCTTCTCAGGACTATACTAACCTGGACGATCTACATTTACAAACATGTAACGATACTCGCGGGTTCAAACCATTTACTTTATTAGGAAGTATTTTGTTAAAACATCTTTTCTTTCGTTTTCATAAGGGTCATAATAACGTTGGGAAAGTACTTCCTGTATTTAATTTTGTCTGTTTTTCTATAGAGAGTAACGAAAATTCAAGTGAAGAAGGCAAGTGCATAATCTTGTACACGGATGTTTTTAGAATTAATAAAATTATAGTTGATACTAAATGATATTTGAAATATTTAGATGTGATATTCCTTCCGTCGAATTTAACGTTTCGTTGTAAAAACGTTTATTATAGTGAGGAAAAGCGTTTCAATAGAATTTCTTGAAAACTATATTTTCTATAACACTATTCTATATACGATAGTGCAACCTTCGTCATATGAAAAGTATTTCTTTTCCTAACACAAAAATTCCATGCTGTGGTTGATGAAATACGCCGGCCTAAAACAGACTTTGCTCATTTTGTTTTTTGAAAAATTATTTTAATGATACACCTATAATATCTGATCTAATTTTTAGCTCCCCCCGTGCCAGCAAAGCATTCGTGGTTCTTTTCCCGTATTGTGAATGACAAAGTTCCCGGGGTTGTACCGCTTACCGTCCATGGAAAGACAGTAGTTGAAAACAATAGTATAATCATGGATGGTTTGAGTTCGTGGTTTGATGGATATCTAGATGAGATAGATTGTCTTCTAGCGCCTGAGAACTGCCCAGATGGATTGTCCGTTGCTTTCAAAATGATGTATAAGAGTCTAATAGTCTTTCCAGACAAACGCTATGTTTTTGATACTGGTGTGCTGAGTAAAGGATTACGTGGGATCGCGATATACATTCAAGAGGGACAATTGTTTTGTGTCCTTAGAACGATGTCTGGACAATGGAAGGTTAGTCATGTTTTTATTGTTAAATCAACAATATGTTTGTAGATATAGATTGTCTAGGTTAGGGCATTCCTGAGAAAGGCTGTTGATGTTAGTGTTGACTAGCGTTTTGACATCCTTCTGAAGATGACTACCACTAAGGACCACTAAGCACTTTGACATCTTTGATTCTGAAGATGACTACCACTAGGGACCACTATAAGTACTTTGACATCCTTGATTCTGAAGATGACTACCACTAAGGACCACTATAAGTACTTTGCCATCCTTGATTATGAAGATGACTACCACTAAGGACCATTACTAAGTACTTTGACATCCTTGATTCTGAAGATGACTACCACTAAGGACCATTACTAAGTACTTTGACATCCTTGATTCGAAGATGACTACCTCTAAGGACCACTAAGTACTTTGACATCCTTGATTCTGAAGATGAGTACCACTAATGACCACTATAAGTACTTTGCCATCCTTGATTCTGAAGATGACTACCACTAAGGACCACTATAAGTACTTTGACCAAAAACCATGATCAGCCGACAATTTAAAGAAGTATAATATAAAGCAAATTCCGAAGAAACAAGACATCTCGAGATTGCAAAATATGAATCAAAACAAGACGAGAAGTAAACTGTAAATTTTCGACTTTATTTCAAAGTCATCCTCAGACAGAATGATATTTAAAACCATACATACACATATATATTTACAACGCATGAAATAAGTAAACGGAAATAAGCAATAGAAATTAAATAGTGTGATATTTACAATGAGTTGGAAGAGGTGTAGTATTACAAAAGGATGAATTGAAACTGCCGACCCGACTGGTAGAATGAGTGTGTTATAAATTAAGAAAAGAGTTGTAATTCTTTGCTAGCCTTAAGTCCCGTGTTTAGAAAAGGTTTGTTATGTTTAATGAGTAGTGCTTCAAGAAAAGCAAGAATGTGGTAGTTGTTAGATTTGGTTGAGTGAAGTATTTTATAGTTGTTGAATACAAGGTTTCTATAGAGAGGGAGTTCTGGGAGGTGGAGGGAGATCATTGAGTTGTGAGAACTGGTTTTTAGAGTCGCCAGGAATTGAGCGTTTTCGCACTCAGAGAAATGCTGGCCAACTGCACTAGAAGAGAGTCTGGTTGCATGTTCTCTGAGCCGTACAGACAGGCATCTTTGTGTCATGCCGATGTAGGTTTTACCACAGCCAGGGCAAGTTATTTCGTATATAAGATTACTGCGAGAAAGTGAAGGAAGTTTGTCCTTGTTAGAGACAAAATAGGACAGTTTTTTAGTAATAAATAGTAATAAATTTCACCGGTTGTACTTTGAGATCCTTGATTCTGAAGATGACTACCATTAAGAACCACTAAAATCTATTTCAAACTTGTAAATTATTGTCATTTGAGAAATAAAAGATGTTTGCTGTGCTTGCACAGGCTAACGGAAGCCGAGAAGTGCAAACGCAAAACACATTTTATTTGTTTTATAATTTAAAGATTGCTCAAAACATATAACTTAAGGACGAACGTTTTCATTTTTCCTCTTAAATGTATTCATGATTGATGTGTAAATTCTCTTCGATTGATTTAGTTGATTGAGCTCGGATAGTTTTCACAGGCTTGTGCACAATTCAGTTGTATACGAATCTGCGCACGCGTTGTATTGATGTTATTTTATAATAGTTTATAATTTATTTTATCTTTCTGGTCCTTTTTTCTTAATCTTTAAAGCTCGGAATGTCTGTACAAAGTGAACGACAGATATATGTGGGTATCTCTTGGTCTGAGAATCGAGGCTTGTTCCTATTCTTAAACGGGAAACTTATCAAACATACTAATGTCAAAGCGCCAAAAACGACAGTGCCAATCGGTGCTACATCGCCAAACATCGTATTTGGTCGGTCATTAATCGGCACGGGACATGGAATGTTTCAACTTGCCTCGTTTTTGACATTCACAACGTTTCTAAGTGAAAAAGCGATGGGTCAAGTTTATAAACATTATTGGCGGATTGGTAAGCAATTGTTTTGTTTGTTGGTGACTATACAAAACATGAAAGCGTTGCTCCTGCCATAACGGTTTGAATCTTTAAAAACTTGTGTTCCATACGTAGAAATCCCAGCTACACATTTCTGTACATATAGTCTCCAGTTATTGTGCTTGACATGTGAAGAAACTGTGATTGGCATGACCGAAAGGCAGTAAAAATTGTCCTTGAGTCTTTCACTATTTATCTCATCATACTGGTCATATTGCTGCTGTATGGCTTTATTTTTCGTTGGCTTTATCTGTGTTAAAGCTATTCTACATCGGTTATAACAATTTAAGCATGACTACTAGGTAATCTAAATGATAACACATCTATATTAATGGAAAATGAAGGTTTATTTCTAACTTCACGATTGATTTTCGTCCTTAAGGTGGTCCTGAAGGCAGTAAAGAAAAGTCGTTCATGGATATAAAGATTTCAAATCAAGTTGCGGCGGATATTGTTTTGATGTCGAGCGATAAAATGCCCTTGAATGGAATCACGATTCTCAAAGGCGTCACCTTAAGCTTTGAGAAACAATTCCTTATGGAGAAAACGGTTACGTTAACAGCAAAGAATGTTGTAAATGGACAGACTGTTTATCTTAATGGGAAAAAGGAGTTGATGCTGAATTCTGCCCCATTTGGCGAGCATGCTTTAACAATCGTTGCTTCTGAAAAATCTGTACAAACAGGTGTGCCATCATCATTTCGAGCAAACCCAGATATTCCTACCTCTTCTCTTGTTTTGTTATATTTCATATGGTATATGAAGCTCAGATGTATCCTGCAGTCCTAAATTGTTGTCTGTACTACTTCTATATTGTTACCTGCAATCCTGTGTTGTTAATTTTATCCAATATTGTTACCTAAAGTCCTACATTGTCACCTGCAATCCTATATTTTACCTGTTATTCTTTATTCTTACCTGTAGTCGTATACTGTTACCTGTATTCTTATACTGTTTCCTGTAGTCCTATATTGTTACCTGCTATCCCATATTGTTGCCTGTAATCCTATATTGTAATCTTCTATCCTGCATTGTTACCTGTAATCCTATATCTCATTTGCAGGGATCTTGCATTATTACATCATGTTAAAAGTGCTCAATAAAGCCGGAGTTGATATCGTTATGAAATGTTCAGACGAACAGCCAAAACATGGATTTTACGTTAGCAAAGGTTTTATTGTCGTCATCACGAAACTGACCAATAGTGTAACACCTGTCGTATTCACAGCCAATGACATTCATGGAAATGTCGTCCTACTAAATGGTACTCCTGAACTTAAGCTCCGTCCAAGTGTTGTAAAAGGCTCGCTTAAAAATATCACAGCTGAAACTACAAAAGGTTTGGCTTTAGTTTTTCTTTTATTGATACATCCTGTAAATAGGGTACACAAGGTGGTAATTTTGGCTTTAGCTTTTCTTTTTATGGATACATCCTGTAAATAGGGTACACAAGGTGATAGTTTTGGCTTTAGTTTTTCTTGTTATGGATGCATCCTGTAAATAGGGTACACAAGGTGGTAATTTTGGCTTTAGTTTTTCTTCTTATGGATACATCCTGTAAATAGGGTACACAAGGTGGTAATTTTGACTTTACATAAATTGTGGCTCACGTTTAAATTGAATTTTCGTTAGTATATAATTATATTTTTCTGCATTCGGTTCCGTATGTTTCAGCTGCATCAAGACCACGTTATTACCTAAGCATAAAATTGCTGAACAAAGTTGGCTCAGATGTCGTGTTGAAGACTAGCGACAACAACCCGACGTCTGGATTCACGATCAGACAAGGATTGATTGTTCAAATTACCAAAACAGTCTCTTCAACCCAACCGATTACTTTGACAGCATTGACGAGCAAAGGAGATACGGTTGTTTTGAATGACGCGAAAAATATCACCATGAATCCTTCTTCATTTAAAGGACAGCCGTTAACCGTTGTCATGAGCCCAATCGCAGGTACGATCGCTACAAGTCTTATAGAAGATTAATGTAATTTTTTTGACGCTCTCGTTTCCAGTCCCTTTAAGAAATATTTAATCAAACAGCAAAAAGCATGAAGAGATAATTTAGGAGTAAAATTACGGTTGGCAGTTTTGATGCTTGAAAGTCAAAATTGCGCGAAAAGTTTAGCCACCAAATATTAACAAAGACTTTAACTAGGATTACAGTTACGTAGATAGTAGAGACTGGTGACTAGCCTCCTTAGTCGATAGTGAGACTGGTGACTAGTCACTTCAGTTTCGGGTATTTGTTTATGCATAGCGACATTACGTTACAGCAGACTGTTCTAAGATTGTTTACATGATTGTTTACATTATTGTTTGATGATTGTTGACATGATTATTCATGAGATTGTTTACATGATTGTTTACATGATTGTTTAGATGATTGTTCGCATGATTATTCATGAGATTGTTTACATGATTGTTTACATGATTGTTTAGATGATTGTTGACATGATTATTCATGAGATTGTTTACATGATTGTTTACATGATTGTTTAGATGATTGTTGACATGATTATTCATGAGATTATTTACATGATTGTTTACATGATTGTTTACATGATTGTTGACATGATTATTCATGAGATTATTTACATGATTGTTTACATGATTGTTTAGATGATTGTTGACATGATTATTCATGAGATTATTTACAAGATTGTTTACATGATTGTTTAGATGATTGTTGACGTGATTATTCATGAGATTGTTTACATGATTGTTTACATGATTGTTTAGATGATTGTTGACATGATTATTCATGAGATTATTTACATGATTGTTTACATGATTGTTTAGATGATTGTTCACATGATTATTCATGACAATTATTTACATGATTTTCTACATGTTTGCTTACAAAACTATTTACATGATTCAATGGCAACACAATCAGCAGGTCATTTACCCATCTACTATCTGGTCATGAAAATTGCAAACAGAGCGGGATACAGTGCAACAATTATCCCTAATGATCTTCAACCACCCCAGTTTCAAGTTCGAAGAGGTTATCTTGAGATTGTAACGAAGAAATCTCACAGCGGCAAGGCCGTTGTTTTCAAAGCTGTGAAAACAGGCACAAATGAAGCTTTGAGCATAAATGGAAACGATAGCATTACGATTACTCCAAGTTTAGTGAAAGGAAACCCCGTCCTGCTGAATCTTAAATCAAAAGGTATAGATGGCTGTTTTGTACAAAAAAACGCTTGATCACACTTGTTTGTAAATAATCACTCAGCTTGACGATGACTTTGAAATAAAGTCAAAGTATTGCTTTTCATAAGACATCATGTCTTTCACATCTTGTTGTTTACAAGATGTTTTGGAGTGTGTATTGTAATTTACTTCTTTAGATTGTGCGCTGGAAAAGGTAATTGTTTGATATTAAAGTAAAAAATTTTGATTTAAACGACTAATTTCTTTATTCATGTTCATCATGAAAGACACGATGTATAAATGAGTAAACATAATCTGGAATTTTTCATATGTTAACAGAGGGCAAAGTAAAAGATGAATATATGAAACACGAAGCTGGTAAGAACATCATTTTCATTGTTGTTAGTTGACCAAAAAAGAAAGAAAAAGACAGAAGGAGTTTAGCGTTGAATGAAAAATAATGGATGATTTATCATTTAGAATAATGTGATCAACAAATGGATGATTCAAAGTAAAAACTAAAATTCTTTAATTTCTATTTTGTAGAAATCCCATTCTACATGAACCTTCATGTTAGCAACCAGTCTCCTGTCGAGACTATCTTTTTCCCGGCCAAAGAAACCCCGGATAGCGGGTTTCATTTGAATCCCAGCAGCGCAATTAACGTCAAGGAGACTTTGAACCGTGACATACCGCTGACCTACTTGGCTTTGCGCGCGGACAATCATGAATCTCTGATGTTGAATAACGTCAGAAAATTGACCGTAGTACCTTCTCGCAGTAAGACATCAATTTCGACAATCAACGTAACGGTGCCGCAAGGTAAGATGGGATGGAATATTGTTTATAAAGTGATTCTTTGATTTTTATTTGAAATGAACTCGAGTTCAAATCTCGTCCAAGTCACATGTTTTTCATGTGCATATAATAAACCGTGTCAGGATTAATATTATGATTAATATAATTTATGGAATATTTTATATTTCATAGTGAATTCTGGGAAATCTTTCAGTCCAGCGAGTTCGTTCAACCAAAATTGCAGCAACACACTTTGCAATGGTACGTTTAAATGTAGTTTGGTAAATTCTATTATTCATGAACCATTTCTTTGAAACAGATTAATAGAATTCGAATATAATAAAACTGGGAATTTATTCAACAATATCTTTCAGCTACAGTACCCGACCGTTATATAACTCTCATTCTTCATAACGAACTGGGGCGAGCTGCAAGGGTTTTACCCAGCAAAGGCAAGCTGAAAGAGAAAGGATATGTCGTTGAACCGTTTGGTTTCGTTCAAGTGAATATTATCATCAAGGAAAAGATTTACAACGAAGCAATCACATTTAGAGGAGAGGACCAAAAACTAAAATGGACCTTTTGTTAAATAAAGCCACCTTACCTCTCTCACTAGCTCCTTCTACTACACCAAGTTATATTGACAAAGTATCTATTACTGCCGAAGGTATTTTGTTAAAGATTTGTTGTTAAACATATGTAATTGAATCTATATTTGTTGCTTTGGATCAGTTGGTTATTTCGCTATTTTCGTTGCATTGACATGGACGGTTAGGAGGGTTGACAAGTTAGGAAATTAAATTTACCAATGTCTGTGATTATTAATGTGTCTACAGCACGAAATATCAAAGTAAATGGGAGTATAATATTACATTCATTAGTAAATTAAAATTCAGACACATCTAACTACACGAGAGTAATTGTCAGGAATCTTATAACAAAATCCTGATATTTAGCTCCAGATGTAAAACCTATTCAATCGTGGTCATTATCGTCCTATGATGGAACTATGGTTAAAGGTAGTCCCAGTCTCTTGGGCCACGGGAAAATCGGAGCAGCTGAAGAAGGCTTACACTTTGACGGAGCGACATCATCTATGGATGCATATATCGAGAGATCACACTGCCTTCACGATACAGAGATGTGTGATAAAGGTTTCAGCTTTGGAACCAAGTTGAAGTTTGACAGCATAACGACTGGCTTTACTGAGCCGATGTTTATACTGGACAGCGGTGGACATGGAAAAAATACTAGAGGGTTTCACTTTATATCGAGAACTCAAAACTAGTTGTTGAAGTGTCGACAGCCGACAAGAAATACATCGTAAGTCTTTAAGAATTTATTATTTTAATAAAACTGGGTTATTTTGTGTTCAAGCGTTTTCGACGCCAGAAAAATCATCTTTGCTTTTCCCTGCAAATAAGACACTGTGTTTATGTACATCCAGGCCTCGGCGGCTCTTATAATAGATCAGTGGATCTACGTCATCGTCACATTCCAAAAGAACAAAGGTGTACTGCTGTATTATGATGCAAAGTTACGTAGTGCGAACAAGACTGGGCTACCTGTGTCTGATACCCGGCCTGTAGACACAGACAAGAATCTTTTGATTGGTCGAAACATTGAAGGACCACCCTATCATTATGCAGCATTTGATATGGCGTCATTGACGATATTTCCCGAGTCCTTGAACGAAAATGATGTAAACAAGACGTTTTTATTCTTTTGGACAGGAAGTGAGTAAATGACGGTTTCATGCAGAAAAACAAAAAAACGATGTTTGTTGATTAACTAAAACGACAGTCGGTTTAAAGCAAAACATTCCGGTGTAATTCTTTGTTGTCATAGAATAATTTATTCACAATGAATAAATTATTTGTAATTATTCATTGTGAATTAATGATTTAATGAATTCGTACAATTCCTTTAGAAAAGAATTTCATTTGCCAAGCAATGGAAATGAACATAATTTTACCATCACGTTTTAAACTCTCGATATTTCCAACGCGTTTCAATACCCTGATACTTCATGTATGCCTGCTATTACATCCTATTGTGCTTTGTGGTTGAATTATATCAAGCCTTCAACTGAAAAAAAACGGCTCGTGGCTGTTCTTAATTGCTTGTGTCACTTTCATGAAAGGTATCTGAAGCCTTATTTTCTTTATAGAAACAGCAAAAATTCACTATATGATTCTACGCATCATTAATGGAGCTGGTCGAACTGCACTATTAAAACCTGACAAAGGGAAGGACGATGGTTTCGTTATTCTGCCAAACAGCACTCAGCAAATAACGATGATGTCGATGAGTACGAACGAAGATCCGATAGAGCCTGTGACATTTCACGCCATCGACATTGAAACTTCAACAAAACTTATGATTAATCACTTTATTCGACCTTTTGTTGTCGTGCCTAAAGAATCTGGAAAAGATTTGAAGACGGTCTTGATAACTGCACCTGGTAATGAAACTTCACTTTATGATTTTACAGAAAATAAGTATGTGAGTGTGGACTAATGTCAGATCAACGTACATTGAAAAAAGTTTCAACACCAGAAAACTCTTGATAAAAATGTTAGATCGGAGTACAGAAAGACTCAAGTTTCAACATCAGATCACTCCTAATGAAGACACTAGACTGGAGTATATATGAACTCAAGTTCCAACATCAGATCACTACTGATGAAGACATTAGACTGGAGTATATAAGGACTCAAGTTTCAACATCAGATCACTCCTGATGTAGACATTAGACTGCAGTATATAAGGACTCAAGTTTCAACATCAGATCACTCCTGATGAAGACACTAGACTGGAGTATATAAGGACTAAAGTTTCAACATAGATCACTTCTGACGAAGACACTAGACTGGAGTATATAAGGACTCGAGTTTCGACATCAGATTACTCCTGATGAAGACACTAGACTGGAGTATATAAGGACTCAAGATTCAACATCAGATCACTTCTGATGAAGACACTAGACTGGAGTATATAAGGACTCGAGTTTCAACATCAGATTACTCCTGATGAAAACACTAGACTGGAGTATATAAAAACTCAAGTTTCAACATCAGATAACTCCTGATGAAGACATTAGACTGGAGTATATAAGGACTCGAGTTTCAACATCAGATTACTCCTGATGAAGACACTAGACTGGAGTATATAAAATCTCAAGTTTCAACATCAGATAACTCCTGATGAAGACATTAGACTGGAGTATATAAGGACTCGAGTTTCAACATCAGATTACTCCTGATGAAGACATTAGACTGGAGTATATAAGGACTAAAGTTTCAACATCAGATCACTTCAGATGAAGACACTAGACTGGAGTATATAAGAACTCAAGTTTCAACATCAGATCACTTCAGATGACGACATTAGACTGGAGAATATAAGGACTCAAGTTTAAACATCAGATCACTCCTGATGAAGACATTAGACTGGAGAATATAAGTACTCAAGTTTAAACATCAGATCAATTCAGATGAAGGCATTAGACTGGAGTATATAAGAACTCAAGTTTCAACATCAGATTACTCCTGATGAAGACACTAGACTGGAGTATATAAAAACTCAAGGTTCAACATTTGGCTTCTTTCACGTAAAAATTTCTATTTTAGCTCCATCCACACTTCCCAAATATTTATGGAATTTCAAAAACGTGGACAAGGGAGTGGTCAGCGGTAACGAACCCAAACTTTTGGTACACGGTGCTTATAAAATTGAGGAACACAGTCTTCGTCTTTACCTGGTGATACGTGGGTGGACGTTGGTGATTATAAAGGTACTGCATGGTGTTTGGATGGATAATGTTAGACGTGTAGGTGGATAAAATGGTACACTACTCCCGGCATACTAAAACTTTTGCAATGCAAGCTATGAATAATTTGCCTCAGTTTTAAACGGTAAAAGATAAATGCAAGAAATGTAGGCTTTTATATAACTGAAAGTAAAATCGTCATTATAATTGGTGAATAATTACTTGAATGTAATTCTGTATTTCTTGTTGACTTCGTTCTAGGTTCTTGTATCAGTGACCCTCAAGTCTGTGAAGAAGGCATGGCCGTAGCGTTGAAGATCAAGATTAATGATGAAGCTATCAAATATATTGACGAGCCGGTGTACATTCTGGACAGCGGTGGTCACGATTCACAATCACGTGGTTTTACTTTACATCATCAAAAAAGCAGATTGTACTGCGTTGTTTCCATCTCGAATTCTGAATGGAAGGTGAGAAAAGTGATACCTTTGTTTGCCTATGGCCAAATTTAGACGATGCAGTTAGTAATTCAGACATTGGATCAAGAGAGTTTATACACTAAGTTTCTTTATGATTCTACCTTACATATCATGTATTGTTTCTAGGTATCCTCTGATATCCCATCCCACAAATGGACATACGTCATGTTCACGTGGAAGAACACTGAAGGTTTGTCACTTTACATTAATGGACAGTTGAAAGATCATATGAAACATGCGATCGACACACCTGGGATGCATCACACAGACAATTTTACCCGCTTTGAAATTGCGCGAAATACCGCTGGTCCTCCGTACGGACATGCTCAATTTACTATCAACTCTCTCGCCTTCTTTGACCAACACCTCTCAAAAGCTGAAGCTCTTCGAGAATATATTTACTATTGGGGAAATGGTATGTTATAATAGGATATATCTTGTTAAAAAGATATTGAGTACCTTAATGTACCTATCAATTTGTCATCATCTATGATATTTTTTACCAGCTGCATCGACCTTGTCCAATCGTTACATTAAAGTTCGTTTTGACAACAAAGCTGGCACGAATGTCCGTATAACTCCGATCAAGGAGACTGCAAAGCATCATGGTTATTCAATCAAGCCTCATATGTCCCTGGAACTATCTTTCGTTGCTAAGGAAGCGTCCTCGAACATTCCAGTCATATTTCGTGCAGAGGATGAGCTCTCCGGCGACTTGCTCCTCATTAACTCCTCAGAGGAGCCGTTCATCGTCAGTCCCAGTGACTCAAACAGTCACGTGACTATAGCAACTGTGACGTCATCAGGCATGTTATAAAAACATTTCCTCTTCTTATGATGATTGTGGTAACTTTGTCATTTAAATGGTATTGTGCGCATCATCTTTGATCTAGCTCACTACGGGAGTAAATCGGAATAAAACTGACATGTTTTAACCCTTTTATTTGTTTAGTTAAATGCTTGTCTCCAAACGGCTTGTTTCCAGATCCCACGAACGAGTTCGGTTACATTAACTGTACTGCGGGCTCAGCAAAGCGAGCTCCTTGCCCAGTTGGGGCAAAATGGGACGAGAGCACGAGATCTTGTGAAGTTGAAGGTTTGTTTCATTGGAACCTCGTCCCCAGTACTTTATCTAACTCTATACATATGACATATTAAGGTCAGTTGAGGCCAAGAACGAATTTTTACTTGTTTAACATCATACATCAACTCAAATAATTTTACTTGTCATTCTTTTCAGCGACGTGTCAACAGGTCTGTATAAATGGTGGAGAGTGCAAGAAAGGAAAGTGTGTTTGTCCTTCTGGCTATTCAGGAGGATATTGTGAAATTGGTAAGTGCGCATGTCTATATGATTTTACCAACAGGTTAATTTTCGTCACATTAAAGTTGGATTTGACGTTTTGATAATTCACACGATCCGAACATTGTAACGAATACATAGCTAAAAAACTATTCAGAATTATCAAGCATTGTATGTAATAACTTTATTGGGTTACAGCGTTAGAATTGGCTGGATATTCGCTTATCATTCTTAACTCGAATATACGCTGAGCTTCCACTTGAATTCAGTCCATGTTTACATGAATTATAACTCTTACCTAGAACATACGTGTGAGCTTCCACTTGAACTCGGTCCGTGTTTACATGAATTAAAAAAGGAAATTATGGAAGGAAAAGCGGAAGAAAGAAGCGAAAATTGCACAACATTTCTCCGTGAAGTTTTTAACGGTTGTCCCACCCGAGGTCCAACCTACACGCAGGCTGGATGCGAAACACACTGTGGTGAGTCTGATGGAAAGTTGAGTGATAGATCAATTTTGTGTAAAAGGAAATTTTACAAGACTTATGTAAATATTTTTTCATGTTTGTAAATGTAGATCGTCCAGGTTGGTATAATCCTGAGAAGGACTGTTTTTGTTGTTGTTTCTGTTGTTGAAAACGAGCAAACAAGGCAGAGACACAACACCAAATCAAACATCAATATTTTTCATTTGCTAGATCCGACGTTCCATAACATCTGCGCTAAAATTTGGAATCCATCGCATTGTGAAACGGACACTGAACGTTTTCGGTTCAATGCGCTCACTCGAGCTTGTGATCGGTTCATCTATTCTGGTTGCCTAGGAAACAAAAACAATTTTATCTCTGAAACGTCATGTAACCAGGCGTGTTCCATTGGTAAGTTTTCTACATCGTAACATTTATGACGCAAACAAGTTTAACAATTTCGTGATACATTAATTGTTGTTTCTCAGACAGCCGAGTTTGAGAAGGAAAGCCGAGTTTTCTTTGTTAATGCAAGGAGAAAGTATCATTACATTTACTTGATCAATTCTTTTTGGCTCCCAGTGTGTTGTAAAGGAAGAATGAAACACCCTTTTCTTTGGTGATGTGAACGAGAAAAATACACAAAGCTTATTTAATTCTTGATTTATTATCTAGCCCCTGCTTATTTCACTTTGTCATATCCCCTCCCCTCTCATTTCACTTTGTCATATCCCTCCCCTCTCATTTCACTTTGTCATATCCTCTCATTTCACTTCATCTTTTCTCTTGTCCTTTGATTTTATCCTTTATCCTTTCATTTTGTCATATCCTTTCATTTTCATATCTCGATCATTTTATCTCTCATATCCCTCTCTCATGCCAAATGTTTTTTAATTTTGTGTCTAGGCCTAAAGCGTCGCAGACGGCAAGGGATCGTGCGATTTTTCTTTAAAAGAACGTTTTGATTGACTTCATTTTATTCAAACTTTGTATAAAAGAAACGAACGTTGCAGGAAGTACATGAATTCAATGATTTCAATGTGCACACATGCATACATAATTGTGTTCAAATTAAGAATATTATTGTTGAGATAGCATAGTCAGGAATATTGATTTTGCAATAATTTTCAATCGTCGTCTTTTGTTTATTTAAGAGCCTATACATCTTTTCGTAGGCCTTAGTAAAATGTTAGTTTAGTCAAATGAAGATTACTCTGAACATGACTACCGCTAAGGTTGTCGAAACGTCAGTCAACAACAACAAAAACAGTCCTTCTCAGGACTATACCAACCTGGACGATCTACATTTACAAACATGTAACGATACTCCCGGGTTCAAACCATTTACTTTAACATTTTTAGATATGGTTCACTGGTTCAGTAAGTTTTATAAACAAAGATGTAAACATTGCGAAATCGGCCCTTATTTAAATAAGCCCGTCATGTCTGGGAGACTGGGAAAAAGAGCCACATTTGCTTATGGTAAATCTTTCCCAACAATGAACACCACAATTCTCCTAACAGATTTACCTTTGCGCATTTTGGAATAAAGTTTCCACGGTGCCTTATGTGTGGCAAAAACAACTTTACAATGTTAAATGTTTTTCAAACGTTTTTGTTCAATGTTTGTTGAAACGTTTCATAAAGATCTTTATATCATTATTTACGCTCGATCACGCTTGCTTCATCAATAAGCAGGATAATTACTTTTGAAACAAAATCGAAATATTGCATTCAAATCTTGTCTCTTGCTAATATAACTTGACTCTCGAGTTAACAAGATGATGTTTTTTGGAGTGTGTTTTATGATTTACTTCATTAGATTGACGTCTGGAAAAGGTAAATGTTTAATATTAAAGTAAAAAAGTTGATTTAAGCGACTAATTTCTAATAATGTCAATCATGAAAAACGCGATGCATTAATGAGTAAACACAATCTGGACTTTTTCATATAGTCCCAAATCTTTATTGTTGTTAGGTGTTTAGTGTTGAGTGCAAGACCAATATATGTTTGATGTTTTAGAGTAGAGATGGAGTAAGGTAGACAAGACTTAGATGGTTTCCTCAGATAAAAGAAATACGGAGGAGAAATCATGAGCATATAAGTTTAAGGATGCTTAGTTTAAAACTGTAAGATAAGAGACTTAGAGGAAGATGAAAAGGAAGTGTATAATGGATTCATTGCAAGAGATCATACGCTCATTAAAAGTAGTGTGATAAACTCAGTTATTTACACGAACTTAAGAAACTCGGAATTTATTCAATGTTATTTATTTTCTATTTTCTAAGCTACAATACCCGACCGTTATGTAATTTTTCTTCTTGACAATGAATTGGAGCGAACTGCAAAGGTTTCTTCCAACAAAGGCAAGCTAAAGAACAAAGTATATGTTATTGAACCGCGTAGTTACCTCCAAGTCAATATTACGATAAAGGGAAAGAATAACAGCAAACCAATCCTATTTAGAGGAGAGGACCAAGAAACTGAAATGTACCTTTTATTAAATAATTCCACCTTACCTCTCTCACTAACTCCTTCTACTACACCAAGTTATATCACCAAAGTGTCTATTACTGCCGAAGGTATTTTGTTAAAGATTTGTTGTTAAACATATGCAGTTGAACCTATTTTTGTTCTTTTAGATTAGTTAATGGTTTCGCACGAAATGATTTTCATCGCTTTGACATGGACGGGGAGAGGGTTGACCAGTTAGGAAATAAATTTATCAATGTCTGTGATTATTAATGTGTTTACTATACGAAATAATAAAGTAAATGGGAGTATGGTCTTGCAAATCATTTTCATATTCACTTTGCCTGTATAAAATACAAGTACTGATTGGCACAGTATGCTTATTAAGATGTGAGTCACCACAAGGAGACCAATTAAAATTTCTCATTTCTGATTCAAAACCAGTGAAGATTGCTTGCTACCAGAAACGTTTGTCAAACTGAAAACGTTTCCAAGTACAGTCTACTAAGGTTCGATGATAAGCACAGATTAACCTCTGGATGTATCTATTCTGTGTCTGGAGCATCTAGTTTAGTTTTTTCGACTGCTTTGACATTCATTGGTAAATTAAAATTCAGACGCACATCAAACTACATGAGAGTTATTGTCACAACTGTTATAACGAAATTCTGATATTTAGCTCCAGATGTAAAACCTATTCAATCGTGGTCATTATTGTGCTTTAATGGAACTATGGTCAAAGGTAGTCCCAGTCTCTTGGGCCACGGGAAAATCGGAGAGACTGATGGAGGTTTACACTTTGACGGAGCGACATCATCTATGGACGCGTATATCGAGAGATCACATTGCCTTCACAATACAGAGATGTGTGATAAAGGTTTCAGCTTTGGAACCAAGTTGAAGGTTGACAGCAGAACGACTGGCTTTACTGAGCCAAAGTTTATACTGGACAGCGGTGGACATGGAAAAAATACTAGAGGCGTTTCACTTTATATTGAGAACTCAAAACTAGTTGTTGAAGTGACGACAGCCGACAAGAAATTTAAAGTAAGTCTGTCTTAGTTTTTGATTTTAATAAAACTGGGTTGTTTTGTCTTTCATTTCAAATTCAAAAAAACTGCACAAAAGCATATTTTAATTTCACTGCAAATGAGACAGGCTGTTTTTATTTACATCCAGACCTCTACGGCCCTTATAATAGATCAGTGGATCTACGTCATTGTAACGTTCAAAAAGAACCAAGGTCTACTGCTGTATTATGACACAACGTTACATAATACGGACAACATTGGACTACCTGTGTCTCATACCCGGCCTGTAGAAACGTTTAGGAATCTTGTGATTGGTCGAAGCATCGAGGGACCACCCTATCATTATGCAGCATTTGATATGGCGTCATTGACCATATTTCCCAAGTACTTGAAAAAAAGTGATGTGGAGAAGACGTTTTTATTTTTTTGGACAGAAGCAAGTAAATGTCGGTTTCATGCAGAACAGTAATAAAAAATAGAACGATGTTTTTAATATCCTAAACCTTTCACGACTAAGAGACAGAATATTTGTTGTTCTATACACTAAACGAAATACATTATAAGAAATTGATACAGTTTTTCTAAATTGTTTGTAAATCAAAAATCTACAAAGCTGCTTCTATACAGAGAAGAGAAATGGTGATTTGTCAATTATTAACTTCTTTGCATTAAAAAGATATGGTGCAGATAAAGGTAGACATAAAGGTAGACATAAAGGTAGACATGAAGATAGACATAAAGGTGGACATAAAGGTAGACATAAAGGTAGACATAAAGGTAGACATAAAGATAGACATAAAGGTGGACATAAAGGTAGACATAAAGGTAGACATAAAGGTAGACATAAAGGTAGACATAAAGGTAGACATAAAGGTAGACATAAATAGACATAAAGGCAGAAACAAAGGTGCAGACATAAAGATAGACATAAAGGAGACATAAGACATAAAGACAGACATAAAGAGACATGAAGTAGACATAAAGGCACATAAAAGACACAAAGTAGACATAAAGGACATACAGACATAGCCAGACATAAAGGTAGACATAAAGATAGACATAAAGGTGGAATAAAGTGGACATAAAGCCAGACATAAAGGTAGACATACAGACATAAAGCTAGACAGGTGAACACAGACATAAAGGTAGACATAAAGGTAGACACAAAGGTAGACATAAAGCTAGACATAAAGGTAGACATAAAGGTAGACATAAAGGTAGACATAAAGATAGACATAAAGGTGGAAATAAAGGTAGACATAAAGGTAGACATAAAGGTAGACATAAAGGTAGACATAAAGGTAGACATAAAGGTAGACACATAAAGTAGACATAAAGCTGCAGACATAAATAAGACATGAAAGGCAGACACAAAGGTAGACATAAAGCACATAAGGTAGACATAAAGGTAGACATAAAGACATAAAGGTAGACATAAACCAGACATAAAGGTAGACATAAAGCTAGACATAAAGGTAGACATAAAGGTAGACATAAAGGTGATAAAGGTAGACATAAAAGCAGACATAAAGTTAGACATAAGGTAGACATAAAGATAGACATAAAGGTAGACATAAAAGTAGACATAAAGGTAGACATAAAGGTAGACATAAAGGTAGACACAAAGGTAGACATAAAGGTAGACATAAAGGTAGACATAAAGGTAGACATAAAGTTAGACATAAAGGTAGACATTAAGATAGACATAAAGGTAGACATGAAGGTAGACATAAAGTTAGACATAAAGGTAGACCTAAAGGTAGACATAAAGCTAGACATAAAGATAGACATAAAGCTAGACATAAAGCTAGACCTAAAGGTAGACATAAATGTAGACATAAAGGTAGACATAAATGTAGACATAAATGTAGACATAAAGATAGACATAAAGATAGACATAAATGTAGACATAAATGTAGACATAAAGATAAACATAAAGGTAGACATAAAGGTAGACATAAAGATAGACATAAAGATAGACATAAATGTAGACATAAATGTAGACATAAAGATAAACATAAAGGACATAGAAGACATAAAGGTAGAAATGTAGACATAAATAGATATAAATAGATAATAAAGGTAGATATAATGTAGACATAAATTAGACACAGTAGAATGGGGTAGACATATAAAACATAAAAAAGAAAGATACATAAAGGCAGACACAACAGATTATTGCAGACATAAAGACATAAAGACAGATTGATAAAGATAGACATAAAGGCAAACATAAATTGTGGACATAAAAAGAAAGAGACATAAAGTAGACAAACATATAAACATAAAGGAAAGACATAAAGGAAGGACATAAAGAACATAGAAGGAAGGACAGAAAGAAGGAAGGAAATAGACATAAAGATAGACATAAGAAGATAGACATACAGCTATGGACATAAAAGAAGGACAATATAGCAGGAATATAGTGGACAAAGGATAGGAAGTATATACAGATAAAGACAAACATATGCAGACATAAAGCAGACACAAAGGCAGACAATAAAGAGACATAAAATAAGACATAGTTGCAGACATAGTTGGACATAAAAGGCACATACAAAGGTGGACATAAAGGCAGACATAAAGGCAGACTACAAAGGAGACATAAAAGTAGACATAAAGTTAGGACATAAAGGTAGACATAAAGGCAGACATAAAGGTATTATAAAGAAGACATAAAGGTACATAAAGGACATAAAGGACATAAAGGTAGACATAAAGCTAGGACATAAAAGTAGACATAAAGATAGACATAGACATAAAGATGACATAAAGATAGACATAAAGGTAGACATAAAGATAAATATAAAAGTAGACATATACAGATAAATGTAGGACAAAATGGACATAAAGATAGACATAAGGACATAAAGATAAACATAAGGTGAAAAGATATAGTAGACATAAATGACATAAATGCAGACACAAAGTTGCAGACATAGCAGCAGACATAAAGATAAACATAAAGGTAGACATAAAGTTAGATTAAAGGAGACATAGGTAGACATAAAAGCAGATAAGGTAGACATAGCAGACATATTGCAGATTATTAAAGGTAGACAAAGCCACACATAAAGCAGACATAAAGGTAGACACATAAAAGTAGACACATAAAGAGACAAAGGTAGACATAAAGGACACAAAGGTAGACATAAAGATAGACATAAAGGTAGACATAAAGGTGGACATGAAGTAGACAAAGGCAGACATAAAGAAGGAAGCAAAAAGTAGACATAAAGTTAGACATAAAGGTAGACATAAAGATAGACATAAAGATAGACATAAACGTAGACATAAAGATAAACATAAAGGTAGACATAAAGGTAGACATAAATGTAGACATAAATGTAGACACAAAGGTAGACATAAAGGTAGACATAAAGATAAACATAAAGGTAGACATAAAGGTAGACATAAATGTAGACATAAATGTAGACACAAAGGTAGACATAAAGGTAGACATAAAGATAAACATAAAGGTAGACATAAAGGCAGACATAAATGTAGACATAAAGGTAGACATAAAGCTAGACATTTAGATAAAATTTTATTCATAAAACTCCTTATTTCATATACGGAATTTGGAAAAATCGTTATTTGACACTTGCAGTCGTTACTTCGAAAGTTCGTCAGTAAAACTGTGAATGAAACTGTGAAAAATAACGAAGTTCCAAGTACAAAGTACATTCAGATGATAAAGCGTATTTTCAGTGTCACTCCATAATGTCTTTTTATAACTTGAGTAATATCTGATTTACCAAATAACAAATTAAAATGATTGCAATGTTAAACAACGGTCTACCTTTATCTGTATTTCCTAGACGTAATGTAATGAATAGAGTACAGCATATTTGCTATAGTCGAAGGGTGAGTTAATTTAGGTTATAATGAAAAAAGACACCTTTGAACACTAGTAGAATATGAACTATAAAATACAAATTCATACTTCTTCATTGTACAATTACTCAATCACACGGTTTCAGAACACTGCAAATGTCAAAATCTACTACAATATTAGCTTTTACAAAGTAAAAAATAAGTAAAGGGCAAAGCAAAAGTCAGCAAAACCAGCGTGTTTTGGTGAAAGGTATGGTGAAAAAATGGGGCTCTTACCATTTAGTAGAAAAACCAGAGTAAAAAAGTAAGCAAGGGAAGGCAAAAAGTTGGCAAAAACATTTTGGTTTGGTAGAAGCCATTGCAGTAAGAAGTTGATGAAAAAATATAAATCAGTTCAATTGTTTAGTCAAATAATCCGAACGCCATTAAATAAGAAAAATTGACTAAGGACATGCGCATCATTGCCCTGGTTTACCACATGCAATGCATGACGTTGTGCTTATTTTATTCATCTTCTTTCGTCTTCCTCGAAGGCATTAATGTCTTGTAATGTGAAGTTTCGACATGAAAACTTCAAAAAGACAAAACCTTTGCGGTTATAGTTCTTTAATCGCATTGTTTTGGTGAAAAACATTTGTTAAACATAGAGTATGTTAGTATTAATGAATTTTTCTTCAAATGCACGGAAAAAAGTCTTAATACAAGTTTGAAAGCCGCGTTCGTATGTGAAGGGTGTGGCACCAGCGAAAGCACACCCGATGTCAGCATAAGAGTAAACGGGTTCAAGACCTGTCTGGCTTGCGTTGCAGCAATTTCTCTTTATTAAAATTCATTAAAAATAAACGATTAAATAGAAGTTCCAAAATTTTTAAGAGTCGGAAACATTTAGCTCAAAAGAAATACCCTCGGCTTCGGTGCACTTGTCTGCAGGTTCAAAGCGCACTGGCTAAATTTTTCGTGAAAATTTATGAAGAAAAATTAGTTAGAAAGAATTAAAAATGATTTGCTTTTCTTCACATGTCATCTTTCGTCTTCACATTCCAATATTTCTCTTCATCACTTCTCTCTTTCATTCACCATCATCAACTATCGTTGAGACATCTTTCTAACATTTGTCGATCTTGCTAAGCTTTGCATCTTTCATGGTAACAGACAGGCTTCGAACTGGGATGTCTAGCGGAGAAGGCATGAACGGTGGCCACCATACTTTTGCTGCTGGTCGATGATGCATAACAAAATTTGGGACTTTTTACATATTTTTTGTCACGTCACAATACAAAATTTCCACGATACTTCATGTAAGAAACATAAAACATCTACACAAATAGTATAAGTCTATTGCATTATAAAGAAATTCCTAAATTTCAGTTTATTATAGTAACAACAGGGTTAGCAAGTAAATTGCTAGCAAATCTTTTATTTTACTTTCTCTTACCATGAATTTCTATATACAAAAGTGTATTTAGAAATCCATGGTAAGATATCTCATAGTTGACCTTCGCTTCTGATGGTCTGTTTACACAACAAACATGATTTACAAATGATCAACGAATTTATGTTGCCTGTTGCTCATTAAACGCACATGATCATTTGTAGCTTTATTTACGAAGCCGCCAGTGTTCGTACTATTTCACCATTGCTAGCTTTCAATAACCATCTTCAAGTTCAAAATGATAAACAATCGTTTCCAACACGACTTAACGCTAATAAAAAGTGCCAAAACTTTAAGTCACCAACATCTTAATGCTTCAAACTCATAGAATACATGACTAAGCGATTAAGATAGCACATGCTTTATTTGATAGGGTGAATAAATTTAATTTCATGATTTGCATAATACCATAGAATAATGCTCCATCATCATTTGCATTTTACGTATATTTAATGAAGGAGAACATAGCTCTTTTGTTTTAAGACACACTAGCTATTGTTTTCAGAATTAAATTTAATGACATCCTGTAACTTGCTCCTACACGAACAATGAATATCAAACAATGATGTAGAACAATTACATCATGAATGCCTTGCGTCATGCATAAGATATTAATCACCTAAAGTTATTGGCACTTGTAAACTACACGGCCTCATGGTAAACACTTGTTTTTTTGTAAGAGGTTGATGAACAAGACTAAAGAAAGCAAAGAAAAGTTGGTGCCTTATATGTAGTAGTCGGCGAGTTTCGTTAATTTTTTGTTGGTCATCGAAAGTCGTCTTTTTTTGACTCTAATGTATTTGAACGTATTCATAAAAGATGAAGACGGTCGACAGTTGTTATTGCAACTGAACAAGGAATGAAAATGTGACCTTGAAGACACTTGTTGAAAAACATATGAAATACAGTTGAAAATACAAACGCTTCATGTCAAGGAAAAATCAATACTCACAATGGCAGAGCAACTGAGAAATCAAAATACACGAAAAGAAAGGAAAAGATTCGTTAATAATTTAATAACTACTTGGTAATAGCCAATAATATAGGGAAAACAGATCAATAGCGAGACAAACCATTCAATCACAATTGTGGATATCTTGCGAGAAAATAGGGTTTATAAACCAAGTAAACCTCGAAAGCGATTCTCAACGAAAACCTCACGTTAACTTTCAAAGATATCAATGCAGAGTTACAACGACATCGAGCATACAAGGCTATTTACCATAGCGAAGAATTTGAAATACATGCCATTTGGATGAAAACTATCACATCGAATGCCTGCAGAGCGCATAAGACCAGAGATGGTACAACGTTATTACGACAATTATACAAACTGGCATCTTATAACAGCTAAGTTCTTCCACAGAGTATTTACAGAGATGAATGGTTATACATAACAATTGAACAGCAAAAACCCATCGCCGAGAAGAGAGGATAAAGTCTACAGTGAAATTTGCTGTTTAAAGAAAGGAATTTAGTCGTATCTTGAATAATTGTGACTTGATTATATAGCACTTGTGAAATATTCACATTCCTTGTTAACATCTATAATATATTATGGTGCATCAGTTCATAATGAAGCAGCAGACTACACTGATGACATCCTTGTG